GTTGCCTGCCCGCTTGCCAAACGTGACAACTGCTGGCAAAACTCCCAAATAGAGGGAGACCTATGTTCAGCAGTGGACAATTAACGGTTGATATGGTAACGCATAATTATTAATTCGGTTATTAATTCCGTCTAATATTATTTCGTAAGACAATAAAACAAACCGCCTGCCAAACCTGGCAACTACTAATAAACCCTTCAAGGAAAAGGCCTATGTTTAGCAGTGGACAGTTAATGGCTGATGTGATGATGATAAAAGCAATAATATTAGAAAAAAAATCATTCTAAAACGGTCAATCGAAAACACTACTAATCTAATTATTAAAAACCAGTTTTTTGCTCCCTGGTTAATACGCGTGGATTTTAGAAATAAGAAAATCGACGAAATAAATCACTTCTGGATAGCGTATCAGGATGAAACATACGCTAGATTTTAAATTAGTCCTTTAAGAACGCAACTGTGAAATCCAATTTAGTGCAGTAGTTTTTCCCTGATGTAGGAATTTAGAAACGTATATACAGACAGACGAAGTTTTTAAAAAGCATTGTTTTGGCTTCTGTTAATCTTATAAATATCATACATTTACATACTACATACGTTTTTTTTTAATATATAATTTTATTTTAAAATATATCCGTAATGTTATTAAGTCCCGGCTAAATCTATTAATGCACAACAAAATTATTCTTCAGGTATTTTTTGTTGAGAAATTTGAAATTTTCTCAGCTTCCATTATGTGACCTATATAGGCATTCATTAGAAAGGTTTTTTGAACCCATGGATCAGGAAATTTCGGGTTCCGTGCGGTCGAAGCTGCAGTATTTGCTTCTAAATATAAATATTTCTACCTTTAAAAGACCGTTAAAGAAATGCTCTTTAGACTTGATTAAATCATTCTGTATTAAGAAACGACCGAAATATTTATCTGAAATTATTTTAATGATATTAATATGCATTGACAATAAAATGCACTGAGACAAGATTTTTTTTTATTTACATACATAAATTAACACTTTATAGTCAACCAAATAGGTTATTTATCTGTACCTTCTAATAGTTATAAACACATAGTACCAGTTACATCGCCTCCATTTTATTACAGATATTTTAAGAGATAGAGCTATTGAGAATATATTGCTGACAAGCAAATTTCTCTCAGCTTCAGCTCTTCAGCTCTTTTAGTATCATTGTATATAATGAAATGAAAATCATTATCATCCTTTCCTTTTAACGTCAAAATTGTTCTATCAGTAAGTGCGATGTGTTGCGTCAGTAAATTTCGAAGATAAAGATTTCTAGTAATTACGATTTCGCCTAGAGATAACAAAATAGGAGGGTAAGATAGCCTTTATTACACCAAATATTATTTTATTTGATCTATTTGTAACTAAAGAACATAAAAATGCAAAAAAAAATATTTAGTTATTATTATTACTTATCACCATATAAAATGTATAATTTGTACTATACAATTGGAATTTTCAAGATGTATATTGTTATTATATAGCCGTTACCAAACATAAAACTTCTTAATAACGTGTTCTTAGAACAATAAATTAAACTGTTCAAAACATTAACACAATTCCGTAAATTCGGTGCTGTTTCGAATTAAACATCGGACGTCAATGAAGAATCAAATCGACCTTGACTTTGTTGCCAGATAACGATTAGAGATTAGAAATCGAAAAGTCACGCACGTCGTATCGACTGCCACGGCTGTCAGTTCCGTGCCCAATGTAATAAACCCAGTGATCACCTTATAGTCCTCGTTTTTAGATTAATGTGTCAGCATACAGATAGCAGAGATACCTATAGATGAAACTGAAAAAAAAATGTGTTTGCAAACGTAACAGATCTTATTTCCAATCTTTATGACAAGCTTTGATTCTATTCAATGTAGATGGATCAACAGATATGCTGCAAATATTTTTCCTATAGAAATATTATTTTATATAGATCTATGTTCAACTTTGCAGTCATTTATCAAGCAGGTATAGATAACTGTTGTTGTTTTTTTTCATCGCCTTAAGAGCATTACAAAGATTTCTGTAATTCCTTGTTCTTGGGAGCATTCACACCAAAATGTGGCAACTTTAATTTGTCAATTTTCAATATTCCTGGATGATTACTTAAAAATATTGCGTCATTAATTATCAAAGAAAATATTTTTATTGCCATATTTCTATGAGATTTCAATAAAGAAAACGAATCGTTTGTAATTTTTTTGTCTTAATGATATGTATGACGTTTATTATCGATCAAAAGAAAGACAATTTATTTATTCTTTGTATTCTTAAAGAATATGAAGGTAATTAAATGTCATAATTATACTTAAATCTATTATTTATCAACGTTTGTAATCGTATTTACATTTGACTACGTTGTAATTAATTCTAAGCGAGATATAATTAACGGTTTTAATTTAGGAAGAGAGAAAATAAAATATTGGTAATTTCTAAAAACAGATTATTGAGTGTAAATTATGGTAGTAATTTAATTTACTGCCGTAATTACGGCACAGTTTTGAAATGATTTATTAAGTGTTAGAATTAATTACTCTGGTCACGCGGAAGTTTTCCTTGAAAGAATCATCGATAATTCAAGCATGTCCATTGGACAGGTACCTTTAATTTCCTACTAATACTACCGATTAGACATTTATAATTACATGGACTTGTCATTTGTAAGTCTAATCACTCGAAAGTCACGATATGCATAGACACTAATAATACATAGGACTCAAAATGAGCCACATATATGTAAATGTATATTAATATATGTAATCTTAAAATAAATATTCATTAAAACATGTTGCATTAAAACATGTTGCACTTCATCGTCCTCGTCTTTCTCGATAATCGTCACTTAGTCGTCCTCCGTGGCGCAGCGGTCAACACGCCTGCCTGCGACGTGGAGGCCCCGGGTTCGATCCCCGGCCAGGTTATGATGGAAAACGATCTTTTTTAGGGTTCCGTACTGATTGGCCTGGGTCTTGGATGTTTATCTATATATGTATCTATTATAAATATAGTACCGTTGAGTTAGTATCCCATAACACAAGTCTCGAACTTACTTTGGGGCTAGCTCAATCTGTGTGATTTGTCCGTATATATTTATTTATTATTTATATTTATTATTATTTATTCATCATTGTTCATTATATGTGCCTATTATTTTCAATTGTAGCCCTACCTGTGACATATTATATTATAATTTATTAAGCCTATTATAATTGATACGATGATACGGAGAGCGTAATTAACACCTTAGTCCTGATGAAAGTTATCAAAATAGATTCAAAATTGGCAGCTTGACATTTCCAGAAAATATAAACGAAATGAGGACCTCTGCTACTTTAGTGTATGATCCCATATTAATTCTGTCACTATTTTTAGGGTTCCGTGCCAAAAATGCGTAATGAAATCCTTATGGTGCGACTTTGTCCGTCCGTCCGTCCGTCAGTCACTTATATCATCTACTAATGCTATCAATTATATACTTGGAATAATTTTACGTATCATTAGACCACATGTATTTGTTTTTTAGTGGATGATAATGAAATGATAACCCCGCCTGCGCTAACGATATACGCTCGCGAAGCACCTGTGAGGGATGACAGGTGGGAATGAAAAGGGAGGTCAGTTAGCCCACCATGATAAATATGTCTAAAATTCAGCACGATGGTGTCCAGGGGGATCACGTGGAGGTCGACCTGACGTAATATATTGCTAGCAATGGGACCGGTAATCCACAATACTAACAATCCCTTTTCTCCCCATTTTTATTTTCTTTGCTAAGGGGTCCAAAATGGCATTATAAATTTAAAATTGACTTATTAGTCCAAGTAGAGTATCATAAGAACGAGCATTTGCATCATTATTCGTATATTTTAAAACTAAATTTTATATATTTCGTAGTTTTTTTCTTAATATAAGAAAAGAAACCAATACTTCTAAAACTTCGGAGATAAACAGAGTCGACCATTTATCTCCGAAGTTTCAGAAGTGAAAATATTGAAATAATTAAAATATATAAAGTTATATGTATATATTATAGGAAGAATAAAATGATGTTTCTAAGTCATCAGTTATAAGAAATTATCAAAAAATCGTATGAGAAATGTAATAAAGCTAATTTTATGTCATATTCATATATAATGTACGGAACCCTCAGCGTGTAAGTTCCTCTCGCACCTGACCAGTTTTTTGTTTGCAATACAAAATTTTAATTTAGGATTGAAAGTATTTAGTACATTTAGCCGATATACACGTTATGATACGGCACTATGAACTTGATATCAAATAAGGTCAAACGCAGGTCGCGAACTTGTCTCTGTCGGTCTTCATTCGCTGCGCCATCGTAGAATTATGACGCTCTTGTTATAAAGTACATTCACCATAATTGATCATATTTAAAAAACTAGACTTAAGGTCGTGGCCTAGTAAACCTATGCCAATTCAAAAATCCTGAGCTGTCATAGCTCACTCTTTAGCAAACATTAAAAACTTTATGTCAATTTAAATTTCTAAAATTGTTCAATGATTGTGAATACTATGATAAAAACCACAATGGTAACAAAAGAAAATGTTAATGGTTTACAATTAGTGTTATGCTTTCAAACACACAATAATTCCTAATATTACGGCTAATACCTACCCTTTGATCCAAAACACATTCGTGCATTCAAAACAGACAGACCGTGCGTGCAAAACAGATTCTTGGTACCAAAAACATAAGTAAGACAGATATGTCTGTTAACTTACGCAGATTTTGTACAAAATTTCCTTCTGATAAGATGTATACATATCTATTTAATTTATCGTCCGTCCTTCGACTTGATGGAACTTCTTTACGCAGAAACCTATATAGATGAGGTGTATCTATTAAAAAAGTCATTGTAATATGTATTTAATTAATCCACATCATAAACCATTTAGTTATAAAAAATAAGGTTAAATTGAAACTTTCTAAATTAATAAACTTATTGTATTAAATTTCAGCGACGCTTCTGGGATCAGAGTGTTCAGTACAAGAACAATGTACATTGAAAGTGGCGTATAGTGCTTGTTTGGATGGTGTATGCCGATGCACTGATGGACATCTACAATTCAGGAAACACACATGTCTCTCACGTAAGTATTTATATCAATGAAAATAATTTTGTTTAAACTATTAAAAGAATAATAATATTGAAGTACCTGCTATCTCCCAAAGGTTATCTCGAAGACTGCGTTAGCGATAAGACCGCCTATTATATTTCCAAATGCTTTTTTTTTAATAAAAAATAAATCATAATAAAGCAATTTCACAGCTTTTACAATAGTGCTATGTAGGTCTATTGTATTTACTACTACATACTATACGAGCATGAGTATAAACCACTACCACACAATCTCTGGTGTCAATAGTTGCCGCAAATATAAATCAAATTATTCAAACATGAAATTGAAAAATAAGGTAATTTATAGACTTAGGTTGAAATTCAATTTTGTATATTCAAACCGCAGTCATATTATATAAACAATTATATGAATTTCAAGTTCGTATCTCATTTCATTTTAGACATTAGATGTATATAACAAAATAAATGATATAATTGATACCGCAGTAACTTTCTCATTAGGAAGGATTTTATTTCATTAATTCATTCATTAATGAAATAAAATAATAAAAATATTATAATTATCATCCTTTAAATACAACCTGCTTATTGAACTTTTAATAGATCATAGTCTTTATACTTTTAAGACTTTCCAATAATTAACAACGCATAAACGCAAATGGTGTTTTATCTGGGTTTCAAGTTTATTACGATGTTGATATAAAGTTCTTACGACATCCGCAATCAGTTGTGATGAGTTTTCTTTTGATATGGCCTCTAATGGTGCAGTAAATGAGAAGAACTTTCATTTTCATAGCGGCTACGGCGCGAGCGGCACGCGGCTTTACTTATCGACGTATCGTCCGCCGTCCGCTGCCCGCCACGCTAAATGCACAAGTCACGGACAGAAATTATCGTACTAGATTGAAATGCGATGAAACAACCGTGGAATTTCATAAAGCGAGAAAATGAAGTTTTAAATATAATTGTCCAAAACAATTACATTATTACTATTAATAAAATAGATGGCATTTTTTCTATCAATTCGGGCAGACATTATGCAGAAATAAAATAAGATTTCGAAAAAGATAATAACTAATACTATAACTTTTAAGTAAGACTTTTCTTAAGTTTTATATATAGTTCTATCATAAGCGGGTTTATTATGAAATATTTTAAATCAGACAATAAATAGAAGGTAAATAAAAAAGAGCAGGTAGCTTAGGACCGTTCCTTATGGGTTATACGTTCCTTAATATGTATAAAATGATAAGATGAAAATTTTTGGAAGACGTACAGATAATTGCGAAATAAAACTTATTTCTACTGTTTTTATTATAAATTAAATCGTCAATTTTTATTGAAATTTCATCATAACCTAACATCAACAGTGATAATGGCATTCATTATAATTTATTTGATTCGTATAATAGAGTGAAGGATGGACAATAACGTTCCTTTTAAAACATCTCTAAAACCCTAACTGCAGTTACCAACCCGCTTGCCAAACGTGGCAGTTACTGGCAAAACTCCCCTTACGGGAAAGGCTAATGTTCAGCAGTGGACAGTTAACGGCTGAAATAATAATAAAAACAAAAAAGTTCAGCACAAATTTTAATGAAGAATTTAAAACTTGATTCACATTAACCTTAAGTCAGTATCGCTTACAAACTTGCCGGTATGGAACCTAACAATAAGGTCATTAACAAGATAACATTTACTATCTATAATATACTTTCCTAATAGGCATATTTCCGCGATAAATCGAATAAGCTCGTGAGAAAACTAAGTAATTGTTCTATACACTTCGTTAGAAGTTCATGTGAACCTTTGTTATCATAATTTTATTGCTTGATGTGGGAATCTTCTTGCTGCACCACTACTTTCAATAATTTGTACGCTGTTCTAGAAAATATTTCAGTAAATCACAAGTTTAAATAATTTCCATCTCGTAAATATAGTTGTTTACAATAATTTGTTACTTTATACTTACCTAGGTTGAATGACAACCTTATAATATATAAAGGAAATTCATACATATTGATGAAACCCATTTCTAGTCTTGTCTTCATTAATAAATGGTAAACACCTAAATTGTAATGAAGATAATACCTACTTTAAACCTTTTAATTATAAATGCAAATCAATAAAGGTATGCGGTCCCTAATTAATTTGCAAAGCCTTTAATTTATGTAAAACTGTATTTCTAAATTCTCAGAGGCCACTTCAACATCGATACATAATACTTCATTATAACTGAACTGAATGCGGTACTTTCTAACAATATTTTGAATTATAATTTTTTTAAATACTTTACAAGCTTTTATACAGTGAATCTCTGTCACAGCTCGATATTACATAGTAATCATAAATCAACCAGGAACATCACAAACCTAATTTATAGTTACACATAAAACTAGATCATAGGTACTAATTTATGGTTACACTCAAAAGTTAATTAATGCAAACATTGTCGAAATCAAATTACAAGATCACTATAGGAATTACTAATAAGCAGATATGTATATAAAATTAGGTATTTTTCAAACACGTTAAATATACCGTTAGAGTGAGACCTCGTTTAAAGAGCGGAAGGAAATAATTGACAAACTACATGTTTTAAATCCTGAGAGCCATGCAATATTTAATTTCAAATAATATTACTAGAAAAAATGCAGTTATATTATTATGGGTATTAAGGTCGATAGATCACCGAGAGAGAAGTTTGCGTGTGGTGCTTTACGGTTCCTGATTAACATATAATGGCTAATCAAATTACCATTTGTGATTTTCATTCTCAACGTTTATTTATAATGTCCCCATTGTGTCTTATAAGAAAAGAACTTTAAGATACTAAATAAAATTTTAAGTATAAAGTAAAAGTCAAAATCGTATATATAAATATTCTAGAAGAATACGTATCATATACGTGGACGACATACATAGAAAATAAGTTAAAACTGTATCTTGACTATTAGAGCATGTGATGGTATGGTCGAGAAAATTGCCAACCACTCGTTGCACCTACAATCACGAGGTTAACAAAGATTGGCTGGTTTCAACGGTCAATTAACGTTCAACAACTAATTTGCCTAAAGCACTTTAGTTAAAAATGTTCCATCTGCTGCGTTTCTGTTTCAGCTGCTCCACCCGGTCACGTATGTTACAGCAATGAACATTGTCGATTATGGGATAAAGAAAGTCATTGTGAATATGTTATACCAAACCTTTTTGGGCGATGTGCATGTAACTCATTCTTCCGGCAAGTAGGAGATAAATGTATCGTCGAAAAACCATCAGGGTATGCGACAGAAGCAGTTGTTGCAGAACAAGAAACTATTATTGCTGACACCAGTAACGGTTCAATTGTTCTTAATATTCATAAACCGTCAGTAAGTTACAATATAAATTCGAGAAACCCTTACGAGCCGCCAAATATAATTGACGAAGATGGCATACAACCAAGTAAGTTGCCAATGTTTACCAATAAAAATGAATTGCTTAGCACACAAGAGGATAGTCCTTTTATGCAGGCTGTTATGAAAGTACCAACAGTTGATCCAATAAAACGCCTACCAGTATCAAATAGAAAAGATGGAGATCCAAATGAAACAATAAGTGTTGACGAATTAACGGCCAATTTACATGCTAACGATCAGCCAATTTATAGAGTAGTAACACAACCATCAGTTGAAAAGAAGACTAATAAAAAGACTAGCGGCTCATCGAAGGAGCAAAGTTCAGGAAGCAAGCCATATAAAACAGGACATCAAAAGAAATCTTCTTTAAAGGGTTTGTATACTACAACTATTATTACTATTACTTATAATATTTATACATATTACAATAAAATCCTTATTAATTTCTTTATTCATATTTTTTTATAGATAAAAATCGTTATCGACCTGAGGTGGCTCCAGTAATAGACCTTGGACCAGCTTCTCTTGGTATGCCCTGTGTTAAAGACTCACAATGTCAAGAAGTAGATCCATATACTAGATGTCTAAATAAAAGATGCGATTGTACATATCGTACGAATTCTACATCTGCCTGTTCGGCTCGGAACCGAGGTTGTTTACCTGGCACTTTCCAAGTTAGTATGATATTAAAGAAAACTGTCACGACGATTAGATGAAACTGCTATTGCTAATGGTAGTACTAAATAAACTCTATTATTACAGTGCAGATCAACGGGCACATGCATCAGTTGGTACTTTGTCTGCGACGGCCGCAAAGATTGTCCCGATGGCTCTGATGAAAAATGTCAAGGTAGTAAAGGTAACTGTCTATGCACCGATTTCTTTCATTGCACTTCTTTTTACTTTATGCTTTCACTTCTTTTCAAGCGTGACTATATTTCAATGGAAAATTAACCAATAATTTCACTTAATATTTATTTCTATAAGTAGTACGTGACGAAAAGTAAGTATATTGTGATTTATTGTATGCATCAGTATTGTACTTTTATGTTACTTATTTATAAGAAAGTACGTTGATATGTAGTTTATATTACAATGCAATATAAGACTTTATATATTTCTTTTGTTTTTAAGCGTCTTCCAAAAATGGAAATTTACCTATAGCGTTTACTTACTTTTCTTGACGGAACAAATAACTGCTTCTTATAAAGCAAAATATATATGTATATACGTAATATTTTTACAATATGGATATCTAGGACACATCTCGTTACTTTTTTGCGGAAGAATAATATATAACACGTCTATAAATACATAAATTATTATATATTATATTTACAGATAGGTCAGGTGAGCGATGCCCCATGCATGCATTCCGTTGTGGAGGTCCTGGTTCACGATGCGTGTCTCGAGCATCTCGGTGTGACGGCACTCCACAATGTCCTGGAGGTGAAGATGAGAGAAATTGCCACTCAACACGACGTAGAGGGTAAGTTTACAACCAACAAGACAATCCTATCATTAATTATATCGCGAGACTTAAATAGCTGGTTTCACTGGAACGGGACATAATCGAAGCATTCTGAAATAAACTATATGTAGGATATTATCTAATAAAATTAAAACAGTACTTAATTTCTTTTACATTTTAAATTTTTCTCTTTTTAATCTTCTCTTCTTTCTTCTTTCTTTCTTTCTAACGTTTACCTACACCAATTTTTTCATATATAGGCGACGATTATCACTTCTTCTTGTTTGCTATTTTCAATACTACCTACAAGAATAACTTTTTGTCTTCTTTCACCACTTTTATACACAACAATAATATGTCAGGAATTGCAGGTATCACCAATTTGCATGACAAGGTCTTATTATAATGTTGAAACAGTAAAAGTAGACTTAAATAATATGTAAATGTACCTACTATCCTAACTGATATTATAAATGCAAAAGTGAATTTGTACGTTTGTTTGTTGTGTTTTAACATCTAAATCGTTGAATCAATTATGATAAATTATGGTATCGAGATAGATATACTTTTCTTATGAAAAACTTACACTTATATGTATAATTTTTGTTTGAAACTATTGCATCTTTTGATTTGCTTCAATCTTTGCAGAATTATTGTTTATAATTTTTAATTATAGCATAGATATTTCTTTTTTGCTCTTTAAAGGAGGGTAGGTTTCTTTTAGTAATTATTTTATGTATGCCTATACCAGTAACCAGAATTGTTGAATAAAATTCATATTAAAGCAAGTGAAGCCGCAGGTAAAAGCTATTATGTAGTATATTTGTGGTAGAATTACAGTAGAGTATTTTTTTAAATATTTAATTAATTTTATTTCAGATGTCCTCGCCACACTTTCCGATGCAGCTCCGGAGAATGCCTTCCAGAATTCGAATTCTGCAATGCTATTGTCTCCTGCAAGGATGGATCTGATGAACCACCTCATCTGTGTAATGAACAATCTAGGTAATAAAAGCATATTATATCGTATGTCCAAAGGTGATACGCAAACTTCACAGGTTTACAATATTAAATCCTGCAGGATAATTATTTTTTAACGTTTGATTCACCTATATTAATATACTAATCAAATCAATCTCGATCACACTTCTGATGCAGCTCTTGGTTTTTCTAGACTGTTCTTTGTGACATGACTGTCTTATTAGTTCATTAATTAAATCCTTTTTTTTATTATAAAAGATGATATGCGCGACTACGTTGGGTTTTTTTTTTTATACAACTTAGAATGGCAAACAAGCTGACGGCCCACCTGATGGAAAGTAGTAACCGTCACCTATAGACATGAGCAGTACCATGGACATAACAGAGTATACTGTTTCGCCCATGATACCCCCCATGCGTTGCCGTTCCTGAGGACTCAGGTGTTATTCCTGTGTACCCAGTAAATTCACGCCATATCCCACCCTTCAAACCAAAACACAGCTATGCAAACACAACTGCTTCACGGTTAAAACACGAATGGGACAGAGGTACCCAAGCAATCGACTTTTGTACAAAGTCTCCTTCTGGTCACATTTTTAATACGTCATCTTGCATACATCTCTAAATTTCGAATCTCCTTTAAATCCGTTTAATTGCCACGTAAATACAATACATATAAAACAAACATAAGATTGATCACTTATATGTTTATAAGTACCGAAATATAATTAATGCTCCAAATGCTCATATTATGTCCGTGAGGTAGAAGTTAATATTGCAGTAAATTCTACCTGTTGGACAAAAATAAATGAAAAAAGGAACAAAATATAAAAAATTTTTGTCTTTTGTCAACATCTTACCTTACTCTAAACTCAGTAAGTAGACGCTAATTAAAGACAAAATTGGATTGATTACATATTAGAAATAGTTTTAATGAAACCTCTTTAATAATATAAATGCGATATTATTTTTTTCACATTTCAAATTAGAAAGTATTCCAGATACTTGTAACATACACATTTTAGACATTAAAGGTAAAAACCTACCTACTTAAACATTTCGTAATCAGCACACGTGTGACCCATAAGAGTGTTTGCCCAAATATTTGATCCGTACTAAGACTTTTAGTACAAACATTTGACGGCAATTTGAAATTGTTTGAGCAGATGGCGCGCCGCCGACTTCTGCCCATTGCGATGTGGGAACGGCCGGTGCAGGAGCACGGCTGTTGCGTGTTCAGGTCGCGACGGATGTGGTGATAATAGTGACGAGATTGCTTGCACAGTTTGTAGTAAGTGTCTAATAATTTAAATTTAATTAATTATCGAATTAACTAAGTAACACCCAGTTTTTTTACTTTTCCTGAGGAAACCTGTAGTATCTGTAGGAATTGAATTTCTTTGTCAATTTTCAATATATGATTAAGTATTAATTTGAAAAGCTATAAAAGTTCTATATGTTAGGTACATTTTGTTATCGATAAAAAATTAAGAACCTGCTGCTAATTATAAGACAAGTGCATTTTTATTATAAATATTTCTTATGCGAATTCAACAGACATCGTAAAAAATATGCACTAGGAAGAAATTTGTGACAATTTTCATAAAAAAAAACTATAGAAAAAAGGTAAAAATGTAAAAAAAATATTCTTTCCCTTTTATTATCTAAGTTCCCTTTTATTATCTATAGAATCCATAGAACCATATTTTTCTTGCGTCCAGTGTATTATATCGGTGATGATATCACCTTGCAATTTTATTGTTTGTGCGGCCAAAGTAGGTACCTAGTTTCACTCCAACAATGATGAATTATTTATGCGTACCTACATATTATTAGGTATGACCAAAAAACCCGAAAGAATGCAAAATTGAAGTACCGTTTTCGTCAGGCGTCATAAAATGTCCAATGGTTAGCTAGCACCATGTCGGGTGACCACCTGACCAAACATGTGAAATAATGACATTCTGCATACATCGTTGATGTTCCGTTATTTGAACAATAGACACAAAGCGAATGTCAATCATTTCGTTTTACAACCAAATATAATAAAACTGTTGTAAATAGACGACATCTGTGATCACATATACAAGTATAAGAGATATTTAAGAAAAAAATATTTAAGGTATCTATAAAAGAGAAAATAGAAAATACAATAGTATTTTGTTTTTATTTTTTATTTAATTTTAAACGTAATGTATAAGACGAGCTTACCTGTATGTTTGTTCCGGCATCATACAAGGACTACTGCACTACATTGGATGCAGTTTTCACAGTTGAAATCCTGAAAGTCTAACTAAAATCTAGGAGAAGTCGAATCATTGATTTTCCTACTTTTAAAATTTTGTGTTTTATAAACTACAATATTTATTTTATAAATAAAATTATACTTTTTTTTTTTGCAGGGTGTCCAGGCCCCGTACATTCGCCGTGAACTTAATATATGGAGACTTTAATGAAATCGTGACACATTATAAATCTATTAGCGCTTAGTCGCTTTATTTTCTTCTATGTTTAATTTCAATTAACGTTTATTTCCAATAACTTAATAAACGCGAAATAAACTTTACACTTACGACTGACTAAGAGCAAACAGAGGCTTATATTTTATAAGATGAATCGTAATTCATCTCTATTCCTTCGACATCATCATCATCATCATCTCAGCCATTATCTGTCCGCTGCTGTCTATTCCTTATTACACATAATTTCAACAGAAAATGGGAAACTATAATTTAAAGTACCTAATTAAATAATGATCTATATCACTGTTTAACCATAATCATCATATCAACCCTTAACTGTCCATCCCCATAGACTGTCATACAAAGTGATCCCATGCCACTTGCATTCATAAAAGCAATTACTATTATTATTTATACTTATGGTTAAACCGACAACTATACTAACTGTGATTGTGTGAAATTTTCTTACTAAATAAGTATTTATTTCAAATATCAAAAATCATTTATCGTCCTTAAAATTTTCCGATGATCTTGTTTTTCTGCATATATAAATTGATTTCGGGATTTCTAATGAAAAATTACAATGCAAGTAGGTACATGGATGGCGCAAAAATATTTTCATGCTTTAGTACTCATCCATATGCCTATACAAATTTTCTTAACAAATGTAGATTAAATCCGTCGACTCATTACTAGATATCGTTGCAAAAGATATGGTGCAAAGTCAATTGAAATTTACAGAAAATTGGATTGATTAAAAATCTATATTTATTAAAAATTCATAATGAAAGTTGGCTAAGTATATATATACTTATATACTTAGCTTATGTTAATGTATACCATAATGTTGATCTAATGGACCTAAGTCTATAAATTACAATTAAAGCATATATAATATCTTTAGTTGTGTGCACTGTATTAGATATATGTTTATTGAAATATAAAAAAAATCTCATAGTTATTCGTTCATGCTAATCTGCAAAACTACTTATCAAATTTTAATGAAATTATATAAATATATATTGTTTTATTACAACTTGAGACATAGTTTGTGTAAGAGTAGGTGGCAAAACAATGTTTGTCGGGTCCGTCGGTATACATACTTGTAATCTTTCATACAATCCCTCATTAACTCATTGGATTTTTTCTCTATCATTAAGTCTTCTTTTAAAATTAATTAAGTTTCACTACTACAGAACCATCGTCAAAGATTCACTATAACAATTTCTTATAAAATTATCTAGTACTTTATCTTTAATTTTATTAGTTAAGGATGTTTCGATAACATGTATTTTTTGTGAAGAACAGATATTTAATGTATGGTTTATTTATTTAGAATTAGTAACAATTGTTACTGTTATGTTTATAATACCTACCTATATGGAGTACGTTTGGTTTTTGATCTAAATGGTACTTATAAGTAAACAGCATCTGAAATAGTATTATTAGGTACTAATTGAAGAAATTAATTTATTATATAATTTATTTTAATATATGTTAAAGTCATAAACTTTTTAATGAAATTAATTAATGGTAAAGAAAATCAGACGTCTGTAGTAGCTGACATAATTTTAGAACACATCTGTAAACAAAGACTATGGGCAGGTAAACTAGTCTGTTTCAATAGAATTTAATAAAAATGCCAACAAACGAATAATCGAACCAACATTAAAACAGTCTACTGATGTCCCATAGAAGTAAAAGCGTAAAAATAATTTCTTACTAACATCATTTTAATAGTATTTCTGTGATAATTTCAACAAAACATAGTGACCTTTTTCATTAAATTCTATTGAAACAAACTATATTTCTTGTTCTTTAACTTCATGAACGTTCACTTCATGAACGAAAAGTGTAAGCACTTAAGTATTTATGCAACAATATTTTTTAGAACTTTTAGAATGTTCACTATAAATAAATTCGTATGAAACAAATTGTAAAAGAGAATTAAACCTACAATCATAATTATATAGGCACATAATTGTATCTAAACTGATGAATTTATTGAGTCTTTGTCTTCTACATATACTGTACATTTCCTACGTAACAATTTTAACATTCCTAACCACAGGTGTGACTATAATATAAAACCATATTAGATAACCACTACTTTCTCATTCACTCCATTCCCAAATATAATATCTTATCTATTTATTATCATAAATAGGTTTAGAGTAATTTTATTTTTCCTAGAATCGTCATTTGCTAATTGTATAGATATTTCCAATAATCACTGTTTTGCTCTTATTAATTTATAAGTGCCGTAAACGCAATGCATTTTTTGCCATTTTATTCGTCAATTAAAATCGCTAATTTAAGTATTTAAATAAGCGACGAGCGCTATAAGACTGAGGAGTAATAATACACTTGACTTTTTTTAATTTACCTATATATAGATCTAGCAAATGGGAATATACTGCCAATTCTGTAAATCTATGAACAATATGCTTTATTTATTGTTCTTATTTGTAAATATTAAAGGGTAGTTAACTATAACATTTTTGTAATGTTCGTAATGAAAACTTTACATTGGCTAATTGTCATAAAAATTATTATTGTAGGTATTTACTCCAGGATAAATACTTTTGTAGAATTTAGTATACTACATTCTAGTGTGAGTTTCACATGGTTAGTCATGTAACTAAGTTTGTAATATAGTGTGTTTATGTGTGTGAATGTGATAATTATTTATTAAACTAATTGTAATATTTTATTTTTGATATTTTTTACTACTCCTATTAGATTGTGATCAAGAACCTAACAATACCAATTTAAGTAATATTTTTCCTGCTTTTTAATTTTGATTTTTCTGATATCAGGGAAATTTGCTGCAAAATCATATCCAAGCTCAAAGAATACACAGACTAATAAAAAAAAGTGAAATGGAATATCTCCGTAATACGAATACAACTAATTACTTACACTCGATATATACTAGCAAGAAATAAATATTTTTTACAAGTGTTCGTGAAGGCATTGACATTTTTTTTTTCTACCACGAAATTGCCATTTTCGTATACCAAGCATAAGAGTCGTCTGATGGTAAACTGTCACTGTAGTCTATAGACGCCTGCAACACTAGGGGGGTCGCGTGCGCGTTTCCAACCACGAAGAAACATTATTATTATCTATTATTATTTCATCCATTAACTGTCCACTGCTGAACATAAGCTTTCCACATAAGGGGAGTTTTGCCAGTACTTGCCACGCTTGGCAAGCGGGTTGGCAAACATTAATACATCCTTTTTAAAGAACTCTAGGAAAAATCTCGGCAGGGTTCTCATTACACTGCCTGAGCATTCGCGATAGAAAACTCTGAAACCGTACTAATAAACCGTGCTGAAACCGTAATCAATTAGGTTCAAGCGTATGAGAATGAACTGAGATTAAACGTTGTCAGTCAGGCAGTGACTGGACTAGTGTTCAGCCACTGCCAGTGTCCAACGGTAGTCCACTCACCAAGAAGTTCTTAACTTCACGTATTAAAATACATGAACGTATTGCACCTGTATGAAGTCGGAGGGGATCAATAGATATCGATAACTTATTTTATACAAGCTGTTTCCCGCGATTTTGTCCGCGTACATTAATATATAAAGTATCCTATGTGTTAGATATATATCCTACCCGTGCACCAAATTTCATTAAAGTGTAGATAAAGTATTAGCAATATGCTACAAAATACTTTATTGCTCACGCGAATAATTAGGCGCTATCTCCGAGATAACCATTGGACGACAGCTGAGCTATTCATTAACGACCATTCCACATCATCAACCAGTCACAGAGGTTTATCACGTCATAGTATGAACGCCAAATATAACACAGACGACAATTACGTGAACTTTTTATTTTTTAATTTGAACTTACGTGCCAACATACTGCAATGTACCTAATACTCATAATTTTTTTTAACTCTTCATTATCGTCGTTTATTTCCAAAAATCCTGGTGTTATTACTTCAAAATACTAAGAGTATTTATTCAAGATCGCTTTAAATAAATGAAAAAAGCATCTCATTAACAAACGTTATTGAGTAACAAACATACATATATCTGACAAACTTTCTCGTTTATTATATTAATAGGATAATATTATCTACAATTGGAATTAGCTTCTTAATATTACATTAATGTATAGTGAATAATATAGGATTTTAATATAGGTACATTAAAAATGTGTTTTGTTACTATTTAGTAAACTAATCTAGCAGAAGTTAGGGGGGAAAGGGATTGTTATTAGTAGTGAGACTGAGAATCCTATTGCTAGCAATATATCTATCCAGGTCGACCTCCTCGCGGTTCTCCCTGGAAACTATCATGGTTAATTCCTGATGAATTCATCATGATGGGCTAACTGGCCTGTTTTCATTCTCATCTATCACCCTTCACTGGTGCTCCGCCAGCGTATCCCGTTAGTGCAGGCGGGGTTACCATACCATTTTCACCCATAAAAAAAAATCTAGCAGTAGTATATAGTAGGTACTAAAGAGAGACTATATAAAATTCGTCTGCTGTGGTACCACTGTCTCATTCAGGTTTCTGCCATGAAGTAATTAAAATCGAGAAATAAACAGACTCTGATAGCGACTTTTTTTTACAACACAGGGGGCAAACGAGCATGCGGCTCACCTGATGGTATGTGACTACCGCCGCCCATGGTCACCCACAACACCAACAACATTGCAGGTGTGCTGCCGGCCTTTTAGAAAAAAATATGCTCTTTTCTTGAAGGTTATGATGTCGTATCGTTTCGGAAATATTTCTGCTGGAAGTTGATTCCAAAGAGTGGTTGTGCGTAGAAGAAAGTACCTTGAAAAACGCACGGTGGAAGAACGCCACTCAGTTTAGTTTATGGCGGGTTGTACGGTGTTAAAAATCAGCAGCAGGTATTAATCCGAGCAATTCCTCAGAGCACTCCCCATGATAAATTCGGTAGAAGATGCACAGAGATGCAACATCTCTATGCAGTTTCAGTGGGTCGAATCGGACAGTAAGGCGCTGATCGTCAACAATTCGAGCCACCCGACTTTGAATGCGGTCTAACGTAAGGAGTTGATACTGTGGCGCTCCTGCCTATAGGTGACAACAGTATTCCATATGTAGCCGGACTTGAGCTTTATACAATTTCAGGTGTTGTTCCGGCATGAAATACCGTCTCACTCTATTGAGCACTCCTAACTTTTTGAAAGCTATCTTAGCTTTTTCCTCCAGATGACCGCAAAGTTGGACGTCACTAGATATATCGACGGCAAGAACCCCTAGACTCGACTTATTATCAAAGGAAGTGCCTTGAAAGTGAGGAGATACGACAAACGGCGTCTTTTTTGCGGTCGGTACTTTATACTAGATATTTATAAAACACATTGAACAAACAGATATAAAACGTTATGCGAGTACCTTTTCCACATTAAAATTACTATCTATCATTGATCATATAATCATTGATCAGATAAAGCGATAATTTTTAATTGATATCAACACGCCACAAAAATATAGATTTGGTAAGAAACCACTATGAATTAACAATATGACACTATGAATAGAGTGTTAGTACTGAAAGGAGTATCGATCAGTTAGTTTGTAACTTCTGCGTATATCCTCATTTTTAAATTACTGAATTAGCTATATTTCACAAGCAAGATGCTTACATGGTTCGTATCTATCTTTGATCTCTTTTCTTTAATATTATTAGTATTAAAATATTAAATACAAAAACAATATCCTTTAACTACTACATATTTATCTATAGTATAGCAAATGAGCTGACATCAGTTTCATACACGCAAAATTTAATTAAAATTAGTTTAACCGATTAAGCGTAATTGAGAAAATAAAATTTTATAATATTTTATTAATCATATTAATATTATAAATGCGAATATTTGTAACTATGGGTGAATGGATCTGTGTTTTTTTATTATTTCACGCAGAAAGTACTGTACGGATTTGAATGAAATTCACTACTTTGTATGTAATTGAAGAAACCGTAGATATAATCGCAATTATTTTCATTATGTATTAGTACGATGTAGAATGCGAGACGAGTCAGGTTAACTGGTCTATCATTGTGTGTTTTGGTCCTTTGACCATAGAATCTGAAACGAGGATATCCGCAAAAGAACAAAAATAACCGACATAACCCGAAAGATAAATATGCTGAAGTCGCAATGGGCTGGTCACGTAGATCGAAGAACCGACAACCGATGGAGAAGAAAGGTTCTTGAGTGGCAACCTCGTACTGGCAAACTTAGTGTAGGACGATCCCCACTAGATGGAGTGACGACCTGAAATGCATTACAGGGAGTCCGTGGATGCAGGTGGCTCAGGACCATTCCTTATGTCTATGGTATATGGGGTAGGCCTATATCCAGCAGTGGATACATAATGACTGAAATTGTGATGATGATAATTAGGGTTTCTCAAACTTTTATGGTGACGACCTCAATTAAAAATAATAAGTATTTACAAAACCTAAATATGAATAAATGTGTTTTTTTTTACTATAATCAGTATTGTTTTATGGTGATAGATACTTTTAACAACCGTAAAACATATCTAATCATCAAACATAAACCGTAAAACATAAATAATAATCATCTTATCTTAAATATACCATAAGATTTTATTTTATTCGTGAAAAATATAAGTATTTGAAAATTTTTTTGGCATAATAAATACTAGCAGTGTGCTCTGGCTTTATATCTTTTTTTAAATTAAAATACATCCTATGTTACTTACTGATCATATAGCTTTCTATTTTAGACTATATACATACACATGAAAGAATGTTTAAAATCGGTTAAGTAGTTTTTGTGTTTATCCATTACGAGTATAAACATTTTTTTATAATATTTGAAATATAGAGTTCTGTATACCATGATATTTGTTTAGACAAAATTAATTCCGGACGATATTAATTTTTGAACAAATTATCTATCAGTTGTACTACGCGATATCTCGACTGTTGCGCGCATGCGTACATACGATTAAAAACAGTAATGGCGGCACAGCATCCCTATCAATACATACAGCTGATCTTAAGTTTCTAATTTTAGTAGATAAATACAATAATATAGACAAATTTATAATAAAAGTTTTGTGATGTAATAATTACGGGTAAGTTCTTAATATTTTATAAAATAATGTAGTTAATATCTTATATTATTTTTAATAAGTGAACAAGTTTTAATAATATTAATATGAATAAATTTTGTTTATTGTATGAACTACTAAACTGTTATATATTTTGGAATTTTACAGGACATAATTCTAAGTAACTTAACGATATAAATATATCCTAATGTTAAAATAAACAACTACTATCTTCATCTTATTATCTTACGATATTACAAAATGATAATACCTAAAATATAAATCTATTCTATAAAAAACAATTATATATATGTATACATATTTATTATATAATAAAAATATATATAATACACATTTTTTCTGTACCATAAAAAAGACGGCATTTTTATCACTCTTTTGTTATCCTTTCGCCTAATTTAAGGCATCCGAATATTTCCGGAAGAGCTTTAGAAATAAATTAAGATTATATCTTTACAAATTTGAATGATTAAGAAAATGCAAGTATCATACCTCACTGGTACCCCGCCAGTATATATCGATACCGCTGGCGGGGTTGCTTTTCTATTTTCATTTAATTAAAAAAAATATATACCATGTGAAATGGAAATCATTTACACGATAAGTTTGTATTGAAAACTTAACTGCATCTTTGGCGAATACTTTTAGAAACTTTTTTCCATCATCATACAAAATTACTAAAATAAATCATAGTATAACTGACACTAAGTGCTCTGAAGGATTTTATCATAGAATCATTAATCGAAAATCGACAAAAATTTTAAAGCCTGTCATACAAATATGTCAGATTACGGGTAAGCGGAGAAAGTCCAATGCTTTCTGTCGGCTTTCGAACCATTCTTTAATTAAAATGTTTAATCTTATAGATAAAATTCTCGTGTCGCGGTGTTTGTTACCAAACTCCTCCGAAACGGCTTGATCGATTTTTATGAAATTTTGCGTGTATATTGGGTAAGTCTGAGAATCGGCCAACATCTATTTTTTATACCCCTCAATGATAAGGGGACCCACCTCTAAAAAAAATGTTTATTCTTTTGACAAATTTTTTTATTTTTATTTAAATATAATTTAGCATTGAAAAATACATACAAATTCAAATTTTCATGCTTTTACGATCAACCCCTATTTTTTAATCGCTATTTTTATATGCCGCAATAGGGTTGCAAGACGACAATCGAATATAGTAATTGTAGTACGATAAATTTTCATGTATAGTTCTACAAATAATGTATATGGTAAAACAACGTTTGCCGAGTCAGCTAGTTTCATTATAGATGTCATAGGCGTATTTAAAGGAGAAGTCGAATAGGCCGTGTCGGGTTAAGTTTTAAGAGGGGCGCTACTGCCCATCCCTCGATCATTAAGTTCCTTTAGTTGCCTTTTACGACAACCATGAGAAAGGAAGGGGTAGACAATTTTATGCCGGGACCACACGGCAATACGCCAATGGAAAATGTTAAGAGATTAACGAAATATAATAGATATATAATTTGTAATTTTTATTACAATCTGAGATAATAGTAAATATATTTTGTGATATCATCAGTATGTCTAACGTTTTCAATGTTTTGAAGTTAAGTACCACAAAAGCGTGTATAAAGAACAAATTGCAGTGACCTCACAATGTACCTATTATTGAATGATTTGAATCGTGATCGTGATTATACTCAACACACTATTCCATAACATCCGCTATTATATATACATAAATAATCTTAAGTTTTATGTAATTCAATCCTTATCCTCACTGGGCATTATTTAATTTTTAGGTCGCAAATACATATCTAGATGGAAAGTCGAATGTAACAAAAAAGGTCCCGAAACCTGTCAACCTAATATTGACTTTCGTGACATTTTTTTCATACTGAATGTTAAACATTCAATCTTTAGTCAACACTAGAATATTCTTATTTGTCCATCTCTTACTAGAGTAACGAAAATCTGAAAGTGCAACACTGATACGTAATATTGCACTTCTTGCTCCAAATAGCTACCGACTATTTTCTTTTCAACTACTTAAAGGTTGTCTGGTTGACTTCATAAATAAATTATATACCTATATATATATAAATACTTTTGTACTTATTTAGTATTATATATATATATATATATATATATATATATATATATATATATATATAATACTAATTAAGTACAAAAGTATTTCTGTTAATTCACTATAGACTGTTAAATGTAAGACAGTAATCTTACGATCTTACTTTTTTTTTATATTTAGGTACTGAAATACTCGTACATTCAATAATAATACTACGTCAGCGGGCTGACGGCTCGCGTCCAACTCGCGTCCTAGTAAGAACTAAAATAAGTCAGGTTTAGCGAGTAACAGACACCGTAGTAACGGCGTGCATATCGCTCTCTCGTACAGTATGAGTCGCATTGTATCATAAAATTATTTATTAAATGTGAATAAATTTGGGACAATTCCCCCAAAATATACGAAGTCTAAGAGCAAGAACAACAATATTACCACTTTCACGAAGAAAAGCTTATGAGTGTCACTTCTACCCAATCTGTTTATTCTTATGACTACCGACAACTACTAATATAACAAAATATTATAAAGTGAGTAATACCAATAAATATTTGTTTACAAATTAAATAATGAACGTATCACAATACTTATGAAACGAACACCAATATAATAATAACAATAAAAACCATTACACTTTCCAATCATTCGTTAATGTGTGTATACTAAGGCAATACTAGAGACGCAATTTTATTAATGTACCAGAACGTGTGTAATACTGCAAGATGTTCTTTTTGAAAATATCAAAATGTTTTTTATTACGCGGGTCAAGGTATGTAATCACTGTAACTATTATGAGTTTTTTTGTGACGAGCAATTAAATAACATTCATCAAAATAACCTTCGTTTATATTCACTGATACATTCTAAAGGTATTATAGATAAGTAACCTATAGGGAATGTATTTATTTTTATTGCACAAATAAAATATTTATACCTACTAATATAAGAAATGTGAAAGTTTGTAGAGGTTTGGATATATAAATATTTGTTACTCAATCATGTATAAATCTATAAACTTCTATGAGTAAAAAAAATTTATCATTATTTGACCCCTTAATGGAGGGGTATTTTATAAACTCTATATACCCTATTTATACTTACCATACTTGACTTAAATACTCTAAGAATTTCGTCAAAATTTGTCTAGTCTATTTTACATAACACGATAACAACAAGACAAACGCACAAATCCGCAAAAGTATGAAAATAAAATTAAATATTTCCAAATTTGTGCAAACTTCGAAAATTAATTTACAATTATTTTTCTCTCTCTCTCTCTCTTTTTGGCTATGTCGCTCTGCGTTTGTTGTTATTTATGTGTTATATATTAGTACAAATAAATTGTATATCTATTTATCTACATACCTAGTGGCCGTTGCTCGTTAATAATAATTTAAACAAATATATTTTTCGCAAATATCTAGCGAAATATTCTGAGATAACCATAGGTACCTTCCTATTGTCTACGTACGTATGTAGGTGCATTGCAACGGACCAAGTTCTTAAGATTTATTTCTAAGTACCTGTTGTGGATAATATTCGCCTGCGTGTGTAACGCACAAATAAAACACACTTTTGTCGAAGCAACTCAAGGCACTTTTGACCTCTCTGTAACTTCACTGCGGATAAAGCGAGAAGTTTGAATTTATAGTTATGAAGTGGGCATACTATACTATATATACATTGATTTCGGTTCCCCCTGGAAACCATCGTGCTGAGTTCTAGGTGTATTCATTATGATGGGCTAATTGACCTGTTTTTTTCATTATTCACCTATCATCATTTATCATTCATCATCCATTAAAATATATATATATATATATATATATATATATATTTATTTATTTATTTATTTATTTATTTATTTATACTATATATAATTGATTAGATAACAATAAATGACAGATGTTGAATAGGTGCTTCTTAAAATGGGACCTATTCATACAAAATCCTTGAACAAAATTAAATATTTAATGACACATAATTACAGACATTGATTAAGTAGTAAAAATGATTTTTCTTCTTTGTTAAAACTTTTATTAGAACATCTAAACGTTATAACAAACTCTAATTTACCTTAGGTTTCAAACAGATCGTGCTCGTAAAAATTAGAACACAAGTTTAAATTTAGATAATGATAGATAGCTACAACTACGTAGCACTTAAGACGAATTATCTAGTTTAAAAATTGGCTCACGAAATAACGAACTCTGGGATCATAGATATAAAAGGTCTGAGTTCGGAGAATTTATGAGCTTAATATGAAGACATTTTTATACCTGATACAATTAGTTTAGATACATTGACGTTAGTTAGCACTCGGTGATGTAAGTTTCACAAAACAGTACTAAACAAAAGAAAAATAACGTAAGTGAGACCCAAGTAGAACATGGTAATTAAATTTGTCTACAGCCACACATGACTAGCCTCGCCTTGACCTGAATATTTAAAATAGTCTGATAAATAACATTTTGTCTTGTTTGCTCAGAATTTGTTTCATGATAACATAACCCTCCTTTTGTGATCATCTCTGACGACAAATGCCTATGCAACGCCGACCACCAGCAAACCATGGATCACCTTATTCGGGCTTGCCCAAGGTTCGACTCCACCAGACTCGACCATGAGACCTCTTGCCGAATGGCCGGCGTCGCCGACCCACACGACCTACTAGAGATCATTGGAAAAGAATCCACTGTGCATAGCTTCAAAACACACATCAGATGCATTATCAACAACGCCAAGTCTTTTAACCGAACCTATCACATCTGTGTTGGGTAAAATTAAAGCACTGAATAAATATATATATATAAATACATATTTATTTACGTATATATATATATCTTATATTATACATATAAAATAAATAAATATATGTACATATAAAACTATATAAATAATTATATATACAATACTCGCCCTCTTCAAAAGGTCTCAAACCTTCTCCAAAATTTTCTATCGACTCCATCAACTGTTTAACCTGTAAATCGTAAAATCCACAACGATAACTCACCGCCCATCAATCCGCATCAGAAAGGTTATCTTAAAAGTCATGTTCTCAGTACCCACTTAATGATGAAGCCCAAATTCTTTACCCATATAATTACCTAATTGACTGCAAACCTTGGCATATGTGAGTGTACACCAAAAGCGCAACCGCAAGTGCTTGGGAATCCAAACCCAGTACATTGAACAAAAAAAACCCTCCTTTTGCTTCATAGTCGAGTAAAAAATAAATACATTGATGAGCTCTTTTGGGTCCTTAACGAAATACTACGCCAGATATTCACAATAATGGTAATTGTAAGGCAGTTTTATCTATTTTTATTTCTACATAAAGATATTGTATTATAAATTATTAAATAGGAATATATCTAGCAATTTCTAGTATTAAAAAATATGTTTACTTTTTAATTTAAAGAAAATTCTTTGAGGCTTCAATTATACCTAATTGATTTATCCTAAAATACATTATCAAGATATAAATGTAATAATGTATATAATTTGGGATAATTTTCAATTGAAGTGCATGCTTATGCAAAACATTGCATATACCTATCTTACCACAGAGAGACTTTATACAAAAATTGTCTGCTTGGGTATTTTTGTTCTACAAACCCACTTGTACTTATTCGATGTTGCTAACATCTCATATAAATACCATCACTGTAGTTAAAATACATTAATTAGCCTTTTTATGCAACTAAAAATGGTAAACAAGCTGACGGTCCACCTGATGGAAAATGGTAATAGTTGCCTGTAGATATAAACAATACCATAGACATAACAGAGTTCACTGTGTCGCCTATAATACTCTACATGCATTGCCATTTCTGAGGACTAAGGTGTTATGCCTTTGTACCCCTTAATTTATTTTCCAAATCCCAACCTTCAAACCGACATAGCCATGCAAACACAACTGCTGAAACGGCAGAAACACGAATGTTTTATATAATATGTAATGTATATAATGTAGTTTTGTTTTAGTTAGTACGTGTTAATTACTTATCATTATATTATTGTTTCAGGTTACAGAAGCTCAAAAGGAAAATAAGCATGAAACAATATAAGATTGCTGTTGGCACTCTTATAATCGGCTCCGCTTTTATTACGCTGTTTCTTTATTGTCGAAACCGATATTTATTAGATAAACCTCACGCACCCAGAGCCAGACTAAAAACTATCGCATCGTCTCCTGCGCAGTACATTGTAAATAAACCGATGCGCCATATGCCTCTAGATGAAATATATCCAGATAAATCAAATGATGATTATTCATTTGAATTCAGTACTAAGCGCGGTATTGTAAATTTATTTAGAAATACATAGCTTGCCTACAGTATTATTATAATCGCACCTTTTTCACTACCCTAACATGATCAAATAATATATCTTATTTAGACACAACTCTTTGTAGTTCCATGACATCATTGCATTTTTCTATTCATAGTAGTTAGGTACTTAATCTTGTCAGCTCTCTCGTTTTATTCCAAATTTCTTTATCACTAAATACAACATTAATAAATCGATAGTTTATACCTTTGTCGAAAGTACGTTTCATGTATTTTGATATTTTTTTTATTAATGAATGATAATGGAATGATATCAGTATATGCTGGCGGGACACCAATGAGGAATGATATAGGTGAGGATGAAAGCAAATTGATCATTATGAATACATAAAAAATAGCCCACGATGGTTTCCAGAGGGAACCGCGTGGAGGTCAAGCAGTTAGTGTACATTACTAGTAATGAGGCCGCTAGTCCCATTATTAACAATCTCTTTCCCCCATATTTTGATAGTAACAAAACGTATACATTATATTTAAACTGTTCAAAAACATTTCCAGCTGAAATGATTGATACACCTGGATGCCAGATTCCTGTGGCCTTAATTAACTATAGAGAAGAAACCTCAAAAAAACCTGGCTCATGTGGAAGACGAGCAGTGTTTTTAAAAAAAATTGGAATCGACAAAGTACAGGTTTCAATAAAATCACGCATAATGAAAAAATATTTAAGGAAAAGTATAACTTATCACTGCTGCTACAAATTTATAAGTAGATCAAATCAACCCGGTCATGAACACATCAATATTAAGTATGTATTAATTTGAAATAAGTAAGAACTTCCATTATTTCTTCTTTGATTGCAACTTAACCTACGTTCAAAGTGTATAATGAACAGTTGAAATGCCGATTGTGATTTATTCTGGTTGACTTTAATCCAACTTTAGTAGTAGATTACAATATGTTTATATGTTTACAACGATTTACTTGCGTGCGAAGATTTTAAATTATTTATTTGACATGTGGTTCTATCAATTCGTCAGTCAATTACCTTAGATTATATCAGTTGTTATTATGAATAGAATATTTTTGTAATATAAGCAACATTTTTTTATTGTTTGGAAGGCAAACGAGCAGACGGTCCACCTGATAGAAAGCGGCTACTGTCGCTCACGAACACCTGCAACACAAGAGGAGTTACTTGTGCGTTGCCGGTTTTATAATAACAAAAACATATTACGTCTTATCGTTAATTTTTTTACTTTACTACCTTTTAAAACTGGATTAAAAAATTAAAGTTAATTTATATTTTTACGAAAAAAATATCTCTCGTAATAATTTATATGTAAACTGTCTGCTTCTTCTGTTTTATGTAGTCACAAACTACTTTCATTAATTTTTAATATTGAATTTCATTAATAATTACAATTGTTTCATTACCATTCGTCAATTGACATTCTAAATTATTTACAGATACACAAATTGTCAACACGTTGAAGACGGTGCCACTGTATTATTGGAAACAGACTTTATAAACATCAAATGCTTTGAACACGATAAGCGAAACACGACACATGTTATATACAACGACGTATATGGATTCATCAAAAAGATCAATGTTACAAAACCAGAAGCGACTGATTGCAAAGAAAAGTATAATGTTTTGATGTTAGGAATGGACTCAATGTCCTTACCTCACGTCGTGCAAACAATGTCGCGGACAGTCAATTTCTTGAAAGACAACTACTGGCCTGGTTTCAGAGGTTTTCACAAGGTAGATTTATATTACAAATAATGCTAACGTTAACCCTAAACTGGTAAGATTAAACATGAAATTTTACACAGCAGTTTCATAAATAACTTAGGTGAATACAAAGAAGGAACTTCTCGATATTCCCCAAAGAAAGGGAGATGACAAGTTCATGTGAGCGAACCCGCGGAAAATGACAATATTCTTATTTATGCCATTTAAAAAAAAATACACTAAATTGGTTTAATATGAAAATAAAATTATCACTGTAACCTCAATTATATTATCTCATTCATACAATGTTAGTTGTTCCGGTTCTAGTCAATGGAACATTTTACTAGTACACATTTCGTCAAGCAAATGAAAACCATCGTATTAGGTAAATCTATTTGCTAATGTTGTTTGCAATTAATGGAGCGCTGGTCGAAAAATAAAAACCAACTCATAAAGTGTTTACCGAATTCGAAAACAAGCTCATAATACTTTTTAAAATCTTAAGGTATAGCAGTTCTTAATAAATGTTTGTATTAAAATGTGAAATTTTAATACCTTATAAATGAAGTAGTTATATGAAAATATTATTGCAGGTGGGAGATAACACACTTCCCAATTTAATGGCCACTTTTACTGGCAAAAACATATCAACAATATCACAAATATGTTCGGGTAAAATGGATGACTGCAATGATCTTCTAATTTGGAGCACGTTCAAGGAAGCTGGCTATGTGACTGCATATGGAGAAGATTATATAAAATTACCGGACACATTTAGCAAAGACTACGTGTTTAAGAGGCAACCTACTGATCATTATATGAGGACGTTATTTCTCAGTGGAGAAACTGTTACTGGTGGGCAAAATTTATTGTGTGCAGGAAAGGAATCGTCCGGACAGCAAATATTAAATTTTGCCTTTGATTTCAGTAACACATATAGAAACGAATCTTTCTTTGGAGTATTTTGGCTAAATTCGTACAGTCATAATCCAAATAGCCGTCCCCAAAACGCCGATAAAATGTTCGAGAATTTTTTCAATCAGCTAACTTACAGTGGAGTTCTGTCGAACACTTTTATAATTTTTTTCAGTGATCATGGTATACGTTTCGGTGATCATCGTTTAAAAGTAGAATCTTATTATGACGAGCGCATGCCCTTTTTATTTATGTGGATTCCAACAGAATTTAGAAGCAAGAACCCCGACTTGTATAAGGCAATAGTAATCAATCAATTTAGGTTAGTTACTCCTTATGACTTGTACAATACTCTTATAGATATCAATAAAATGGCCACATGTAATAACACTAACAAAGATGTTTCAGAAGGATGTCCTAACTGCCAAAGTTTATTTGAGGTTGTTAGCGCCAATCGCACTTGTAGAGACGCCGCTATAAACGATAAGTGGTGTAGTTGCCACAAATTGTATCCTCTCGACATTGAAGACAGTTCGGGAGTAAAAAGCGTATTACACGTTGTCTCATATATTCAGACGGTAGTGAATTCTATGAAAACTCAAAAATGTTGGGGTTGCATGCCTTTATCTCTGAAGAAGATACACAGAATACATTTTTACTATGATAATAATAAAAGTAATTTATATTACGTAGTTGCATTCCTTATGAATCCTGGTAATACATCTTACGAAGCTACAGTACTGCAAAAAGGGAAGGAGATGGAAATAATAGGGCCTGTGAGTTATATTTCAGCATATAAAGGTCTTGGAAAATGTACATTTAAAGCAAGAGACCGATTGTTTTGTATTTGTAAAAAAAAATGTTAATCCTAAAAATTCTATCACAACTTCTATAGGTTATGACGTTATATATTAAGAACGCACATTCTTTCTGATCTGTGATATTATGTAGATAATATTTATATTCAATCTATATACATAAATTACGAAATAAATTATAATATATTTTTTACATCATATATGAATTTTATAACATTTCTGTTACATGTAACGTTATAAAAAATATAATTTGTATTATTTTATAAGAATAAGCAATTTATTAAATAATATACTATTTGTTTTAATTTATCTCTGTCTTTTACTTTATTTAACTACCTATTTAGCTGCTATGAACTAATCAAAAAAATACGTTTAGCCAGGAAACTCTTGTCACATTACAGCCACATTTTTACAAGAGAATCTACAATAAATAAACAAATTATTAAATAGTAAATAAACCACGGAACACTGTCAATGAGGCCACTGTGACAATATTTAGTGTGAACTAAATGTTATTTGCGACAAAACAACAGCCAGCTACTTTATGCCATATCATCATAGTCGTAGAATACTGTAGGACCTTTATATGTAATATTTGTCAGATCCGTCAGTATTCTACGACTATGACGATATATCGAAGTAGATAGTTATATATATATATATATATATATATATATATATATATATATATATATATATATATATATATATATATATATATATATATATATATATATATACATATATATATACATATATATATATATATACATTATTTATTTTTGAACTGGCAGTATTTATTAAAAATAATTTTAAAAAAATCTTATTTTACTATCCATTGTTACCTATTTATCACAAAATAAATAAATAAATGAAATGAAATAGATTCTAATAATCATTCAGCCATTACCTGTCCATTGCTGAACATAGGCCTCCCTGTAAGGAAAGTTTTTCAGTAATTGACATCGTTAATTGTATGAGGGACGCTGCTACCTATCCTCGAATATAAAGTTCCTTTAGTCGCCTCTTAGGACACTAATAGGAAAGTATTAATATGTAAACATTGCTTCATTATACATCAACTAGCTGCTGGTCATGGCTTTTTTCAAAAATCTCTACTTAGTTATCAAATAAACCTATATTCCAAATTTCAGCTTGCATTAATAGTCAGTCAGGATAAACGGTATAGGTCTTAAATATTTAAAACCTTAGTCATATCCATTGTGATACTTTACAATAGGCTACTATTGATATTTACTTCCAGGGCATCAAAACATTTCTTCGTAAGTATTCAATTGTTTTTGTCATTTTGCCTCTATAAGCAGCTGATGAATAATGATTTTTTATTTTTTATATTCTGGACTCCTTATTCTGACAATAAATTATAATAGACGAATAACGAGTAATGCAAACCGAGAAAAGAATGGTTAATAATAGTATTCAAGGTATTATTTTCTATATTTACCTATTCATGGTTTCTTTTTATTTATTTATTTATTTAAACTTTAATGTACAGTAAAATTCTATACGTACATAGTAGTCTGTGTACATTTAAGGGACTGTGTTCTCTACCAGTTAACCATTGGGTAAACCGAGAAATAATCGGTGCATTTTTGAATAGAGAAAAAATAAAGCAATACTTGATAAATTCATATAATATACACATTCATACACTTTATATATATATATATATATATATATATATATATATATATATATATATATATATATATATATATATATATAATAACTTTTATTTAACTCAATTATATCGACTCCAGGTTGTTACTCTTGATGAATGAAAGGACAGATTTAGTTGGTCGCTTATGATATTCTATTTTTTATACTATTAACTCACCTGGCAAACATTATTTAATCAGGTCAGCTATATAATCAATAGACTTTCTTATTAACATAAAACTATCCTATATCTCAAGTTAAGGAAAATTTTATAAAAATTGGTTGAATGGTTACAGAAATTAATATGTACAAACATTATTTAATATGAGATTTTTATATATTATGCTGTATCTACGACGAGTAGCAAATTAAAGGAATAAGTAACAACTACCATTACAAACATGCATGAAAAGTACCAAAGACATCATAGAGTACCTAAAGGGCTAAACACCTTCATTCCTAATAGTTTCTTAATCATAACCTATTACTATTTAGAATTTTTTTTCAGTACATTGATATTTAGAATCAAATATATTGAATAAATAGGTATCTAAGTATTGTCGAAATAATATCTAATGTCGTAATAGTAGTTAATCTAACTATCGGGGGTATCATGGGCGAAACAATAGGTATACTCTGTTATGTCCATGGTACTGTTCATGTCTATAGGCGACGGTTACTGATTTCCATCAGGTGGGCCGTCAGCTAGTCTGCCATTATAACTTTCATATAAAAAAATCTAAGATTATAATGTCTGGTTAAGACTAATTATAATTATTAGTAGTCAAATTACCTATCTCATGATAGTACCTACCTTAGATGTTATAGCTACTTATAAGTATTCAATAATTAATCTTTCAAAGTCAAACAGTCGAGTTCTGTGCCGGCTTATATCGACAAATAACAACCTTGAGAATGCCACAGTGGAAACAAAAAAAACGGTCAAGTCCGAATGAATCTGGCAGTTCCTTATTACGTATTCTCTGAAGTACGGAAAAGCGACGGTCCATCAATCGTCGTTGAAGGAAATGTTACGTCAACTTTTTTCTCAACATATTTAAAAAAAGCAGTGCGTGGAAGAAAATTGTCTTTAAAGTAACAGTAGCAGTAGTGTTTTTAGTAGTCATCAATGTCAAATATTTTTTTTAAAGAAGCGTGATAATTTTTAAAAACACTACTAGACACGGCCACTTATCTCAAGGATGCCAGACATAACATCTGCTAACACGGTCTTCAGCCTCTCGCGAAACAGCTGCACTTGTTAGTCCCGTAACGGCGGTTACTTGGTCCGACCATTGACTAGGTGATCGTCCGCGTGGTCCCGTGCGTTTTCCCTTCTATCTTGCCTACAACCATTAGCTTGCCCAGATTATCGGACTGTTGACGACCAATATGATCGAACTAACCAAGAATACTCCGATAGCAGACTGTCGATTGCCTATATTTTATTCGGAGTTGCACCAGGATGAATATGTTCGTGCGCGTTGCTCTCCAGAGAATTTGCAACATCCTTCGCAAGCACGACATCTCGAGAGCGTCAATCTTTTTCCGATCTATTGCTCTTATTGTCCATGACTCGACTCCATACAAAAATATCGACAAAATCTTATATTATTTTATCTGAAATGTATTACATTAATAAAATCTGTTTATTTGCATCTTATTGTTTTTAGCCGTTAAACGATGAAGTTCAACAGCAAAAACCGACTTAGATTCTAACAATACAAAGATACTATAAAATTCAAATATGTTAATTTACAATACAATTTACTACTATATAGATTTTTTTATTTATTTATTATTATTTGACTTTTACTATACATTAATTTTGAATTGTTCTTCTACTACCCCGACACATAAACTTAAATTTTTGCCAAAGTTAGAATCTAACCGACGTCAAACACTGTGTCATTACTGCATATTATTATTGCTATAACGAACGTAATACTCAACATGAGTATTACAACTAGAATCGAAAAATGCGTCTGACTACCCCATTAAAGATCGATTGTAATCTTTTATATCTTTAATGGGGAAGAAAAGAACTTTATTCATTTCATTTTAATCATATAATGTATCTACTCTTATATATACTGCTTAAATAACATTCAATTGTCTTCTTAACATTTTTAGATACTATAAATACCTTATAAATTTGCCTGGATACAAAATACCATTTATAGACGGAAATTAAGATCAGTCTTGTGGTAAACGGCTGATATACATAGAAAAAATATAAAAAAATCCGCTGTTATGAATACATATAGAGATCGGATATATATAGCAAAAAAGACAAAGTAGTAAAGTAAGATGAATAAAATCTTTTATCTCTGTATCTAATCTTTTATTTCAGTAATTCACTTAAACTGTATGTTCAAGTAAATTTAAATAATTAAGATTGTGTTGTGGCAATAATGTGACATATCTTAACTTACAAAAGAAATAATAATTACAAAAGAAATAATTTTGGATTTTTTGGATCAACTCTTACAGTCGCGACTCGAAGCAATGCACTAAAGAATTTTGACAATACACTAAAAGAATTTCTAAAAAAAATAAAAAAAAAAAAAAAGTTTATGAAAAATACGTTTATAATTTTATTTACCGATCACGGAATTAGATTTGGTTCTATTCAAATCTATATGGAGTCGCATTATGAAGAACGATTGCCTATATTATTCATAATCTATAACCTTGAAAAAAACCAACACCGCTTAGTATCGCCTTATGATTTACACTTAACGTTACGGTATATATTGAATAACAATAAACATTCTCCTCATATTCCACTACCAGAGAAATGTCCACGTTGTAAAAGCCTATTCAAACTAATACCTGAAAATAAAACTTGTGAATACTCCAGTATAGCTGATAAGTGGTGTAGTTGCCACACAATGAATCGCTGTATGATTACGGAACGAGATATAGTTTGATTTGTGCAGCTATGCATGTATACAATTTAAGCTTAGAAATTCCAACATTACCATGTACTTATTGGAAAATATTAAAAAACTTATAAGAATACATTCATATACTGACAATGGCTACCAGTACTACGTAATAGCATTTGTAATATCGCCAGGAGACATTGGGTTTGAAGTCACTGTGCGAAAAGATATGAATAATAAATATGAAATTTTACCACCAACTAATACAATAAGCTGGGGGAAAGGGATTGTTAGTAATGGAGACTGAGAATCCCATTGCTAGCAATATACCCAACCAGGTCGACCTCCTCGCGGTTCCCCCTGGAAACTATCATGGTTAATTCCTGATGAATTTACCATGATGGGCTAACTGGCCTGCTTACATTCTCATCTATCACCCTTCACTGGTGCTCCGCCAGCGTATCGCGTTAGCGCAGGCGGGGTTACCATTCCATTTTCACCCATCAATAAAAAAAAATACAATACAGCTATTACAAAAGTAAAGCCTGGTGCACTCAACTTCACAGTGATCGCGGATTTTGTAGATATAAAAAGATCATTGCTATTGCTATGGATCTGGAATAAAGAAACTTAAAAATATATCAAGAACACATCGACTCAAATCTGTGTTCAAAACGGATTTAAACTTTGAAAAAACATCATAGCAGTTATTGAATTTAATACAAATCTATTAGATAATTATTACGTTATAAGTCTCATAAATACTTATTTAAGACCTTCATTTACTGTAAGTCAATACCATAATATAGTTGGTACCTATACTTTGATTGATTTATGTTTTTTATTAATGGAAAAAATAAGTATTGTGTGTAATAAAAATTCGATGCCGTAAACCTACAAAAAATGAGTAGTTATGCATAGAGGTAAACCATTTTACGGAAGCTTCAACACCATACGAATACCACACTGATACTATGTAACATATACTATTTATGTAATACATCCATTGCTCCATTAAATATTTAATTACCCACTTTGTATAAAGATATTTTTCTTTGACGATTCTAAAACAATCATCAATAAAGTTTACTTCCGTGAAATAGAACCCTTATTGATCTCATACTATTATTTTTTTTTTAATACATTCTTATTTCTATTAATATTTATTTTGTTATTTGAGCAAAAACACAATTATAAATTGTACTATAATATAACATCCTTTTCTCTCCTCTTTTTTCCAGTTCTTAACTCACTGTCTAACCAACTCTGTTCTCTCTATCATCTATACGCAAACATTTTGCAAATGTACACTCAGGATTGCATAGGTAAGTTAAATGATGCTATTTCTTTAACAAAACCAAGACTTACAACTTATTAGCTTATGGACTGAAAGTAATTCCTTTAAAAACTCAAGTCTTACTAGCAGATAGTTTTAAACTTATCCAAAAGGTAGAGCAATCAACGTTACCACCAATAAAATTTTTAATGGTGTAGTTATTCCTTTCAGTATATCAGTGAAAGACCTGGGTGTGATCATTGACAATTTTCTAACTTGGCGACCACAAACTGAAACGAACGTTCATTTTCTTAATCTGAAATCGTCTGGGAGCCTCCAGCTTGAAAACACCAGTACATTTTGGAAATTTTTATGATAAATCGTTTACTGTGCAAGCTGTTCGATTATAGAATAGTCTACCAACTTTTATACAGAGTATACAGTACCTACCAAGTTTTCATACAAAAATTAAAAACTTTTATCTGAGCAAATTGTGATATTCGTAATTTGTGTTTTACTAGCATACTTAAATTATTTTTATTTTTGTAATTACATGTATGTATATATATTTATATATTTGTATATATGTATACATTTCTATGTATATGTTTTTATATATTTATATGTATATATAGATCTATTTAAGTATATATTAGTAACTTAAAATATACATTTATATATTCACATTATTACACGTATGCATATCTCTATATGTATTTCAAAATCGAACAGAGTCTTGTGCCTCCAGTCAGACTGTTTATAATTACTCTTATCCATCTAAAGGTTGCCAGGAAGAGATCGCACTTAGCGATAAAGTCGCCCATTGATTTCTTAGTGTAATATTTTCTTGTAATTGTTTGTATTTATAATAAGTTTACTATTGTAATATTATGATGGAAACAATAAATATCTATCTATAATATACTAAAATAAAATCTGTGATTAATATATAATATTTTTATCTTAAAAGTATATATAAATTAATCTTTTGCACGCAATAACTATGTGCATAGGGGAAAACTTAACGTCTGATACCATTTTCCTAGAGTTTTATCTCAATATAATAAAGTAATTGAGATTTAGCTTCACAAAAAAAAATTCAGCGGCTGGAATCGTAACAAAATACAAGTAACATATGATCAATACGAGTATAAACCTTGTCATTGATTGAAAAAATAGCTATTAAAATTGATTCAAAAATTGACACAAACAAATAGAAAAGCTTTCTTTTTGAAATGTTATAACAAAAATAATATTATACGCCTAGATTCTAGACTACTACATATATTAAATTACGTTTTGCTATGGTATATATATATATATATATATATATATATATATATATATATATATATATATATTTATAAATTAAAAAATTAAAATCTTTTAATGATAACAATTTGTCTAATCTGTTACTATTAATGCACCATAAATACTTAACCTGAATTTATGATAAGCACACTCGTAGACAACATTATAATTATTCACTTTAGGTTGGTTAAATTTTAGATTAATAATTTTACATTCATCTATAGTACACTTAATTTATTCTATGACTTTATGTTTTTCTACGATATTTTTTATTCTACTGTGTCCTAAAAATACAATGTAATAATGTACATTGTATCAAATAAAAGAATTAAAGATATTTAAATTATTTCATTGAATCAATTTATTTTGAAATGTAAGCAGAGAGTTTAATAGATAGGTATAGATGAAGAGCCCTTACTCCTAACATTCAGTTTCTGTTTTTAGTGTTACTAATCTCTAAGAACACTAACTGAAAAAAATGAGGGATTTTTAATAATATCATATGGGCAACTATATACTCGTAAAATATGCGCTTCTAGGAATTCTACCGACATCAAAAAGTAGAGATTACCTGTACCACAAAACAGTTAAATTTACAATAAATACAACATATTACAAATTACAAAAATACATTACAAAATATTATCTAAAAGATATTTAAAGTAAAATTTACTATAATAAGACTTTGAAACACAAAAATTACAAATGTTATTATTTCACTAGCTACACAATGTAGTATAATCAATCACTCACAGCCCTTGGTGTCTGCTAAGCAAAGGCCTCCTCAACTGCTTTCATTTCCAACTGCTGCCTACCAATCTTTGTGAAACCGGTCGAGATCGTCTTTCCAACACATAAGAGGTTTTATGCGATATTTTTTTTTTTTGTTTTTTAAAGAGCTAAAATGTTAAGCCCTACTCCAGAATTGCCGCTTTTTATGCTGCGTCAGCAATTTTTATACGAAAATGCAGTACGGTATTTCGAACCTTGTCGACTGATTTTATATCTAACATACTCCTCATACGCTCCTTTATCCTTTAGCAACTTTGAGAGTTTTGTTAAACATCTTCTAGGTAGACAATGTTTAAAATTATATTTTTGTAGTAAAAGTGTACGTATTTATAACGTAAGTAAAATCTGAATACACTAAAAATAAAAATATTTCAATAATACACTAAAAATAAAATATTTCGAATGTTATCGAATGTATTATAACTAACAGCCATTAACTGTCTACTACTAAACATAATGATAACGATGTATTTTAATTTTATACAAAAAAGGGATTTCCAATTTTTTAATTATGTCGTATTAAGTTTCCCATGATTTATTTTATCATTGTGCACTTGTTATCACCAATATACAAATATACCAAAAGGATTAAGTACATTTTAAAATTATATAGGTATATGACTATATTACATTATTAATTACTGGCAAAACAGGAGGAAAAAATATATAAAAAGTTTATTTTATATAAACATTCACAATTACAATTAACAATCTCTTTCCCCCCGCTATATTAGTCTGTTAGCAATGGAGTTTGACAGCCTAATTGCTAGTAATATGCCGTATTAGATCTGTTCACGTGGTTCCCCCTGGAAACCATCGTCACGATGAATGAAAAATGAATTTGTCACGATGGGCTAACTGACCTGCTTCATCCTCACTGCTAAAAATTACAATATTAGCAGTTTAGTTTACATTTTTGCTCCGTAAAAACAGCTAGGTATTTCAATTAAACACGTAAAGAAATATGATAAAAAATATGGAATCAAATCGGGAATAAACACTATCGCTTGGAAAAAGAATCGAATCTGTATCAATGGAAATTGAGGCAGTGTGTTATAGTGCTACACCATAGGATTCATTATCTACTAGGTACGAAAATTTTAAACTGCACACAAATTAGATTAACAGACAAGTACATACGATTCTGCGTTATGGTGTATAAAAATATACTTAGTTTATATAACACGTGTCTGTTAGTAAATTCGTTGTAGTTTTACATCCGTTACCTCAAACAACGCACATAATATCATATTGTATGTAGTGACTGCATAACTATCGCAAGTGCCGGACGGTTCCATCAGTGTTTATATAATTTGAAAAATGATTTCAAAATAGTTATGTAAAACTATTAACAATATACGTAAATAGTATTGGGAAAATATATTGTAAAGTGTATATTTGTTATGTATTTATACTCAGATATTTCATACAGAACAGAGATTTAGTAAATAAAAGTGAAATGTTATAATTTGGTAAGTATTATTGCATTTATTAATGTATTTATTTGAACTTTAATGCACAACGTAAATCCATCCGGTGTTAAAACCATCAAATTATGTATATTTGGCGAATTTAATACCGGATGGTGTTCTCTACCAGTGAACCATCGGGCAAACAGACAAACAGGTACACAATGCATTCATGAATTGAAGAAACATAAATAATACTGAATATTAATCATATATTATAAATATATACTAAATACATACATAAAACGTTACTATATACCATATTAAATAATTAACTGTAGAAATAGAAAAGGAGGCAAAAAAAAATTGTAGTATCAAACTAAAATACTTTCACATTATATTTTTATTCCACAAAGGTGGCAAACAAAATTATGGCCCGTCTGATGGCATAATGTCACTGTAGTTTATGGACACCTGTAACAATTTATAATAATAACTAGGATAAATATTGTACTAGGATTTACTTTTATAATTGAAATAATAATAAAAATTAATCGCACCCATAATAAAATTTAAGGTAAACATACATTCCATATAGACAATTTCGCGATCTTCTTTTTTCTGGTTATTTTAACAATGTATAAAATAAATAGATAAAAACTGTAAATACACTAAACTTACAATGTTGTTAAGCTTTCTGTATTTACCTACACTAAGAGCCACATGGGTAATCATCAATAATACTGTACTATCATAACCACGCCTGTTTATATTTTTATTACATAGGTTCGTATTGATCGGTTAATCCCTTATTAATCCGTTAGTTAACACGTTGCTATATTTAGAATTTAAGGTGTTGGTTATGTTTATATATAAACAAGTCTTTACCCGTGACATTGTCTACATGACCAGAATAATTGACCATAATGAAACATAGCATTTTTTATCCCAAAAATTATGTAAAGGTATGTATAATATATCAAACTTTATGACGATTAATCTATTATGATCTCAGATAACAGAAAAACACATTTATAATCTTAATAAGAATAATTAAGAATTTAAAAGTTGAAAATTTGTAAATTTTTCATTGTCACCACTTTCCACCAGGTAGGCCGTCAGCTTGTTTTCCATTCTAAGTTGTATAAAAAAAAAGTTGCAACCCAATGTACATACATATAAATGTAGTATATAATAATGGAATCGTAACCCAGCCTAAACTATCGGTATATGACGGCGAAGCACCAGTGAGAGATGATAGGTGAAGATAAAAGCAGATCAGTAAGCCCATCATAAAAACTTCCACGAGAATTAACCACTAATGTTTCCAGGAGGAACCGCGTGGAGATCGACTTGATGGGATACATTGCTAGAAATGAGGCTGCTAGACTCCATTATTAACAATCCCTTTTCCTCCAAAAAATAATGTACAATTGAAAGGTTAGATAGATAATATGTAATATGTAACTATAACACGCATAATCATATCAATGAAACTACAGTTAGGAATTTTAATCCTCAGGAGTGGTAAAACGTGCGATTTGGAATATTATGTATATCACTATATATTCGACGATCCTTATTTATAAAAGTTGGCCATCTTTATTCCCGTACTCGTATAGCATAGATAGGAAAACGTAAAATATAAAATAACTTTATATATAGACACAGGTAACACTAAAGGAATCTTAATTGAATTGTCGCAATTACCCCGCACGGAAGACAATGTTATAAAAACATTATTATAAATTGATATTGATGATGTTGCTATCATTTAACAAGACCAATATCGGCATCAACGGGAAAGAACAATCCAGGAAAAGCGGCCGCCAAAATGTGCAAATACAAATAAACATTATATTATTTATAAATAGTACTAAGGCCAGTTTAATTCACACTTATAAATAGTCCTGCCCACTTATGTCCAAAAATAAATAAAAACGTAATACTTACATAGTCCTATTTTTATGAGACTTAGAATGACAAACAAGCTTACTACTCACATAATTGTTATTAAAACGGACGAATTGTTAGTTAATACGGACAACCTGTCCCATTGCTAGCAATCCCGTCAGGTCGACTTACACGTGGTCCCCCTGAAAACCATCGTGGTGGATTCCAGGTATATTCATCACGATGGGTTAACTGACCTGCCTTTTCAGTCTCATCTATCATCCTTCACTAATGCCCCACCAGGGTATACTTACTGTATACGCTGGCACTGGCGGGGTTACCATTCCATTATCATCCATAAAAAAGTGGTAAACGTTACCTATAGACACGAACAGCACCATCGACAATAGAATACACTATGACAACCAAGGCATAATGTGTCATTTGTTACTATTCGAGAGGACCAATTTGTTTACACTTTGTAACTCCATTATCATATTGTTATCACCCTTCATACCGAACCGCAGCTACAGTTATTTTGTTTAGTATAATAAAAGATAAAATAAGTCATTATTTAAATTAGAACTTGAGTAAAGGGAAGATTCATTTCGATTAGGTTTCTCATATCAATATTATATATTGCATAGCCAGTATTTATTATAATCATTATTAGGGCAACAGACGGATGTTATAACTACAATATGTAACCAAAAAGCCACTCCCAATAACGATTAATGAGAATATTAAATCCTCAGCTTTATCATAATTAATAAGCCTTAAACGGTTTTGAATAAACTTTTTTATTTGGTAATTAGGGGTATCTTTTTAGTGTAATCATTAAAAACATTATACAATACTGATGCTGCATATCTAATCTTCTCGAAAAAGTTCTTTTTAGCAATGAAATGAGATATTTTCTGTTTGCACATTTTTGATCACGCAATATTGTTATTGTTGAGGTAATCATACGGTGATATTTTCTTATACACTGGTTCATGAATAATATTAGTATAAACAAATAATATTATTATACTCGTAGGTCACGATGGGTATCCCTATACCAATTGTTGTTAGATTTGTATGTGTGTCAAAGGATGTTTCGTCAATTCTAATATTTATATCTGTTATTTCCTTTTTTGATAACATACCTATTAAATGACAAATTTGATAGGTACATAACAAGTATGACAAAGTGATCTATTAAAGTGCCAAAATTTATTATTAAATTAGTTATTATTGTTAGCTTACCTCCCTCTCCTTCCCCCTCCCCATCCCTTCCCTTCTACGTATCTACGTAGGGAGGAAAGATATATTACCTTAATATATTTATAATAGAGTATATTAAAGTAAAGTCGTTTGCTTGGGTACCTCTGTCACGAATGGGACCCGTAAAGCAGTTGTGTTTGCATGGCTGTTTCGGTTTAAAGGGTACAGAGGAATAACACCTGAGTCCTCAAGAATGGCAACGCATGGGGGGTATCATGGGCGAAACAATATACTTTGTTATGTCCATGGTACTGCTCATGTCTACCACTTTCCATCAGGTGGGCCGTCAGCTTGTTTGCTATTCTAAGTTGTATAAAAAAAAAATATTAAATATACAATTTTGTACAAAGATATATATTACACTCAAAAATATTAAAGAACAAATTAATATTTATAATTTACTCTCATTGAGTAATAATTTTCTCAATAACACAATAAAACCTTTTTTAAATTGGCTCAAATACATAAGAGGTCACTACGGATGAAATACAGTGATACTGCTTGGATACTGTACATCCATAAAATTATAAAAAATAGGAATATTGAGTGTGTATACACATATTATTATATACTAATGCATGAGAAATTCACACAGATATAGGCATGCATTAAGTATAGTACCTTCTATTTCTATGGATAGAGTAACTAAAATTGCAATTTTTCAATTGGCTCAGCCATTCGACATATGTTTTTATTTTGGTCACTTTTTATTTTGGTCAAGCAACATATCCTGAACATGCACACAAATTCACGGGTAAAGATTAGTTGACCTATATATAAAGTTTGTTTTTTTTTTTTTATTTCAGAATCAATACGGTTACAAATGGCTCTACAAAATGCGTTTGTCCAAAACTACTACGACTGCACTCCTTGCATCATGGATAATACTTTCCATTTATTATTACAATATCTTCAACTTAATACCATTCAGTTATAAGTTTAAAACTAAGTTTTATGATGTGCAATTAATTAATAATGTATCTAGTCATCAGTATACAAATTTTGATAACAGTGAGTATAATTGAAATTAATTATTTCTTATAATCATAAATAAATTTATCTTCTCTTCACAGTGCAATACAATGAAACATGCTTATATTAATCAATTTATAAATATAATAGTGAGAGACTGGTGCCTGGGATAGGTATAAGAATACCTGTATTACAGGTCACCAAGGCACCCCGCCGATATCCCGCCAGTATACACTATTAGCGCAGGATAACCAATCTATCATCATCCATTAAAAAAATGGCACAGCTAACAGCAATAGTAATAGCATAAATACTTGTTGTCTTCATATAATTTATTTATATAGATGGGAAAGAAATGTTGGACCATTACTAACAATGTCAGATTCACCTCCACACAGTTCCCTCTGGAAACCGTCATGATCAATGTCCAATTTATTTAATGCGATAGGCTAATTGAACTAACTTCATCCTCATAGATCACTCCTCATTGATACTGCGTATACCAAAATCATAGGCGGGATTACCATCCCATTTTCATATACATTAAAAAAATATTTATTTTTACTTATCAGGGTGAAAACAAAATCATCAAAGTTCTTTTAAAGAAAACTTTTACCAGGAAATCGGGTGACAATGAGTGGATAGAATTCAACAGAACCTGTTAGATACTTTAATATGTTAGGCTCAAAATATTTTATCGTCAACTTTTATCGTCTATCAATTCATATTTCTTTAGTAAAAATATTTACTTTCCAGGACTTTTATTATCATTTTTTCTACAGGCACTGAAGATGTGTTGCTAAATACACCAGGATGTTATATACCCAACTATGAAAGTAAACTAGTTTTTAAAGAAGCAATCAATTATAAAGGCAATTGTGGTCCCAGAGCCGTGTTCATAGAGAAGGTATCTGATGACAAGATTGTATTCCTAATAAATAAAGCCAAACTAGAATCTTACAGGAAGAATAAACAAAACTTCTCTTGTTGTTATCAATTTGTCAGTAGATCTACGGTTCCCACATTTAGAGATGTGAGAATTACGTAAGTATACCTTAATAATTATCTCTAAAGCTAAAATTCATAGTGTAACAATTGTATTACGCTACCAACTACCAAGAACTAAATTTAAAATAAATAGTTATGTAAGTTTAGCTCATATCGAAGTGAAATTTAGAGATAAAAAAATGGCACTTCGATAACGATTCTAAATCTCTAATAAAAATAGAAAATACAAATATACGACTAGTAAATATAAATTTAATTACGCATCAATCTCTCCCTATTCCTATGCCTGTAAACTTACCAAAACTAAAATTTATGTACCTAATTTACTCATACCAAATCAAGTAAGTCGAGTAATTTAAAAATGTTTCAGATATTCACCATGTATTTTATTCTCCGATGGTACAATAACAACATTAAAGGAGGAGGTCATTACAGTGACTTGTGGCTTAAAACCTGACAAAAAGGTCAAAAATATTTATGAAGACGCTTATATGATGATCAAGAAAAAAAAGAACACTAATGAGGGAAACAGTAATGAAAACGCTTGGAATGTACTCTTATTAGGCATGGATACAATGTCACGAGCAAGAGCATACTACAATATGCCTTTCACTATGCGATATTTCCAAAAACTAGGCTGGTTAGACTATAGAGGATATAATAAGGTGCGTAAATAAATATGATGTTTTCCAGTTGTTAGGGTGGCCAGATGCGAATTTTTATTTTTACCCAAACATCAAATATTTTTTTCTCCAAATCGATACGATTTTCAGGGATTTTACCCTATCATAAAGTACATTTTTTTTACTATGTTTTGCCTTGTGCTACAAAATAAATGACGAAAAATAGGTCATTCCTTGTGTTCCTAACTTATCTTAAAGTCTCATGTATTGGAGCTAAGAAATTTAACTTTAAAATTTAGTTTAAGCTACTGTCATGTAGCATTTCCATGAGTAGCCGAAAAAAATCAATACAACGCCAATTTTTTTTTTTCAGGTAGGCTTCAACACATTCCCAAATGTTATGTCTATATTAACTGGGAAAAAATTAGAAAAATTGTACGGTTTGTGTTCACCAAACATGAATCATTGTGAAGATCATATTATTTGGAAAAAATATAAAAATGCTGGTTTCAGGACAGCGTTTGGTGAAGATAATTTATCTCTTCCTGACACATTTTACAATTATGGCGGTTTCGAAATCATACCAACAGACCATTACATGCGTCCTTTATTTTTAACCGGAGAAAAGGCCAGGGGTAATATTATATGCACCAAAAAAATACCTTCTGCTAAACATATTCTACAATACGCGTCTCAGTTTTTGGATACGTATAATGACGAAAATTTCTTCGGATTCTTTTGGATAAATTCTTATAGTCATAACTTAATACACAAACCCAGTCTGTTAGATAAAGATTTAGTCAATTTCTTTGAAAACTTGCCACTGTCGAACAATACATTCATTATCTTCGTAAGTGATCACGGTATAAGGTACGGTAAAATGAGGTACCTAATGGAGTCGTATTACGAAGAACGATTACCTATGTTTTTTATATGGGTGCCATACGATTTTAGAGAACGCTACAAGGAGAAATATAAAAATCTTCAGCTTAATCAGCATCGGCTAACAACGCCGTACGATTTACATGCAACTTTATGGGAAATATTAAAGATATCAAACGACTCTATTGATATTACTGTGCCGGAGGCATGTCCTCACTGCACTAGTCTGTTTAAAGAAAAATCACCGTACCGAACTTGTGCGGACGCAGCAATCGACAAAAAATGGTGCGGCTGCCACAAATTAGTTCCGGTGGACACAAAAGACACGGATGTTTTTAACAGCTTACAATTAACAATTTCACACATACAAAATAAATCACAACATGTAGAAACTAAAAACTGTATGAAATGTAGTGAATTCAAACTAAAAACAGTATTAAGAAGTCATTCATATGTTGATAGTGCTAATAACAAAACCTATTATGTAATAGCGTTTCTACTGTCGCCTGGTGACGTAGGCTACGAAGCTACCGTAGAGAAAGACGGCAATACGCTTAAAGAACTGCAACCTACAACTACAATAACCAAATACAACACCAAGGGAAACTGTGTAGTAAAAACTTTTGACCGGTCGTATTGTGTATGTGAAAGGGTTCCAAAATGTTTTAAAAAACACAAAACAAAATAATTTAATAATAATATTTAATCATAAAGAAAACGCTTTTGTCATTTCGAATCCTGCTTACTTTATACATATCTACTATCACAATAATTAACTATAATATTCATAACAATTCGAGTTGGATATTTAAAATATTTTTATACATAATCATAAATCGACATAAATATAATACATATATAAATACATAAATAAATATAATTACAAGTCAGTAATTACAATATTTTCAGTAAAATGGTAAGTAATAGTTTTGTATAGCATAAGTAAACGTGCAAATTAGTGATAACGTTTTGCTAATGCCCTAGTCAGATTTATTCGACAGAGAACAAGTGTTGTATATATTCTCTTTCTATTTAATCACTGCCTACCGTATTAAACAGTAATAAAATAAAAATAGAATGTAGAACAAAAATTTACCGTTTTAAAATTATTTCGTCAGAAATATTTAAAATAAAACCAAGTACAGTATAAGTAGGTACTTGGTTTTGAATTGCCAAATTGAATTGGACACTAGAATCACGACAACCACTACAAAGCCAAGCGTACCGAGAGTTAAAATATGCTCTTCATTTGTACGTGTACTCTTGGTCAATCTTAGATCTAAGTACTTAATACGTCTATAAATTTGTTTAAAAATGTGAGTTTCCAAAATCATTCGCCAGAGAGTTGTACTAAAAATATAAATGGACTACTATTGCATTATGGGCCTAAACGCTAACACAGTTGCACGTAAATCTATATAAATATAATATCAAACAAAAGACTCAGAACGACACCTTATTTATTCTTATGACGATACAACTATAAATACATATAACACAATTCTGTAAAGTAGTTCTCTAACTTTAGTGCACGTAGACAATATCCGCTTTACAAGCAATTTAAGTATAAAAAGCACCACAAATTCACAGACAGGTAGATCTTAATATAATCATGTTTTTTATTTTTTAATTTAATAATTGAAATCACCGCGCGATACATTGAAAATTAAATTTTACGTATACACAGAAGTCACGTATTTTTTTTTTTATTATATCTATATTTTTTTATTTCATGAATAATATTTTTTCTACTTTACAGTTTATTTAGTCTATTTCGGCTTGCCTGACTTATAAAGAGGAAAGTATTATGTTTGAAATATATGTATTACTATCAAGTCTAATATAGGGTCATAACAACTTTAATTTATGAATTCAGATATTGTTAATGAAATCATGATACAATATCATAAAATCACTTTTCGTTTATAGCTTATACTCAACTTTAAGACATCTATTATAATTAATATTATTATAATTTAAATTAAAATTAAAAATAAATAATAATAATAATATTTTTTTAAATTATAATTTAATTGATAATATAATAATTGAGGCGTAATGCCGAACATAGTATAACCGTTGGGTAGGAAGAAAGAATTGTTAGTAATGGGGACAAGAAACTTCCCAAGCAAATACCCTGCAGATCGACCTCTGCACAATCACACTTAGTAATTATCGTAGTTAATTCCTGATGAATTAATTATGATAGGCCAACTGATCAGCTTTCATCCTCACTCATTATCTGTCTACAGTGTACCGCTGCGTATATCGATAGCGCAGGAAAGTTTACCGGAAAATCTGACCGAACTGACGGTAAATAATAATCTAAGGACCGTAGTTTCTCTGGATCCAAATTTCCATTAGCTAAGCGTTCAGACATTTGTCTAAAGATCTTCATACACTGTCACATTAACAGGTATTGCTAGCTAATAAATATTATTAAAGAATTAGAACGAAAAAATAAAATATATTTAATATCAAATTAATCATAGACAATATTCGTCTAAATATATTAGTTATGACTTATTTTAAATAAGCGTAACCATTTTATAATATACTTAAAGATTAAATTAACAATACTTTTTAAAATACTTATACAACAATTGACTTCAAATAATACATAACATTGCAAAAATAGTATTATTAACAATTCAAGATTTTGATACACCTAAATACTGACATTAGAATTTGTACATAGCTAACTTATAATATGATTTTGTACAATCAATTCCATTTTTACAAATAGATAATTATAAAAACGTGAGATGCCATAAATATAGTGTTTGGGACATTTTATTTGCAAAAGTACTTCTTTAGGTAAACTACTGACAGATCCCAAAATGTCACATAAAACTTTATTAAAAAATATATTATCTATCATCGCGCCAAACCCTTTCATGTGAAGATTTTATTCACTTTAACAATGATAAGCTCAAAATATAAATACCATACCCTGCTTGACTCATCTAGAGAAAACTCAGTAATATTCGATTCGATTTAAACACAAATAAATTTAATTGGTCATAATTAAATTGTCATATTCGATAAAATTATATTACAACCTTATACTAGGTACAAACTAAGTCACATGAAAAACACTTGTACTACAATAATATCATATAATTAAAAAAATCAATAAGTTTATTTCATTTCTCGCGCAAATTAGCTACGAAAGTTAAAACTTTTATGTGTGTCTTTTTGTTACTTCATCGCGAAAGAATTACAGAATACGTTAAAAAAATCATGAACATGTAAGTACTTTATTGTACCAAATTAAAAACTCTGTATACATTTTGATGATTCTTGCAATCGACACGTTTTTTTCAAACCCCAATTGCATTATTATAAAAAAACTAGTATTTTTTAATTAATGTTTCCATGGTAATATTGAGTAACTAATAATTATAAAAATTAAAGTAGTAAAATGTTTAGATAACTATTACATGTAACTGTACCTATTCACATTTAAAATATGTTAAATAAATTAACTAAAATAATGACAAGAGTGAAATGCAACAATTTCTATCAATAGGAACTAAGTTCTTATAAGTACCCTATCATATAAAATATCACACTTTATGCTAGAATACTCTTAGTCAAACTTGGAGACTGCGGCATGCGGGGATACATCAGAAACAGTGACAATTGACAGGCAGCCAACATTGCACCGATAAAATTTGGCAACTATAAAAAGAAATAAACTTGTTTTACTATAATAAATAATTAGTGATATCTCTTTTATTTGCCAAATTGTTTTTATTATTTAGTGATATAACATCCCGATTTATAGACAGAGTCGTAAATATTTTACTAAACTCTTGGTATTATCGTAGATATAATTGCAAATGTCAATATCACTGATTATTTTATAATAATTATTTTGTTTAATAATTAATGTGCCGTAAACATAATGGGTTTCATTAAAACTGAATAAAAATTTTAACAAACAACTAACTGACCCGACCATGGACCAGTCTGATCACCAAAGCAATATAAATTAAAAATAGATTAAATAATTAATTTTTTGGTTTGTTGCTAATTTCATTTCCATAATTTCTAAAGTAATTAGAATACTATTACTTACGATTAAATAGGTATCCTCCTCTATCAGTCCATATAAAAACCATAAAGCAGACACGAAAAACGACATCACAATCATTGGAAATGGTAGACATTCAGTATTCTTCATCTTTATTACATATACAAGCTTACTCATTGGTGCAGCAATGGTAATTAAAGTAAGAGAGCATGCTATCAGACCTGAAATAACACAATTACACAATTACAACCTAATTTCTCATTTTTAATTTTTTTTTTTTTGTTACATGTAGTAGATAGTGTGTGCCTTTGAATGCTATTTCATATTATTATATATATCAGCTACATCAGACTAACAGAGTATTTAATTTATGCATAATATTTAAAAATATAGATGGCTAGTTTTTACTTTCCACTTCATTAATTCTATTCATAACATTTATTTAATAAATATTTATAGATTTGTAAATTAGTTTTTAGTGAAAGTACTAACCTACTGATTTCTATAACATTGTACAACATTCTATAACAATCTTAAACCATACCAAATAATTCAATTTATTAATCGAGGAAAACCACAAAAGTCATATAATTATTTTATTGTTGGTCTTAAGAGCATAATAAAAGTCAGTATAATTTATATTATACAGACTTTTATTTATAACTTCATTCACTTGCAATCAAGGCAGTCCCTTATCTGTTATTTTCATCAAAATCAGTCCAGCAGTTTGAAAACAGTTGATGGCAATGGTGGCAAGTGGTTTAAAAGTCTATTGCACATTTCAAACATGTAATATTACATGTAATATTTACTTTGTATTCATGAGTTATTATTTTTATCTGTCTAGGTTTTTCTATAATTAGCATGTATTTTAAAAGAATATTTAAATAGTTACATCTATCACCTGCCTAGTATCCAAGGTGCAGGATCTGTTTAGTTTAAAACTAGATGATGTTATATATATATATATATATATATATATATATATATATATATATATATATATATATATATATATATATATATATATATATAATAATAAAATATTTTAATTGATTAATTTTTTAAAGATCAAAATTAACAAAATTGACTTACCTAAACGACCTAAAAGCAGTTCATTGTCTTCCTCAATAGACACATAACCAATAAAGAAAATTATTAATGACACTGTCACAAATATTTGTTTAAGTAGAGAGGACTTTTTAAAGGTATATATATAAAACACAACTGTGTATGATACCATCAATGAAACACCAATAGTATTAACTAATACTATTTTGTCATCATGTTTTGTCAAGCCATAAAGTAGCCACAATGCAGATCTAAAAATAAAATTGTTTTTATTTTTAAATATCAATATTATTATTCAGTTTGAAGTTCATTATTCAATTCATAATTTTTGTTGCAAGTTATGTATAATTTTTACTTACGACAATGCACCACACAGAAATGGCAGTGGTGATGATTCAGCTGTTGTTTGATTTTTTACATATTGTTTACAAACAAGCCTGTAAATTGTAAATAATATTTAAAAAAGTGAATGATGTAAACAATGCACATATATAATTATAAAACTAACTTCTTGGAGATCATTCAGAGGCTCTTCATTATCATTCAAAGTTCATTTTACATAAATGCAAATATTTAACCACTGAAAACAGCTAAACAGGCTGAGTGTTTCCAAAATTATAAACCATATATGGCAGTAGTACAAATCATATGAGAAGTAACATTTTTTTACATAATAGATTATTATACAGTAATATGTCAAGTCCATAGGAAGATACATTAAGATAGTTTAATACTATCATGGCATTTTTTTTAAATCTAACATTAAAGGCTTGAAAAGGAATGTAATTTGTATAGGATAACAATGTATAGTAACAATTAAAGTAACACACACTACGTGAACTGGGACAATTTTTGTTATCCAATTTTATATCTTATATATAAAATTCTCGTGTCACGGTGTTTGTTACCAAACTCCTCTGAAACGGCTTTACCGATTTTTATGAAATTTTGTATGCATATTGGGTAGGTCTGAGAATCGGCCAACATCTATTTTTCATACCCCTCAATGATAAGGGTGACCCTCCCCAAAAAAATTTTTTTTATTTTTTTGACAAATTTTTCCATTTTTATTTTATTATGATTTAGCATTAAAAAATACATACAACCTCAAATTTTCACCGTTTTACGGTCAACTCCTGTTTTTTAATCGCGATTTTTATATGCTACAAAGGGGTTGCAAGATGGCAATCCAATATAATAATTGTAGTAGGATAAATTTTCATGTATAGTTCTAAAAATAATGTATATGGTAAAACAATGTTTGCTGAGTCAGCTAGTTTTTTTTATAAAACTCAACAATTCTTAAGGCAATCTACTAACTAATATTTCTATTATAAAAACCTCGGTTAGCCAAACACAATTTTTTTTCTGTGCTAACAGTATACACTGGTGGAGCATCAATGAGTGATGATACGTGAGAATGAAAAGACAGGTCAGTTAGCCAATCGTGATGAATATAAATGGAATTCAGCACGATGGTTTCACGTGGAGGTCTACCAGGTTGGGTATACGGGTAAACACTACTTATACAGATTGTGTTGTAGTTTAAAAATGTGACAAATAGTACAAACATTAAAATATAATCTACGCAAACAAAACAAAATTGGCTTTTCATAATTAATTCCGTAGAAACTATTAAGTACTTACGTGCCAGACAAAAATTGTAATATTGTGGTTGTAACAGCCAAACCGCTAACTAAATTCCTAACATCAGATAAATGCATTTTTTAGGATCTAATTTTTTAAATATAATATTACATCCCTTCCTATACTCTGAATTATTTGAAAAAAAATATGAAATTTTCGCGTTATAAATAAGAAAAACATTTCAAAACAAGATCACAAATTAAATAGACTAAACAAGATTACAGCTGATCACAGATTACAGACTCAATGAGTCTGTAATGAGTTTTCCTTCAACCAAGGAAAACCTACATCTACAGCTAATTGACAAACAGTGTTGCCTGATAAAATGGACCGGAGTTTCCCATAATTAAACCTAAAGTAGCTTAAATTTGCCTAAATTTTTTTATTGTAATATAGACTTAAATTGCCCAAATATACCCCTCCTCCTCTTGCCCTGTAACATGCCTGTAAATATTATAAGTTTGTGCTCAACAAAGCAATCGGTTTATAATAATAAAACCAGTCAAGTGTATGTTAAACTTACACTTGGGGGAAGGGATTGTTACCAATGGAGTTTGACAGCCCCATTGCTAACAATATGCTTTATTAGGTCGACCTCCACGTGGTTTCCCCTGGAAACCATCGTGAACAATTCTTGTTGAATTCGTCACTATGAGCTAACTGACCTACTTCATCCTCACCTGTCATCCTTCACTGGTGCCCCGCCGATATATACCGATAGCGCGGGTGGGGTTACCATTCGAGAAAGTTTTATAAATACTTGGCAATGCATCGCGAGTCGTCCGGACTGATTGCTTAATAATATACATTTCTACTATACATGGTATAAAAATAATGAAAAGATAATGATGGAGTTAGTACCCCAGTTGAACTAGCAGAATTATTTAGAAATTGGAGTACCCCTTTTGGAATCCAATAGTCTAAAAATTTAAAATCATGCCATTTCATATGAATTTAATAAATTTTAATATTGAGAGGTAAGAATAAGGATAATTTGTTTGTCATTATATATGCAGATACTACAGCAAATACTTTTCACAATATCCTATTTTTTCTGATTAGGTTTTCTTAAAGCCACAATAATTAAAAAAAAAATTAAGATAGCGTAAATGACTATTGATCGCCAGACTTAAAAGCCCGACCAACATTCTTCGAGATAGCCCAAAAGACGAAGGACCGTGTAATCTAGCAACACTGAAAAACACACAACAAAAGTTGGCATCGGCTCTATCTATCTATAGAACTTTACAATTAATTTATATGTTACCTTTTTGAAGTAACAACACATTGAATATTGTATAGGATGGGCCACTCCTTCCTTTTCCGTGGGTGTCGTAAGAGGGGACTAAAGAAACTTAATGGTCGAGGGATGGGTTTTAGGGTTTTTTTGTGGGTGAAAATGGCTTGGTAACCGATAGCGCAGTTATCGGTATATACTAGCGGGGTACCAGTGAGAGGTGACATGTGAGAATAAAAAGACAGGCCAGTTAGTTCATTGTGACAAATTCAATGATATATTAGTCACGATAGTTTCCTGAGGAAACCGTATGGAGGTCAACCCGACAAGGTATATTGATGGCAATGGGGACTAACCTCTTCATTACTAATAATCCTTTCCCCTCGATGGTTATATGTAATCGAAGTAATGTTATAATTACAAAAAGAGCTATTCTCTTATATATATAATATAGTACATATATATTTTTTACAAAAGAATACATGTTGTTTTCAGGTGCTGTTTGGCTCGGCTTAATACTTTCAACTATTGTTCAATACGCCAAAGAGAATGTGAATTACTCACTTATTAAAAAAAAGAAATAAAATTGTAGTAGAACAAAATAAAACAACTAAACACGGGTGCTTATTGTCCATGTTTCTCGTACAATTAGAAAATTTATATTGTAAAATAGATTCTTAAAGCAACTATCGATATCGATACTATGGATGGAAGCATGTGATAATATTAAGAATATTCTTTTTTTTTTAATAAATTTCGTTGTGGTGTTACTTTAAAATGGTAACATGCATTACTATTTCCAGGTGCTGTAGATATAAGGTCAGTCCAACTCTTATAACGTAGTGGTTACTTTGTCGCTTTGTGGTGATTACTTGCTCTGTGATGGTCTTTCTAGTCTGTAAAGGATTTAGACATAGTCTCTTTAATCTATGAAAGGATTTCTTGATTTGTTTTGGTCTTTTTAACTAATTACCTAAATTCCTATTTTGATTCATTTTATGGGATACTGTTTTTTAATTGTAAACTATTGAAGTAATATTAACTGTTTATCTTGAAATAAGCCACATAGAATACATAATTATAGTAATCTGATAAAAAATTGTGTAAATTACTAATTAAATTGTGCTAAGATTGTTTAAAATACAATATGACTACTGTAACATGAAGGCCTTCAAGCTTATTGTTCATCAATCTAGTTTCAGTCGTAAGTATTAAAATACTAATACAGTTTTTAAAAATAATTTGGTGTTCATTATTTTGTAATGCTCTTTTGGCTATTTGCAATCAGTGCAGTATGCAGTAATTTGCAATGTAAATTACTGCATAATCTTTATATTTCGTTTCCTACTAGACAAGTCTTTTAAGGAAAGAAATATACTATGATTATACATAGTGCCATCACTATGTAATTTTATTAATTTATTATCAAATGAACATTGATAAACCACATAGGAAAGCCCTATAGAATTGAAAATGTAAATTGGTCAGCATATTGGTTTCCATAACCTGTCATTTGGGCTTTTGTAGAGTTATGAATAACTTAACCAGCCATGTTTCACCTAGAAGTACATGTTCTTTATGATATTTTTGCTATAGAAATTGGATGCAAATGATATTATATATTTTATTCATTTTCAGCTGAGGATTTAATAATAAACCTCAAGGATTACCCAGGACTGAAAGAAAAGGATATTGTGGAAATCTATCATCCTGAAAATGATTATCCAAGGTTGCTGTTACAAGTTACTAAGGTGGATGCACCGGGCCGTGGCAGAGGTAGTTTAAAAATATTTACAGCTATATATGAAATTTTAATATATTATACTGTTAATACTGCTTGATCATTTATCTATATTGACCATCTGTTAAAAAGCAGCCTCTACATATCACAGCAATATCAGAGACGTTACTGAACATTATTAATGCTTATAAGATGATCTAGAGCATAAATACCCAGTATATTATTTTATTAATAACACTACCAATTAAATATTTACTGTATACAGTTGACCTATGTTCAGCAGTGGACAGATAATGGCTGAGATGATAATGTTATACAGTTTATTTTCAATTGATGGAACTGTTCACACAAATAAAAATAACAATATTTTTCACTCAAAATATGCTTTATAAATTAATATATTAACAATCTATTGTCTAATGTGCATCAATTGTTATGATATCTTAGTATATCATAAATGTGATAATTTGTAGACATTTGTATGTTTATTACTTAATTACACTTAAATAGCGAATGAAATTTGGTACAAGGATATATTGTATCTTAACACAAGGAAAATCTTATATACTAAGTTACATGGGCAATGCTGTAGGAAACAACTAGTGTAATATAAAATATGATTGTTTTCTGTACAAATTCTTTAAGATTAGCAATGTATTACATTATTAATGAGTAAAACAATTTGGTCAGACCCTTTGGGGTATTATAGGCCAAAGACTTAGAAAATCTTGATGAATTTTTTGATGACACAGTAACCCCACTTTTATGCACCCATTGGATAGAGTTCTTCTAAACTCTAGAGGATCACTTTAGGTTATGTTATATTTTTCCAGTGTCGCTTGATTGATGATGATTATGATTTTTCTACAGATACGATCAGTGTGGAGCACAGTATAGCAACAACATTCCAGTTAAGAACATTTGCCGATGTCTATGTCAATATTGTCAATGTAGCCGATGTAGCTCTAGACTCTGTTGAACTCACATTTAAGGACTTATACATGGGAAGATCTGAAATGTGGAGGTTGAAGAATCATTTGGTAATATTATCCTTTATTTATGTCACGTGATATTAAATACAATAATGTGCTCTGCATTTTCTAATATTTATATCTAGTATATTCTACTTTCTTATGAAACTTAGAATGTTAAACAAACTGATTGCCCTGTAAACACTCACAGTACCGTGGACATTAATTAAAATTGTGACACTGATGGTATCACTCATATATTATCATTCCTGAGTACTAAGCTATTATGCACCTACTTCCTGTAATTTCATCCCATCTTCAAACTACAGTCATGAAAACATAGCTGATAATCAATAGAAACTGGTTTAAATAGTATATATATTTACTAAGCCATGTAGTAGTAGTCTTGCCATGTGGTCCCAGCATAGAATAGACCAGACTTTCCTTTTTCGTGGGTGTTGTAAGAGGCAACTAAGAGAACTTAATAGTCGATGGATGTGCAGCAGTGTCTTTTATAAAACATCACCAAGGTTTAAATGTGGCTGCCAACCTGCTTGCCAAACATGACAACTACTGGCAAAACCCCCCAATAGGGGGAGGCCTATGTTCAGCAGTGGACAATTAATGGCAAATATGATATATTTACTTAGTACTTGTGTATCTATGATATAATAAAATCATTAAAAAAATATATATATCTTTACAAAATTGACAATTTTGTTTCCATTTTGTCACAGGTAAACACTTGTGTTTATTTAAATAAAAAGATTGAATACTGTGGTGGAGCAATTAGATGCCAAGTATATGAAATGTGGTCCCAAGGAGACAGAGTGGCGTGTGGAGTAATAACAGAAGACACAAAGATTGTGTTTAGATCATCAACTTCTATGGTCTACTTATTTATACAAATGTCATCTGAGATGTGGGACTTTGATATCCATGGGGATTTGTATTTTGAAAAGGCTGTTAATGGGTTCCTTGCTGATCTTTTTGCTAAGTGGAAGGTAATATAAAAGGAAAATAATTCTAATTAATTAATAACAATAAATAATTTCTGTTTGGTATGCTTTATATTGCTCTTGCGCTGCTTTGGATTTAAATGTACATTAGATTAATATCCCAGTAAATCCTTGTTAGAAAACCATACAATATGATTGGTTTAAAGCCTCATATTTTAATTATATTTTCAGAAAAATGGAAGTAATCATGAAGTGACTATAGTTTTATTTTCAAGAACATTTTATAAAGCTAAAACATTAGAAGAATTTCCTCAACACATGAAAGAGTGTTTACAGCAAGATTATAGAGGACGTTTTTATGAAGATTTTTATAGGTAAAGAAAACCTTGCAGTGGAATCCAGTTCCAAATGTTGCTTACTACAATAATTTAATATTTATGAAATATACCTATTAAATACTAGTAATTGAACCCGGTTTCGCACGGGTAGAAAATAGAATTTTTGAAAATAATACGTAGTTATATTACTTGCTGAAAATGTAGCTTTCAGCAAGTAACATAATTACAAATATGTATGTAATAGATAAACGCAAAAACTACTTAATTTTTTTTTTAAATTGGTAAAGTAGTTTTTGAGTTTATCTGTTACAAACAAACAATCAAATATTTCCTCACTATAATATAATATTATAATTATTCTTACTAATATTATAAAAGTGAGAATGAGTTTGTTTATTACCCTTTAGTGCCTTAACGGCTTAATCAATCAGTATTATATTTGGCAAATATGTAGGTATATATAGATTGGAGAAGGACATAGATCACTTTTTATCCCAATATATATAACATATATAGATTACGCGGAAGAAATCGCGGGTATAAGCTAGTTTAGTACTAGCTTGAATATAATTAAATATTATGTTTATAGAGTGGCTGTCCAAAACGAGAGATATGAAGACTGGTCTAATGTACTCCTTCAATTGAGAAGACTGTTTACAGATTACCAAAAGATTGTATTACAATACCATGAGCGACCTAATATGGAGATACCAACCGCCATAAACTCAACTGCAGCCCAAGGCAACTTTCTGGAAGTACTGAATATGAGTTTAAATGGTAACATTTGTTATCTGTTAAAGTATTAGTTACTAAGTGTTTTTTAAATTATCATATAATATATATAAATTGTAGAGACCATTGTGAATATTTTTTGGATTATCAGTTAACACATAATGCCATAAGTACATAGGACAATAAATTATTTTGTTAGTCCCTTTGCATCTTTATATATACTTTTTGTTGGTATAATGATATAAATTATCATTACAAAAAATATACAATTGGACATTGAATACATTTAAGTATTTGCAAGATTGTAAGAGACAGTCCTCCCTCTCCATATATTTTCTTTTATTTTAAAATATTCCTTATTGATACTAAAAATGTTGTGTTGCAGTTTTTGAGAAACATTATTTGGATAGATGTTTTGATAGAACTGGACAATTGAGTGTAGTCATAACCCCTGGAGTGGGCGTATTTGAAGTAGATAGAGAACTGACTAATGTTACCAAACAAAGAATTATAGATAATGGAGTCGGAAGTGACTTGGTCTGTGTTGGTGAGCAACCTTTGCACGCGGTGCCACTATTGAAGTTCCACAATAAAGACAACAATTTGAATTCTATAGATGATTACTCTATGCCACATTGGATAAATTTATCCTTTTATTCCACCAATAAAAAAGTAGCATATTCCAATTTTATACCAAGAATTAAACTGCCACCAAGAAAGAGCCAAGAGCCTCTCAAGAAAATGTATGAAGACGAAAAGAATGGAAAACTCTTGAAAGAGGATGAATATATGCATAACTCAATATTTGATTATGATGCATACGATGCTCAAGTGTTTCAGTTGCCTCCTGCTCATAGTACATGGTTAGTCTTAATCTATTTTTTTGTTAACAATAAATGTTATTTTTACTCAAATTTACTATGTACCATTTTTATTTCAGTGTGCAAAGGGTAGCTCGTACGAAAAAGACGTCTGTAGCAGGATTAGAAGGCATAAATAGGAGAAGTCCCCCTGCTATGCATCATAGAAAAATGTCAGACCCAGATATACATCACAGTTTGGGTGACATATTAAGTGTAGGAAGTATGTATAATATGTATATTACTTTTATGCAGTTCGTATGTTTAACTGACCATGTATTGTAGGTAATACAATATTAATTTAGATAACTAAACTAAGTATTGACTAGGAGTATATTAAACTTATTGAATGAGATTTTTGTTGAAGAGCCATATCAACATCAATTTGTGAGTTCCGATAGTCATCGGCATATGTTGGATTGTAAATTGATCTATAAGTATTAAAGTCCTCATAAATAAGTGTGGTTATTTTATATTAAGCGCTTTATCATATTGTAGTGTTGAGAACAAAAAAATTAAATTGTCCAACAATTTCCATTATTGTTGTATAATCGCTGGTTTGTTATTTTTTTGAGATCTACAAAAGTCTATTGATTTTTAGGGTTCTGTACTTCCAAAGGAAAAAAACGGAATAGGATCACTTTGTTGTCCATCTGTCCGTCCGTCCGTCTGTCAAGATCCTTTTTCTTAGAAATGCGTGGAGGTATCAAGAAGAAATTAATATCATATACTCAGGTCTGCAATCTCTTAAAACAATAAAAAAAAAATCAAGCTTCTGAATCGACGGAATCAAAAGATACTGCTGTTTATGTTCTATTTATAGCGCTTATCTTGGCATTCGCAAAGGGAATCAAAACCTATAGGGTACTTCTCGTTGACCCAGAATCATAAAATTTGGCAAGAAGCGATGTCACGTAGCACAAATAAAAGAAAAAAAATTAAATTTGGAGTATTTCGCAAAAAAATTAAACTTGATGATTTTGTACGGAACCCTCGTTGAACAAGTTCGATTCGCACTTGACCGGCTTGTTAACAATAATAAACTCCAATGAAATGGAGAAAAAAAAACAACAATAAAGTCAGTTTATTTTTATCTAAAGCCAGTTGGGAATATCAAGCGTATATTAGACAATGTGCTAATCAACATTACTTTTTTCAGACAAAACGAACGCATTCGATTCGAACAGCGACGCAACGGATAGCCCCATGTCCAATAAGCGATTATCACCCCGCAGTTCGATCTCTTCTCACAAGCCCGTAATTAGGACTGGCCGCGCCCTCATAAATCCATTTGACCCTTCACATGTCACCGTCAAACTTACCAGTAATAGGCGGAGATGGACGCATATATTTCCAAAAGGTAAGGAAACCATAAAATTTCATATCGAAATCTCTTAACGTTTGCAATATCTATCTACTTATAGTAATGCTAAATTATTTTCTGAATTTTCATAATTTACATTTGTACAACTTGTTTATCATTACTGAAAAATAAACAGTTTATATATTTTTACTGTGTTATAAACCAATATAAAATTATATTCTTATTGCACTTCAGTCTTCAAATTCTTCTCATACTTAATAAATGAAGAATGTACAGTGCCATCTCGTGATGAGTATTAACTTATCGTCATAATCGTAGAATACTGACGGATCTTTATATGTAATCTTTATCAGATCCGTCAGTATTCTACGACTATGACGACATGTATATATATTAAAGTATTAGTATTTTGTATTATTGTCGAATTTTCCGTTAATTTCATTACGATAGGACAACTGAACTGAGTACATACTCACTTATCACATCTCAATGGTACCCCGCCAACGTATACCGTTACCGGGGTGGTTACCGTTCTACTTTTTTTCTTTTTAAATCGCACTGGAAATATCAGACAATGATAGGCGTTCAAAATGATTACAATTCTTATTTAACTTTAGGTCCAACTGGTGTGTTAATACAGCAGCACCACTATCAAGCGCGGCCGGCTGGCGAAGCGACTTCTCGTAGTGACACACAGGACAACAATAAAGAAAATGGTTCCGCCTCTGTAATAAATAATAACCATTCTATATATCAAGTTGATGGTAAGTGTTTTGGTTTTTGTAATATTATGATTACAAGCTTAGTCTAGGTTAATTTTGCAAACTGAATTAGAAACAGTTATTCCTGACCATATTTGCTGAAATTTTAAATATATATTTAGTTCTGCTGATTATACAATACTCAATATATGGGGTGTAAGGGACAAGTTAACCAAAACAAAAACAGCTGATTCAGATCAATGGTCTGAATCAGGTGGTAGATTATTTTTCCATCGAAAATGCATCCTGTATTGTAGTATTTCCAAAATGGCCGCCACCACATGGAGGATGGATTCTATTTGTTCACAAATATATTAACTATCCTGCCAGAGGGAAACAAAGCTGTCTACATATCTACCTTAATTGTATTTCTACCGCCAAACACATGTGGTAACTAGCTGTTACAATAAAGTATGAGATACGGCAGTGAAATCATTGGGCATGAAGACAACACCATTGTTTTCTGAAATGGCATATGGAAGATATATATTGTTGTATATTATTTTTATTTTTAAATGATTCATTGGTTAAATAAATTTCTAAAATATTTACTAAATGTGATATGTATAAAATAAAGGTTATCTTGAGAATCATTACACCAAATTGTTCGAGTATGAGTCTTCTTGTATTTAGGATGTTAAGTATTTATAGTTTTTTTTTTTTTTTTTTTTTTCTAATAATGTAATAACTTTTTTACTGATTGTTCATGTGCGTTGTTACTTATTTTATATTTATAACTTTAGGGAACGTAATGGGTCGTAAGCGTATGATTAGTACGTCAGGTGCTATGGCCATTTTGGGAGCAACCTTAGGTCCCCTGTCCGCCACCAATAATGCTTCCTTGGCGTTGCTGTGGGGCGCCACTGGAGAACAGGAATGGACACCAGCCCTTACAACAGGTTTGGATATATTTTTTACATTTTAATTACAGTGTGCGTGTGACAGTCATTTGGTAGGCTTTCGTCAGTTTGAATAAAGTATATCTATCTCGCTTTACTTTGCCCATTCTATTTCTCTCTGGATCATAACTAAAAAAAAAAAAAAAACACAAAAATACTTTATTCAAATAGTATTTTTCTTTGAGCATTTACAATAGAAGGCGTCATTAGCGTATTTTATTTTTTGTCAAAATACTAAGAGCATGTTCCTACGACTACGAAGTATAAAAATTACTTCATAATATCTGCATAGAGCACATTTACAAATAGGTTAAAATAACATGCAAATACGGGGGGGTTAGCAATATTTTATATATGACTGTATTACACTTCATCTGTGATCCATTCATAAAGTGAAGTTATATCAGTTTATGTGTAGAATCAATCGAGTATTAAGTATATTTATAAATGAGTTTATGTGATGTATTATTAATGAAATATTTTTGATTTGTTATTTTTTGTAGTATTTTTAATGTAGAATTATCATTGTACAAAATATGTATAACTTATATATCTACAGGTTAAACTGTAATAGGAAGCGCCATCGCTTCCTATTGTAAATGCTAATCGATATAAAATATCTGTGACAAAAAGATCTCGTCATTGGTAAAGTCTATTCATAAATCTTCAATTGCTTTAACATTGGGAACGATTCTAAGTCATTTATCTAAACCTATTTCTTAATAAGTAAGCTTAAAAGTTATGTAAATTTACTGTTTAATGGACCATTATATACTAAATTTATAATAATTTTGTCTTATATTTATTAGAAATTAAGTTCATATTGGTACTTAAAATAAAGATTTTGCTGTGATATTAAATTAAAATTTTAAAATTAGAGATAGGTTTGGAAGTACCTCAATAACGATTATGGATTGTCAAAGATAGGTATACCCTTATAAGATGCTTACCTTTCACGATAAGTGACTTGGTGATTTCTTATAAAGATAGTTTCGCGAACTCAAATTTATCAATAAATAAATCATTCTTGTTTTGACACAGATGTACATTATTTATTAAACTAAGTTCCTAAGCTTATATACATAGGCTTGCAGCACAAGGTATCTAGTTTAATAAAGAAAATAAACATGACAAGTTTATTTAATGTATCATTAATTTAATAAAAATGTCATTCGAATATATCATTCTAACTATATCATCATTTCAAGGGGGCCCACATCAAGGATTGATTATGTTCAATATTCATAAGGGTATTCGCAGATAAGTTGTAAACTGTATTAATGTTATCTAGACAGGCCGAAAACAATAAGAAATTAATGACCATATAAAAAGGAACTCGTATACTCATAGGGGTGGTGGTATTAAAAGTTTTACTTGCGAGTTCTCGAATTTCGAACCGAAGTCTTTTAAAACAATAATGAATATAGAATAGACGATTTGTAACTTTGTTTTATTTGAGTTTTTTTTTGTTAAAAAAAAACTAGTGCATTTGAATCTCCGAATTTTAATATTATTAAAAACAATTCTGCGAATGCCCTTGTCTACAGTTGAATTTTTAATGTTTCATGATGCCTATCGTCGCATTGAAAACGCGTTGGGATGATCACCGCGCAAAGCGAACCGAGCAATAGGTTTGATATCATTATTGGATTTACATCGAGTAGTTAATGCCTTAAAGTGATTAATTGCCACGCTGAAGGGGATTTTATTATACTAAAACGAGCAAGAATGCTTCTTAGTATTTCATTATTAGCGCAAATCCAGTACCTCTTATCACAGTATGAAACACATTTATTCGTTATTAATGAAAATGCTACCTGTGCATTTTTGTCAATAATTTGACATAAGCTCGGCTTTACTATTTCACCTTTGCATGCATCACCCTATAACTCGCATGTTTCATTCTTAATCTTTTCTGCACTGACTGCCTTTATTAGTTTTAATTATTATCACTTTAAATAGTGTCATTATGTTATCATTTATATTTGTATCCTGTTTCACGATTGTAATAAGCGTTATACAAATATTTTGTATTTTGAAACAATGCCGTTTTATCGCATGACCCCAAACTTTTTTGTCATGCCGTAGGCACTACGACTACTAGCCTTAGTTAGCTGAATTACTATGATACCATACACAGTAATAAAACGTAGATAGCTATTTAATATATTCAAATATTTATTATTTATTAATTGTTATTGCGTAATTAAAATAATCAAATCAATTGACTATCATTATATATTTGTCACATTGGATGCATTTTGTGATTCGGTAAAAGCGAGAGCAGCGTATATTGTAGCATGTATGATTTGCCTTGAATGGTTGAGCAGTCTGGGCAATACGAATAGTGCAAGCAGCTACTATCTTGCATTTTATTACTTGTAACATTGGTGATCTGTTCAACTGCTCGCAGTTTTTTCACATTCCTTCTTCTCGTATGCCCGAATTGTAACCGTAGTGGCGGCGCAACAAATCGAAAAAGAACGCAAATTGCACTCAATGCATGTGACAAATGCATTAAATGCAGTAGTTGTCTTAAATACATGTAATAATACATAATTTATTGCATAGAATGTAACTAATATATTTGACTAGTTTCTTGAGCGCTACTTCGTACGCGTAGATTTCAGAATTAGGATAAATTAAATAGACTACTTCTAGATGGGGTATCAATATAAAGTAGATATATGTTATTATTTAAGTTAGACCCTCAGGAATACAACTGTGTAAATCCCATCTAATTTGGTGCAGTAGCGTGATGCCGTAACAAACATACAGACAGACAAAATTGCAAAAATAATTATTTTTTCCATATATTGGTCTTATTAAGACATTTTGTGTTTTTTTTTATCTTAATTCATGTACAGACATCATCCAGATACAATTTTATTATATTAGTAAGATTACAAGTGCATAGTGACATGTAAATTATATATATATATATATATATTTAATACAATTGTATGATAATTAAAAAAGGCCTTAATAGTTTAATAATTATAGCTAAAAGTTCAGGCACAATAACAGGACTTAACGTTTATACAGGTGTGGATTGGAAATCACTAACGATCCCTGCGTGTCTGCCAATAACCACAGACTATTTTCCCGATAAGCGATCTCTTCAAAACGACTATCTGGTGTCGGATTACAACTTGCTACCAGACGATGTGAACGCAGACTTTGCACAGAATCGTGCTATTTATAAAGAACCGTTAACGACCATGGAGGTGTTTAAAGAATTGGTATCACAGAGATTAGCGCAGGTTAGTAGTTATATTCAGTCAATTATGGTAAATAAGTACTTACGACATATTGTTATATTAAGTGGCAGATGACAAGCCTACCACTGTTTCACTGAATAATTATGTTTCTTGGTTATTCATCAAACTCACCTGCTACATGATATGGCAATTTATGTTTCATCATCACTAACGACAAACCATGAATTGACACGGTGAAGTATGTTCTTTACTGCATATTAATATATAGTTGAATAAAAAATTGTAAGTGAACCATTATAACATTAGTTGCTTTATCTCAAAAGTTACATTTTTATGCAATTTATACTGGTAAACAAGTTGACGGCCCACCTGATGGAAAGTGGTAACCGTCACCTATAGATATGAACAGTACCAAGGGCATAGTATACGTGCCGCTCATGATGCCCTTCAGGGATTGCCATTCCTGAGGACTAGGGTGTTATGCCTCTGGCCCTGTAATGTCCTTGTCATATCCTACCTTTCAAACCTAAACACAGGCACTAAAGACTTGAGAGATGAAATTTTGCAGGTAAATTCCTTTAGGATGTAAACATCCCCTAAGAAAAGATTTTTAAGAAGTATATTTTGCTCCAAAGTAAACACCCGGTTGCAAGTATATATATCAAAATCATAAACAACAAAAACATAGTCACAAAAATAAAGACGAATTGATTTCTAAACATGTTTGATCTTTTTTTTAGAAGTCATTTAAATATATCCAGAATATTGGGAATTGCAGGCGTTGCCTGGTGTTGCAGGTGTCTGTAGGCTACAATGACTGTTTATCATAAAACGAGTTGTATGCACGTTTGCCACCATTGTGGTATAAAAAAAGATCGAGAAAACTGCGGCAAATAGCGAATTAAGTTATAAATAATGTTTTAGGGATTCCAATTAATAGTGGGTGTGAACGAGAACGACATGATCGAGGCGCACTGTCCGTCCACGCCGGCGCCGCCACCTTCTAAGGTCGCACCGCAGTGCAGCAAGCCTGCCAACGCCGCGCCTACCAAACGCTATCTACTCTCCATTGGTAGAATATTCCACAAGTTGACGCTAGTTGGTTCCACTATTACTGTTACTAGATACAGACCCAGGTGAGTATTGGCAATGATTTTTTTTTATTAATTTCTACGGCCCTTTGGCCTACTGTAGATTATAAAAAAATATTGTATAATTATTTATAATACACGTTTACGAGTACATTGTCAAGCTCTAATTTCAAACTTTATAGTTCATCTCATTTACGAATCTAACACCCGACCAATTTTATATTTTAGTAACGATTTGAAATAGCTATAAATTACGCAACGGTTATTACTACCACGTTACGCGAAGGCGATTAGAGACCAATTAAATCTTTGGTGCTCTCTGCAAATCAATTTAAGAACTAAAAATTCATTTATGACTATTGTATGAAGTTAAGCCGAAAACAGCCATTTTGATGAAATATCTATAAGAAATGGTTATTTTCTGCATATGTAAGCTCCATGTGTTAGTTTTATCTATTGCTATTCGATCAGTATGATGACCTATGGAACAGCAATAGCTTCAAATTACTCAGCTATGGAGAGAGCCCTCTCCATTCTCATAGCTCGAAGTTTCTTTGCGTAACAAAATCCGAAATGAGGATATCCTTAAAAGAACCAAAATCGCCGACTCAACTCAAAGGATAAGCAAGTTGAACTGGCAATGGGCTAGTCACACGGCTCGAAGAGCTGACAACCGATGGGAAAGAAAAGTTTTTGAGTGGCGGCCCCGTACAGACAAACGCAGTGTAGGACGACCTCATTCCTTATGGCAGGACCATTCCTTATGGCAGTCTATGGTGGAGGCCTATAGAGGAGTTCAGCAGTGAACAGATAACGGCTGTTATGATGACTCGATCAGTAGTGACTCTATTTGTATTTAGTCATTCAGCAATTAGAGCCCATAATAAAACCTATTTAATGATTCCAGGCATCCATATCCACCATTCAATATACACTACCGTTATCGATTCCACGCACCCAATCACGATACATACGAAGTTTCTTGGGTGTCTTTTACTACGGAAAAGTTAGAAACATACAACTGGAATTACATGGACCACTACATATGCACCAGGGGCGATACGGACTTCGCCCTTGTGGAGGTAGGGAGACTAAATATTATATTGTTTTCTTGATGGATGAAAATGGAATGGTAACCCCGCCTGCGCTAACGGGATACGCTGGCGGAGCACCAGTGAAGGTGATAGATGAGAATGAAAACAGACCAGTTAGCCCATCATGATGAATTCATTAGGAATTAACCGTGATAGTTTCTATGGGGAACCACGAGGAGGTCGACCTGGTTGGGTATATTGCTAGCAATGCGATTTTTAGTCTCCATTACTAACAATCCCTTCCCCCCCTCCATTATATTGTTGAAATAAATCTTACTACCCTTTCCACTGTGTGTCTTAAGAGGGGACTAATGGAACATAATGGTCGTGGAATGGGCAGCAGCGTCCCTTTTAAAATATCATCAAAGCCTAACTGTGGTTACCAACCCGCCTGCCAAGTGCGACAACTACAGGCATTTAATAGTTGTAGCCCAAAGTTTTACTCTTTGAGACGGGAGATAAGCTATGTAATATATAAAGTACCCTTTTTTAAAAAATAATTTCTTATTAAAAGGCCCTAAAATACTGGCGGTTCCGTACGTTACTCCTGCCGCTTCCGTGTCCCGCCACCAAACAAATACTAGAGGATGAGACCACTCATTGTGATATCTACCCAACGTCGACCCGCCAAGACCTCGATCAGCTCACCGATGGATTTTTAAAAATGACTGAACTATACTTCAATAAGGTCAAAAGACCCAATAAACAGAGGGTTAGTATACACATTCTAAAAGATGAGATATTATTTAAAAGTATGGATTTCATTTATATTGTACTACATTGGCGTCTCATGTTCTATGGGTATAGTAGTAGTAGCATTTTGAAGTACTTAGCCAATCGTAAAATGCTAGTCTATCCATAGCGAAGTCATTGTTTCTTACGAGGCGATTATTAGTAGAGTCAAATTATAAAATTTTATTAAAAGCTGATGTTTTCGCCTCCATTTTTTATTATATTTCATCGTGTTATTTTTCATGGATAGACTATCTTTATTATTTTTTTGGGAATCAGGCATTTGGTTTTAGTATCTAACATTTATAGTATCATTATTATTATTTTATAAAAAATATAGTTAATGCTGTTTAAGAACAAAATCCTGATTAACTAATATAACGGTTATGTTTGAGATAATCATTGCACTGAATGTTTAAATTATACTCGTATTCATCCAAACAAGAAAATTCTCGGTAGTTTTTTTTTTGTTTTTAATTTTCAGAAACGGTCTTAAATCTGTAAATTTCCGGCTTGTTTTATGAATGCCTAGTCGATTCATTTTAAATATATAATAATACCATTTTATAGGTACACCTCACTCAGACATCTCATTTTTATTTTCTAAACATTTGTAGACGTCTATCACCTATAATTTGTCAGATTTTAAAAGGCAAATTTGCATTGAGTCAGTTACAGAAGTACCTACAGTTTTTAAGTATTTTTGAATAAATTATTAAGATTTTTTTCTATCTACTGTTAAATAATAAATGAAATATTAAATACTACAGAAAAAAAAACACAGCCTCATTACTGTTTATTTCCTACAGTCCAAGGAAGTGACTAATTTAACAATTTTAGTTTTTAAACAAGTCAGTGCTAGTATATATGCGGAGGAATTTACTGCTAAAATATTCAACCTGTTCAGACAAGTCTGTTCTAACGTAACAGCGTTGTACATACTTGAAATAAATTTACAGTATGAAGAATACTGACTAAGAAGTTAACACTGACCCGTGGCAGAAACTGATGTAATGTAAATTTGCACTTACATTTTTTTTATTTCTAAACTCTTCTATTTTCTTTATAAATGAAATCCAGACTTTATTTGATACATTTAATCAAATTACCTTATTTATAAGGTAATTTTAATTTCTCAAAACACAACTGCAATATTTCCTGTTACTATTGATAATGATTCTGTACATATTTGTTATAAATATTATTATAATATTAACTATTACCTAATATATAATGAGCATGATATTTATAGATTGCACTTAGAATGTTGGACACGTAGTTGCTGTAACACTGCATGATCTCTGTAAAGCACTACTTTATTAAAATTTCTATCTAATACATAACTGTATAACCTAATATACAGGTTGCAACCCAAATTGCTTGCAAAACTTGAACAAATTTACTAAATTTACGCTCAAACATGAAATTCGATTCCTTTAATGTTAAGAGCATGATTTTATGAATATCACCATACCAAATCCTGCAACCGAGTTAATGAAGAATAAAATAAAAAAATATTTAAATCCACATAGCACATGTATATTTGTGTAATGCGCATGTACGTCGTACAATTATGAATTTTACTTTTATGTTGCATTATTTGTTATACGTAATTTCCTGTTTGGGTCCAAACGCATGAGAATAACTCAGTAATAATTTATCTCAAAGGTAGAAAACCCCAAGTAGGTTTACCTTTTTCGCCACTAGGCGAGACTCGCTGTCGTGACGAATAAAGTTATGTAAGTTCGGCTATTAAATGCCTCAAAAGATTGCGAACGCTCAGTATTGTTATTGAGCGGCTAATCTAAAAGAGGCGACATGACCGGGTACGATCGAGTGCGACTGAATGCGAACTCGCGCGACCGGGCGCGTTCTCACGCGACCGGATGCGAACTCACACGACCGGATGCGACCGGCTGTACGTTCGCGTGCTGCAGATGGCGGTGGGCGTGGGCGGTGCTGCCGACTCGGCGCTTACGCGGCGGCGCCACTCTACCTCCATCCTCACTAGGAGCGCCCAGGTATTACCTGTCTGCTGAATAATAACTGCACGCCTCTACTATCAGCAACTGTCGATGATTACCTATTCTATCTATCTGTTGATTTCATTTCAGAAATGAGAACTGCCATTTATAATGAAGTTGCAATAGTACGCGAGCGTGTCACGTAACCTTGATACAGTATTTGATTTATAAAATTGTAGTAGGATATTGTTCAAGTCTGCCTTTCAATTTCATATAGATATTAAGAATCCATTTCAAAATGGTACCTTCAGGCTGTGACTTCGTTGTCAAAGCTGTTTTTCTCATTGACTACAAACGCTACTATTTGTAATTTGGTAAAAAAACTGTCAGAATGGATAACTTGACATGACGTGATGCAAAAGGCAGTCTTAGTGCTAAGTAATCTCTTCCAGGCTACCTTTGGGTAGAGAACATTCAGAAAAGAAGACAAATATTAATAAACAAATATATATATAGGATGGAAAGGGCAGGTTGGCCAAAAATAAATAAATATATACCAATTGAAATACACACAAACATACATATATTAAAAACACACATACAAAAGTAGACAATGAAGAAAGAGACAATACAGGGAAACAGTACTTAAAAGGAGAGATAGCAGGACTTAACATTATAATAACTTTAAAGTAACAATTCTATGAAATTATGATTTTTGACATTATTATACGATAGCATATAAATCACCTTATTGTGTCAAGGTTTACGTAGTTATTATTTAGTGTCATAAGACCGCGACCACTCCCCGCCTCCACATTCTTTCCCAACCAATAAAGCACCAATCCAATTGGACACTACCGATTAGGTATTAGCCATATGTTTGGATGATTGAATTTATTGGTTTTACGTAATATCACATACATGACATGATATGGAGTGAAATGTAAAAAATGAGTTCAGTACCATATGTCGATATTCCTCACAAAATATTATCATAAAAAGCATGGCAAGTGGTGCATGGTTGTCCACGCCATTAAGTCTTATATTTATTATGTGGCATCACGTAAGTCAAAATGTTTGTCTAGTCCCAACGAAACCGTTTCATATATTGACAAAATATAATTGCAGTATAGAATATGTTCCAACACACACTTCACTGTAAGTATTACATTTATCTTAAGCCGTATATAAATTCATTGAATAGCAAATGACATAAAATTTTTCTATTTCCATATATTTGGAGATACGGAAACAAATATTAATATATTCATTAGGTACTTAAAATAATTGGAAGGACATCAGTGGGGTTAGTAAAACTACACAACTAAAATTGGAGTGGCGTTCAGCAGTTTAATCTTTAAACCTCAATACAGAGGTCTAATGCCAATAAGTAACAATTTAGATAATTACAGTACTAATACACTATTTACCTATACCTTCAGCCGTAATTTTATACATAACAGTGCATATGCTGGGTTTTTGCGAGGTGGTTGAGCCTTCTTTGCAAATAGTAGCACTGTTTCATTTGCAACTATTTGTTTATTACACCACAGAATGCCTAATAGTATACGACGTTCACTTTATTTGGATAAAATTGTTTCTCATTTATTTGCAATTTGCAATAATCTATATTAATTGGCATATTATTTAATAAATTCATTATCAATCATATTTATTCTTTACCTCTGTATATTTTATCATAGTATTATTTTAATAAAACGTCGAGGACGTAAATTCAGGTCCTTACATGATGTTGTGAATAGAATCATTCACAGTGTACATGTGAAATGCATATTTATCTGCACTGCTTATTATAAAATTATGCAAATATAATGCACGGAATGCACTGATACTGTGAGTTATATTGTTTGCTGGCTTTTTTTTATTTATATTATAGTTTTAATTAATAAAGGTCAGTTTGATTGCTTGAACAGGTACAAAAATGAACTTTATTATTTACTTAATTTATTTAAATTAATTACCCGGCCATATTGTGATGAGCACCACTATCCAGCATTAAATCGTACCAGAAAGTTACGTGACACAAAATATATTTCCGTATCACAGTTATATTAAAGAATTCTCTAACCTCAATATTATATCTTCCATTAGTTTGTATATCATAATATTAAAAATATTAGTCATTATTAACAATATAGATTATTTTATCAAATATAAATATTCGATTTAATGCGCGGTATTACCATTTATATCTTACGAAGTAAGTACAATACCTAAATGCAGTATGTCCAATATGGCCGGAGCATAGACAGGTATTCCCGTGAGCTAACATAACACGTGTGTGGTCAGGGTGGGGGCGTGTCAAACTCTCCCTTCAGGGAGCGTGTGGGCAGCACCCGCTTGCCAGACCGCCCGCGGCTCCGGATCGAAGCTGTGTCAGTACCACGTGATTACACAATTACACCATATTCTTCTTTAAATCGCTTTCCTAAATACTCAGATCTTTCCTTGATAGACTTCATCTAATAAACCACTCTAAGTCTGACCCTTATTTATATTAATGTGGATTAATATGGGCACAGATAATATAATACTATGGTACTGGTCTACATATGGTTAGTTTGTGATATACACATATGTACATCCTTAACATAGTGTCCTGTAAATAATTTTCACAAACACATTTTAATACTTCGACTAGCTCTTGGATTAGATACAGACGTCATATCTACTTTTGGAAAATGTGAACACCTTGACATCCTCATTATATTTTTTAGAGTAGAGTAGAATTTATAGTATATATATATATAATATAATTAGATTATAATATCCATATCATACACATTACAAAACATATACATTTACTCATGGATTGGTGTTTATGTTTAGCACATAAGCTACGCTTAAGCTTACATCATTGTTATTTAGTTATATCATATATGTATACGTTATATATATTTTCTACGAATTAATTTTTATGTTAGTATGAAAAACTTTATAAGTAGTTGTTTGCTTTTAGAACATTTTACATCAGTTTTGAAATATAAATATAAAAATACAGCATGATGAAAGCAATTAGAAAATAAATGTATGTGTGAGAATGGCAATAATTAAAAATGTATTTACATATACATATTATTATTATTATAGTAGTACTTAAGCTGCTATACATTTGCTGACTTAGAATTATGTTTATGCATATAATTATAATTTTGGTTTATCCTATCTTATTTACTTGATACTAAATTTTTCTATTTTTTTTTTCCAGAACCTTTTAATATTATCGCTATTTCAATGTTATTCTCGTCTTTGGAATGTCTTTTTGCTTGCTATTCTTATCCTTATGTGAATGTTTCATTGCAGCAAATATCACCTACTAAGTCACTAAACACTATCCAATTAAACAAGTAAGTCGCTTTCATCATCCATTCTATATTATATACTCTTTCTGTTAATGAATTAAATTTTATTTATAAAATAATATATTTCTCAATAAAGCTATATTAACTGAGGAATATATATCCGATTATAATGTATAAACTTCAAGGCTGTTAGCTCAAGGCTCTAGGTTTCGGTCTGACTAAACATAAAAAAATATATTAAACTAAATAAACATTTTTTAAATACACAATCGGGATTAAACGCTACGACTAAAGGACTCCTGGGGATCTCCATGAAATGAAATTCCAAATTTTCGGACTCAATTTCATATTTTAACATTTCGTTTGTCATAAATCCTAGCATAACAGTCCAAAGGAACGATATTTTAACATTTTTAAACATTATGTAATTTTAAAATCAAATTTGTGTTTCATTTGGCCCCGAACTTTCGGAAAATAATTCATGGTAGGCCCTCTGTTCTGTCCTGTCGATCCTGCAATCCACATTGAAATGCCGGCAATAAAGAAGCAGATATTATCTACATACTATTTACCTGTTAAAGCTTTTACATTGTGTCAAGTCCCGATTGTTTAATTAAAATATGTGTAAACAACGCGAAAGTTTAAAATTAACTAAATAAACATTTCACCGACTAAACAATGCTTAATAACTTTTTTGCTAACCACTATTTATTAGTACCTAAGACCACAAGAGTTTAACTCTCCTATTTGAACAAGCTCTAGTTAAATTGTTTGTTATTCGCAATATTTATATTCGTGTCTATTGAATTTGGTTTGAAATTATCATCATTGAGTTCTTTTTGTTCCATTATTTAATATCAGTGTAATAAATAGAAATGTCCCTGTATTTTCCTTACACACTCATTCAAAAACGGAATCTATGTATTAATTTGTTAAATCCAATATTCATATATCTATCCATTCCGTGAACGATACATGACGTGATGATATATATTACTATGATTACCACAACCTCAAGATTTAGCATCAGGAAAATTTTGTCGAAAAATATTTGGTTCTCCCATAGTTTTGCTTCCCATGATCCATCCTTTATATTACAACTGCAATTTATGAGTACATGGTAGAAAAACGTTCACTATCATTGATATAAACCCAGGGCCGTGCCTGGGTATATGGCCGCCTGCGTGCCAGTCTGTATGGCCGCCCCCAGGATAACATTAAAAAAAACTACTTTAATTTTTAATGTTTATTATTATACACAGGGCATCAAACCGGGAAAAAAAATCAGTTTTTGGTTAACCGAAATAGGCCCAGTAAACAACTTGTAACATTGATATAAATGAACGCATGTATAAACCATCACATTATGCACAAGTCCTCACTTGCGACTAGTTGGAACTTATAGTTTATATAACATACATTAATTTAGTGTGAATATATGTTTAGAACGCTTAACAGCTTTGGCAATTGCTTTGTTTTCGCAATTATTGTGATTCAGTGTATCGTAATATTATATATATATATTTTTAAGAACGCTAATAATTATATAAAAAATTTCAGGGCCGCTGCGAAAACGGTACTTGAAAGAACGCACTCACAATCTGGCGAATGTGAAGACACTTATGACGACGGGTATAATTTTATTATATATTTGTTTTTTATTTAGTACTAGTTCCCCGCTCGATTCCGTACGGGTATACAAAATTATTCACTTTTCCGTACGATTTTTTTGAACATACCAGAAGGAGGCTTTGTACAAAAGTTGTTTGCTTGGGTACTTCTATCCCATTCGTGTTTCAACTGTGAAGTTCTGTTGTGTCCATGGTACTGCTCATGTCTATAGGCGACGGTTACCACTTTCCATCAGGTGGGCCGTCAGTTTATTTGTTATTCTATGTTGCATAAAAAGAAAAAAATATTTCTTTTCTATACTATCGAATACTAATTGTCTTTCCGCCGTTTTCAGAGTAATAGAACCAAAATTAAAATCGAACGCATCCCTCTCCGAGATCATCGATCGCATGCGCCACCCGACACTCGGCGTGGGCTTTCTACAGCAGACTGTTAGCTTGCCTTCGCACACCTTCGTCTCCATATATGCGATACATTGGTTGCAAGCTAATATGGATGGTATGACGTATGAAAAGGCTACTGCGATTATGGAGGTAAGGGGTGTAATGAAAAGAATGATTGAAACCACCGTTCACTGTTAACGACACTTCAGTTTAACGCAAATAGATGGAGTGACGACCTGAAATGCATTGCAGGGAGTCAGTGGATGCAGGTGGCTCAGGACAATTCTTTATGGCAGTTTATGGGGGAGGCTTATGTCCAGCAGTGGACGGATAATGGCTGAAATGATGATAAACATGATAAACATAGCGTTCGAGCCATGTAAAATATAAATCATTTTTCATTATACCTATGTTTATGAAAATAAATTATTGATTTCCACTTTAGACTAAAGAATTGCCAATGTTTGTGATTTTTGCCATTTAATTTATAAGAGTAACATAAATAGGTAAAGGTATACTAAGGGTATACTAAGACTTTCTAACATTTGTGTTGTAAATAATGTACGCCTTTACATTTTTTTTTTTTTTTACAAATCCAAAATGGAGTTTCTAATATCTCAAAGCAAAATGATAGTTAGTTCTTACAAAAAATATATACAAATTTGTATACTTCTGTGCTTATGTTATGCTAATATTTTTTATTACAGAAGTTACTTCAAGAGAAAATGATATGTCATGCGTCAGGCGATACGACGAAACGATTTGTTGTCGGCTACTACATGTACCACATTCTTCCTCAGAAGAAAGAAAAAGGTGAGAACTTTTATTAATTTACAATAGGGATGCATTAAAGTGAAGGGAAGCTTGTAGCCATGAAATAATCTTATTAACATACATTATAAAATTGTAACAAATCGATGTTTGTATATTTGAGATATTTAAGAAAAAAAATTTATAAGAGGTCATAATAAGAGCAATAGAAGCCAAAACAAATATAAAAATAAAATTGTCTGTCTGTATGTTTGACAATTTTATTTGATATCTATCTTAATGTTTATCAGCATTACGCAAAAAGTACTGCTCGAAATTGGATGCAATTTTTATAGTTGTTTTCCTAAGGTGTTACTCAAAATCTGGTATATGTTTTATTAACATATACCATTTAGAAATTTCATTGATTTTTCTACTTGTCAAATCCACGCGTACAAAAAAGCGAATAAAATGTAGTCTCTTATAATAATCAGCTGTAATTTTTATTTAATATCCACTGTGTGATTTGTTACATGAAGAAGCGACGGACTACGTGAAACCCCTTGGCGACTTGCAAAGCTTTGAGAACGAGTGGATGGAGGTGCAAGTCCTGGGCCCGCGGTCCCCTCTGCTGCCAGTTGACACCGCCAGCGGCGCTATAGACATCGCCGGCTCGTCCCCACTCACCAACGAGGTCGGCGTGCCCGCCTTCCTTTGCGACAACATAGACCCCAATTATATGCAATTGGAAAGCGATGGCGATTGTAGTATGTATACCTATTTTATTGTTATTACAACCCTACAAATCAACTTACTATTGACAGTTGCTTGGGAACGTATTTTTTAGATTTTATGAGACTGCGTAGTAAAAGAACTCATGTAGACTGCTTACCTAATCGACATAATCCTATCCAAAATCGTCAAATATTAATGTTTTCTTTCAATCAGTCCATCTGACTCTTTTAGATTTTCCTTTTCTACCTTCAAACTCATAATTCTTTTAGTAATATGATCCCCATTCTTTATAAAACATATCCATATTAAGTTAACTTTCATTTCATCTAATCTTATTGGTACTACTAGTATGCTTTCTTGTAAGTGTTCATTCTATAATATCTCTACTCTCCTTGCCTTATACCATATTGAGACTGTACAAAAGTCATCTGCTTGGATACCTCTGTCTCATTAGTATTTCTGCCGTGAAGCGGTTGTTTTCACATGGCTGTATTTCGGATATTGCAATGAAATTACAGGGTACAGCATACAGTGTAACAATTTAAAAAATGGCAACACAGTATAGTCTGTTTATTTATAGTACTGTTCATGTCTTTAGGTTACCACTTTCCATCTGGTGGGCTGTCAGCTTATCTACATAAAAAATCCATCTTATCATTCTTAGTTCTGCTGGATGCACACGTTTTTCATCCTCCACTGTTTCTGCTCAGCAAATAATGGATTTTTGAATGTATCCTTATTAGTACCTACTTATTTAAAGTTTTTCGTCACAGTACCGCTATACAAAAATACTCATCTGGACATCGACGTGAACAACAAAAGCGACCGGATCGAATGGGGTCACGCGCGCTACCAGGCCACCTTCCGACCCGACCAGGCCTACGAGATGTGCATACAGTGGACCATCGCCAGTGGGAATATTGTAGCCGAACTGGTCAGTTATTTTTTTATTACGGGCATGATTTTGTCGATGAGGTATGCCTTAGGGAAATTTTGTACAAAAGTCGTTTACTTGAGCACCTCTGTCCCATTCGTGTTTCTACCGTGAAGCAGTTGTGTTTGTATGGCTGTGTTTCGGTTTGAAGGGTGGGATATGACAGTGAATTTACAGGCTACAGAGGAATAACACCTAACTCCATAGGAATGGCAACACATGCAGGGTATCATGGGATAAACAGTATTCTCTGTTATGTCCATGGTACTACTCATGTCTATAGGCGACGGTTACCACTTTCTATCAGATGGACCGTCAGCTTATTTGCCATTCTAAGTTGCTTAAAAGAAAACATTAAAATACTTTTTCGGGGTATCAGTAAGGGATGATAAGTGACGATAGAATGGTCAATTGATCTATTACGAGTTTACAAGAATTTAATCACGAATGTTTCGTATATTGATAGCAATGCGTCTGTCTACTAGTTACAATGATTTCCTCCTCACTGCTCATCAAAGTAGAATACTCAAAACGACTCCTGAACTAAAGTGACATGTCTTATTAAATCTATTACGAAATTATAATAAGGGCATTTATTTATTATTTAGATATTTGGTTGGGCAAGAAAAGCTCAGAATTGTCGACTCCAAATGGTGCCAATTCCTGCGGATCCACTAGCGTTGCCGTTTACATTGAAGTCGGATCCACTACGGGGGCCCATATATATACCCCTCAATGAGGAACCGTTACTACGCCACAGGAGCGGCTTGTTTGAAGGTAAATATACAGTACAATGTACCACTATTACTAATCATATTATGCTAGTGCCCTCTGCTATCAAATTTCTCGGCTGTTTACATTGTTCCCCAAGAATAATAAGATAGGTACAGAGGAATCTGCTCTAAAATCCAAGTGGTTTCTTATCTTGTTTTATCTTATTTTTCGCATATGGGGTCAGCTAAGCCGATGCACGTCGACCCATACGGATCGTTTGTGCTTTCCCCTGCCTTATACCATCATTTCATAGATCCTATATGTTACCCTAACGATATCCCGCGGTTTAAGATATCTGTAGCCCCTGACTCTGGATAAGCCGTTCCCAGTAAACACATACGCAAAAAAAAATCCAAATGATAGTGAGTATATTAATAAAATTGAACAATTTCTAATCTTTAGTTATTAATTTGGAATAAAACATTAATAAATTAAAGTGTATACATAGTTCTTTAAAAGGAGTTGTTACAGTTTCTTGAATATGCTAAGTAAGCAAAAGGAATCCATGAGGACAGTCACTTATTATATTTGAAAGTGGAAGAATTCGTCAGCTCCACCGCATGTTTTTTTTTATCTGAAGTTATGAGAAATCAAACTATGAACATCTGCAAGCACAATCTAATACACTTAGATAATTAGAAAAATACATCGCTGCAACTGATGTCGAACCCGATCTCATTTAAATAATGTACCTTTTATTGCGCCATAGAGAAACAAACTTGTTCGCCCAAGTAATAACGATTAATAGCAACTTGGTTACTTATATATCAAGTACCCTGTCAAGTTGACTTGTAACGCCACTGGATACCATCAGGATTAATTCCTGACAATTTCGTCACGATGTACCAAATGACCTGACTTGGTCGTTATTTAATATCCCCCACTAGGACTATGCCTGTATATACTGATAGTGTAGGCAGATTACCATTCCATTTTTATTCTATTAAAAAACTTTACTTAGTTCTCATTTATCATTTCCCACTCACATCCTCGCTAATGTATAGCAATAATGCAAGCGAAGTTAGCATTCCATTTTCTACTAATAAATTTACAGGCTTTCCGGAAGACACTTGGCTCGAACGCTTGTTCCTGTTCCAAGAAGCGATAGTTGGCCGTTTCGGGTTCATCAAATGTACAGTAGAGAGTACGTCGCACGAGGCCGGCGTGGGTGATCACCTGTACGTGCATGTCACCGGAAATATGTTTATATTAATACCCACTACTGTCAAGTCAGAACAGAGGTCATTGCCCGTGAAACCGGCGGCTAAACAGGTCAATAGTGATAACAGGTGAGTGGAACTGGAAACAAAAAAAAATCAAATTACCTATTTATGTAATTACAAGATTTAAAATTAGACATTTTCATTGGTAAGCACAAAACTAATTTTTGTTTCTTTGTATGACCAAGAAATGAAAGAAAGGATTTAGGATTGAGCCCGCAGAATCAAGACCGAGAACGATAAAATTAAATCCACCTCTATATTAAACTAGTCAGCGAGAATTCATTATTAAAACAATAGTTTCTCTTACTACTTCTGCTAGGTATATAAAATCTTATAAAACAATAGTTGTCAAATAAAGAAAATGTGTTATACATTTATAGGTATCCAATTCATATGGATGCAGTGCCGAGTCCTCACGAAGGTTATATAACTCGGCATGTTGTCCCACAGAGTGGTAAAAATAAGGATGACTACGATATCAGCCGACGAGTAAGTAACGTCATAATAAATTATTGTATTACAAATATAATATAATACTATTACACTCATATAAACGCATTGAGAGTTATGGAATAGAGAAGTTTATTATATGTTGTAAATATAGTCCAAAATAGCAACCCTGCTAACATGGCTATGTAAGTGAAAAATTTTGTTCCTATAAATGGAGATACAGAAAGTGATTTGGACATCACAGTGTATTCTATGATTCCCATCTGAACCGGTGTTCGTGTTTAAAGGTAATAGCTACCATTTCACCAAGTTGCTGTCTGTTTGTATGTCATTTTAATTTGTATAAAAATCAATGTTTATAATTAATAATCTTGATATTTTACATACATATTATACATTTTATATACAATATACTGTTATGCCCATGGTACTCTTCATATGTATAGGCGACGGTTACCAATTTACATCAGGTGGGGCATCAGCTTGTTTGCCATTCTAAGTTGCATAAAAAAAATTATCATATGAATAGTACTTTTTTACTAAGTATACTTGTTAACAAAATATATTTCAAAATTAAGATTTATGGCTCCCTCCACTGTTCAGTAGAAAATAGATAGATAATTTATTTACATTACTTACAGCACACAAATTATAATACAAACATACACATAATACACAGTAAAAGAGATAAAAGAATGATAAACAAAAAAGCAACAAAAAAAAAAACAAAATGCAAAATATATAAAACAACAATTTTCTTTTTTTTCATGCGTGTGCCATAGTATAATACAAAATGTCCAAACTCAGTTTATTCCTTTGCCCTCAAAAAAGTAAAACATTAATATTCTGTTGTGACCAAGAGTGAGTCGCGAAATTCCTTATTAAAAATAATAATAAAAAGAAATATGAATAAAATGCATTGTGTGTGTCCATTACATTTGCCTCCATTTGATATTATATTCTAAATAAATACATAACAGATACCATTAGATAAGGGGTAGTCAGAGGTCATTTTCTCTCACATATACAACATATCACAAATAAAAGAAATTATCATATATAGTCTTATCATTTCAATTACGCATATATAATAAAATTATTAGAACGCAATTTATCGTTGCTATTATCAACAGTGACCCAATTTTGTTGAACGGAAATATTTTTGTACCTACTGAAATAAAAAAAGTAAAGCATACTTAGTAGTCACATCTATGAATATTGTGACTTTTAGAAAAAATACAAAGTTATCTGTACATATCAGATTTAGCAAAATCAGTAAAAATTGTTTAATCTTATCATTCAACTTATAATAATTTAGACGAATTGTGACGCGGTCGTGATGAACAAAAGCAATTTCATAAACAAAAGATATAGGTACTATAGTTAGGTCTACTACATTGTATTCTCTATTGTATTTTGACTTCTAGTAAGAACAAATATGACAAAGTTTATGCGCAATTCAAATCAGATAATACCAATAGAAAATAGCCTAATCTTATTCATCTCTTACATAGATAATTGTGACGCGATCGTCTTAAAATGGAATAGTTTTAAAAACAACGATATACAACAACGGTATAGGTACCTAATTAGATTTTTATACGACTTTGGGAATTAGTAACCTTTGCTTATGTAGTCATGAACATCACAGAGTACATTATAATGTACGTGATACGCTCTTGTATTCCTACTTCTGATAACGGAGCATTTTGAGACACTGATTAGCATAAAATAGGGAGAGGAATCCAGAAAGATCTCTATTTTAATTTGATAATTTCACCACATTATTATTTGATGATACATACTTATTTTAAAGATTCGCTCTGATATCAAATCGAAGTTTTAATTTCAATTTAATATAAATTTGTAATTATCAATTTTAATTTTAGAGAAATGGCTCTTCAGAATCAGCCTCAGTGCAACTTATGCGTTTAGTGGAACTAAGTACAAACAAAAAAAAACTACTACAGGACAAATTTTGGTAAAATCGATAAAAAATCGTAATGGAAATAATCTTTGTATCTGCAAACTTGTGACAAACAGACAAACATTATAATTGATATTAGGTAGGAATAACAAAGTACCCAATTTCATCACGGGCTATTACGTTATTTCGGCTTCAGGCAAGACTCATCTGCCGCGACACTGTATCTGTTCTAACTAATCTATTTATATTTCAGATGGGCTTCCTTTGGTCTTGGAATCACATGATATCTAAGAAATGGAAGTCATCTCAGTTCCCTGCCACGGGTGATGATACCTTCCAAACCAGAATGTTAAGAGATTTCAAACACTTTTGTGCAAATCAAGAACAGAGATTAAGCCAGTTTTGGGATCAATGCTGGGAGCTTAAAGAATCTGCGCGTGGATTGGAGTCTTGTTAAATTATTTAAAGAAATGTTGACTATTGTTAATAAATAAATTTTATAGAAGTTTTTTATTCTTACTTCCATCATAAGAAAACTGCTTTCAGGCAAAAATGTTTTTACATGCAATATGCTAAATTTGTTTTTGATCGAGATTCTGTCGTTGAAACCAAATTAACTTAGTCGCACAGTAAATTACGTAGTCATTTTGTGCATGTAAATTGCATATGCATTTCCTCCTTACAAATATAATATGGGGCATTTCAAACAACGTACCTACAAACAAAGGTGTGTGTGTGTGTGTGTGTGCCTTTTTTAGGGTTGGCAACGCTTGCGTAATAGCAGGGCTATTGCAGGCGTTTATAGTCGACGGCAACTGCTTACCATCAGGTGGATTGTATCCTTGTATACCACCTCAGTGGTATAAAATATTCAAAAAGACGGCAACACACAAGCAACTCCTCTCTTGTTGCAAGTATTCATGGACGACGGTAGCCGCTTCCCATCATTTATTATATTATATATATTTTTTTTTTTGCGAATTAAATTATTATCGAACTTTCTAACTATAATATAAAATCTAAAATTTATATTCGATTAAACTCAAAGCTCGAGCTTTTGCGACTCGATTCGACCAAATCAGTAAGTCAGTTTAATTAATTTCGTTAAGTAGAGTGTCCATTCCAGTCGCAATTTTGTATTAATATGTGGCTAAATTTGATTAGTCTATTCAAGTTTGACCAAGTTTAGCCCAATTTGGCTAAGTTTGGCCAAATAGAGGTAAAGATCTAGCCGGTTAATTATACGAAAACTGCACTGGCGTCTGATGAAGGGTTCTAACCTTGTTTGTATTGTTCTTTATCTAAAATAGCCTAATCTCACACCCCTAACCCTTACAGTAAGTGAATAACCGGAGTGACAACCCTTAACGAAAAAAGTGTGTATTCGAAACTTTTGCAAAATACTTAACAAAAGTTTTATTAACACAATGTTCTTTTGTCTTAATCTACGTGATCTGCCAGTTATGTTTTGACTTGCTAGTAAATTTTTTTATAACTTGTCAAAACTTGCATGAAAATGGAAGAGTTGGGGGAACCGGTCACTACATGCTTATTATAGCGCATTATAAGATAATATTGTACCGAATCCGGCACTTTAAAATCGACCATTCTACAATCGATAGGGTTGAGATCCAGCGATTGAGGGGGCTAACTTAGAAGCTCTACACCATTTTTTTCAAACCAACTCAGTGGTTTTGGACTTGTCATGGGACACTGTCCTGTTGGAAATAGACGTCATCTGGGGAGAAAGGGATTGTTAACAATGGAGTTTGACAGCCCCATTGCTAGCAATATGCCTTATTAGATCGACCTCCACGTGGTTTCCCCTGGAAACCATCGTAAACAATTCTTGTTGAATTCGTCACGATGGGCCAACTGACCTGCTTCATCCTCACCTATCATCCTTCAATGGTACCCCGCCAGCGTATCCCGATAGCGCAGGCGGGGTTACCATTCCATTATCACCCATTAAAAAAAAATAGACGTCATCTAGGTTCGTATCACCAAACATCATAACCAATGTGGGTTTCAGCGCTGTTTTTAGCGACTCGATATATTTTTTCGAATCAATTAGGCCTACACACGATTATTTTCCCAGTTTCTGAGGCAGAAATGCAGCCCCAGACCATAACACTGCCTCCGCCGTGTTGTACAGGTGGAACCACACACTCCAGTATGAATTCTTCACCAATTCTACGTCTCACATGGATGGCATCTGCGGTACCAAATACCTGAAATTTTGGTAAAATAATAAGTTTTTTGAAAATACGTCTGTTATTAAACCATTAACTTCAATATATCTCAAACGTCTTTAATTAATGTTTAATCGTTTTAATTGAAATAACTCAAAATTGGATTCATCTGATCAAACGATCAAACTTTTTGCCTTGCAACCTTTAAGCCCAGCATTCTAGAGCCTTCTAGCAGTTCTAACAGAAATCTTTCGGCAGCCGATTCAGATATTTTTTCACGATTTTTCAAAGTTCAAATTAACTGTGTTAATTAATAATTAATATTGGCAATTTTACTTCCTTACGCCTTCTTCAGACGACAACTGGATTTTTAATCGTTCCTCGATACTTAATTCGCGGCGCTTAGACATTTTTCTAGTTTTTTTAAGAACTGCCTCACGCAAAACAACCAATTTACAATAATTTATTAACAGTTCTTTAAACATTTCCCTAAAATTTGGCAAACCTGGAAATGAGTGTTGTGTTTATAGTTTTATGAGATGGTGTGTTGTTATGCGACAATAGACCCAGTACCTACAGGTCAATAGATAAGAAATTTCTAAGAATTTTATGGAGGACAAATACTTTTGATAAAGGCTGTATATACACTATTCATACAATGCAATATAAAAAAAAGATAAACAAAATTCGATGACCAAAAATGTCTAAAATAATAAATTAGTAAATAATAAAATTCAAAAGTATTAGTGCATGCGTTTTTATAATAAATGATAATGGAATAGTGTGCCCCGCCTGTGCTATCGGTATAAACTAGCGGAGCACCGTAGATAGATGATAAATGAGGATAAAAGGTCAGTTGGCCCATAGTGACAAATTTATAAAGAATTAACCAACATGGTTTCCAGGGGAAACTGCGAGTTAGATCTGTTTTTTTTATGGGTGAAAATGGAATGGGAACCCCGCCTGCGCTAACGGGATACACTGACAGAGCACCAGTAAAGGGTAATCGATAAGAATGAAACAGGCCAGTTAGCTCATCATGATCATCAGGAATTAACCATGATAGTTTACAGGGGGAACCACGAGGAGGTCAACCTTGTTGGGTATATTGCTAACAATAGGAATCTTAGTCTCCATTACTGACAATCTCTTTCCCCCTGAGTTAAAAACATAAACATAAACGAATAAAAAGGCAATAATATACAATGGAATTTTATTGCTCAATTAAGCATTAAAGTAGATTTAAAAAGAGAAGTTTTTAAAAAAATATTTCACTCTTTCAAATATCCATGAGATTTGATTTTAAACATGTAGTTGTTTTAAATTTTATTGTTAAATGTCAATCAAGGCACTATTTTTGACAAGCCAAATACAGATATTTTTGTGGTGGTTGTTAGTCAACAGTCTATAGAACTAAATGTACTAAATATAACTTCATACACTTTCTCATGGATATTTTAAATCACTATCATATCCTAATAAAAATCAGTCCACATCATTATCACATTCATCTAAATATTTTCTATTTTAGCCAGATTAAATATAAAATGCATTATCCAAGAAAACCTAAAATATAAAGCAGGTATTTAGTACACCTAACTTGCGAAAAAAATTTTGTTTTGTATAGTTGTAAATTCACATCAACATAATTTATGCCTGTGTAGGCACTGAAAAGAAAAAGGGCACTTAATGAAATAACATAAACAGTATCTGAAATAATGACAGCATTTTGTTGTGATATGATGATTAATCCATTTTTTCTTAATTTACTTATTGCATTATAAAAAGTGACAATTAAAGCTAAAATAATACATTGTCCAAGTAGATCTTCACTAAATTTTATAGCAAACTAAACCTGATTTAAACAAAAATTTAGAAAAGTTTTTGTGTACTTATTATTATACAATAATAATAATGTAATGTAAATAAAAAGTATATAATAATAAAATAGATATAAAAGTTGAGTATTTTAATATCATTCTATATTTGTGACAACTATTTTATCTACCATGATACTTTTAGTTATGCAACTATAGCATACCTATTTCTTCTTAAGTAGGTAATTATCAGGAAGCATGGCAGTGTGCCTGCTGAGTCTATATAAAGTATTTTATATAGTAATCAGCATATATAAATACAAGGTAAAAAGAGATTAAGGTATGTGGATACATCACAAATCCTAAGAGAATTTAATAATATAAATTTAATTATTTGTGTATGTACCACTAATTAAAATTATTTTGCCTAACCATGACAAGTATGCATCATTTTACAAATAATTAAAAAAAGTATGTTTCCAGCACATATCTAAATACATTCATGATATGTACTATGTTTTTTTGATAAATATGACATGAAATTGAATTACATATACTACAATGATATATATTAGTATCTTATAGAAATAATGGTAGAAATATCTAATATTTAAGTACAATCAGAAAATGCATACAATTGATATCAATAATCCTTAACACAGAATGATATCTATGCGACAATGTCTGGCAATAATTATTGCACAATCTTTACCTTTAATTATAATTGTCAATAACACTAGGACAATAACTATGCTTACATACCTATGAAATTACAAATACAAAATGTAGAAAATTATTTTAAAAATATAAAATTTTTATATTTGGGAATGAACAGTATGTAAAGCTTTCTAAAATTTTGTGCTTCACTTAATCTTACTAACATAATGAATGGCACGGCCAATTGCTAGTCTTTTTTGTTTTTTTAATTATAACAGTGCAAATTATGCTCTTAATTTATGTAATTGAGCTTACATATTCTATAAAATTACAATTTATTTTGTGCATTATTATCTTATTTCTTGTTTTTCATACATTTTTGAATTATTATATAGTGGTATTGTTATTCTTTTTATTTCATTGTGTAATTATTTTAAAGCATCAAAAAAATAATAATTTAGTAAACTTATACAATAAATACATTTCTGAATTATAAAATACAGGTTTAGTGTATATAGTTTAGTATATATAGTTTAAAGTATCTTTATTTTTTTATAACAGGGTAACTATTTTACTATTGTTTAATGTAATAGTAATGAATTAATAGTTTTTTTTTTCAGCTTGTATACAACTTTCAGCACACTGGATCATAGTTATACAATTGGCTTATGACTTAGGTATAATGCTAAAACGTAACAATAAAAAAGATCTTAAATGCTTTGACATATCTTTGTGAAAAAAATCTAACATTTTCTTATTCAACAATGGCAATCCAATTACTTTTATTTTATGCAGAATATTGTTCTATTACTACTATGTTATTACATAGTAGTAGTATTTTGTTATTACAGAAGATTAATTAGTAGAGTAGTGATAAAGTGGCTAATATAAAAGCTATTTAAAATAGTGGGTACACCTTTTTGTCATACTTGAGCATTTCTAAAATTATGCAAAGTTCTACTTTTTTCTCATACATCTACAGAGTATATACCATTTACAATTACAAAGTAAAATTTTTAGACAAATAGCATACAACAATAGAAATTGCATATAATACTTTCTTGTTTTTATTTTACAAGGCAAGGAAGGTTTAACACAAATTGTTGAATTTAGGAACAATTTCCTTGTGTATGGCAATCTAACAAAATGTACTTACTGATTAATATAAACCAAACTAATAAATTGATAACTAGAACTAATAATGAGCAATAAAGTAACACCTATTTCTTCCCAAATATAAGGAGACGTGTCAACATGCTAGTAATACATGGAACTTGTTTTTGTTGATGCATCGATGGCACATCAGGTGTGTTTGATTCATAATCAAGAGCTACTTTTTGATTTACAAATGTCAAAAGTTGTAAGATATCTCTCTCAGTTCCATAAAAACGTAGCTCTTCACAAAGAGCTTGCATGAACCAGGATCCACGTGTGGTGTTTCTCCAAGAAAAATAACCAGGAACTGTAGAAAAGGCAATCAAGAAATCCGCATGGACTGGAATTCGATATTGTGTGCTTGAAGATCCATCTGTCTCTGTTGTAGTTAATGTAATACCTCCATCAAGCCTATCACCTTGACAAGCTTGTATAAAGAAGAGTTTTGGTTTCCCTGCTAATGTTGGACATCTATCTGCAGTGAAGTGATACCAAAGGTTTTCAGCTTTGTAATGAGTGTCTCTAGCATAAAGAATTCCCATTTCGCCATGAGTTAGCACCGCCATCAATAAACAGTCGTCGTCGGAGTAGTCCATTTCGGCAATTTCTTGTACACGAGCATTGAGTTCATGGAATCTCAGATTGTTGAATATAGTAACACGAAAGCCCAAATTTTTTAGAACTCTAGCTAAATTGTCACTATCTACATTTGTTCCAGTGCGTGGTTTTAAACTGTGAACATCAAAAAACTCGTGATTGAATATAACAGCAACTCCGCGTCGTTTGTGGTCCATTTTATAATATGGAGAATTTCTGTTTACTGGCATTTTTGCGTATCGTGGTTTATTCACAGATCCATGACTACCCCATGCGTCACCTTCATCATCTCCACCATTGGCTCTTTGTTCATCATTTCCATTGTTTGATTGATTAGCTTCTTGCGACATTTTCAAGGATGTAATTGAATTTCAGACTTAGAAATTATCACTTATTGCTTTTTAAATATTTAAAAATTAAAAAAAAAACACGTTAACTATTACACTGAGATGAGCATAAAGGGCGCTAGACAACAACACAAGACGTTATGGTTGATTTTATTATCCTTTACTTTTATCCACCATAAAAAACTATACTTCACAAACTTCACATCACACATCAATTGTCAAATTAACTAAATGTTGCAATTACTAAAAATAATTACCTCAAATCTCAACTTGAAATTAGATCAAACTTTTTGGTTTTAGTTTATACTTTTTTATTAATGTTATACATAAATGTGATAATGTGTTGGTTTGATTGTTACCTTTTGGTACTTTTAGGTATTAATAATCTACTTCCATCCACGGTCAAATTAAGACATAAAACAATGAGACTCAAATATCTAAGTTGGCAACACTGATATGAAATCTTCTTCCGTATCCACCTCATTTTTAAAATAGGAGTGCTATTTATATATGCTAGGGATATTATTTAATTTATTGATTAGGTACATATAAAATTAAAATAGACTATTAATCAACGACGCAATTGATTATAATCAATTTGTGCTACAGTAGTATAATTTTTATTATTTATTAAGCAAAATATCTGTATGGGTCGACGTGCAACGGCTTAGCTGACCCCCCATATGCGAAAATAAGATAAGAGGGCTCGTAATGCAATACTGGCGTTGGTAGTTTGGAGATCTAGATTGATTTCTTTGTTTTCACAGTTGAAGAAATAACATGTTGCGCTAATTGGTCAATGCCAAGTGCGACTGGTTACTGGATCGACATATGAAAAAGAAGCAGTAAATGGAGAAGGTGCAATAGATGATGATGATATGGCAGTGACCGGAGGGGGGGGGGGACCACTGAGAGGTGTAGAAGGGGAAACTAGTTAGAATATAGTTCGCTAAATCGGTCCATGCAAAAAACGAACCCGGGCTTTATTTATAGTTTGTATATAGAGCAACGTGCCTGCCACGGCGCCATGGAGATGGTCAATGATGCAACAAGGAAACAGATAGAGAGATAGTCGCACGAAATAACAAAATAGAATTTTTATATATTATTTAGAACATGCATAAGCAGTATGGATGTTACTATAATAACGCATGTAATAATCTAACAATATATTTTTGTTTTGTTAGCCTATTACGTTTCTATGGTTACGTACTAGGTTCGTCCTCTTATTTTACAAAAATGTAAGTGATAAGTAAGTACTATAAGTGGAAACAAAAACACTTTTTATACTTTTGGTAAATTATCTGTGTGAATGTAATGAACGATCAAACTGAAAAGTAAACTTGTATTATTGCAATAATGTCAATATTTAAAGTAAAGCAATGGTGGACTAATGACAAACTACAATTAGATGAGACAATATCAGGTGTACAAAATGCGACCTGCCTTAAAGTGGAAAAATTTAATTCACACAGTGATAGCGATTGCATAGTAATTAGTGAAGAATACTTGCTGAAAATATATAAACCCTATCCAAATCAAGAAACATCAAATGTTGTATTGGAAACTCATCTAGGCGATGTTGCATTACAAATAGAAACAGGGAAATTTTTGACGTAAGTTTACTCAGTAATAGGAATTTTATTATGATTTGATGAAAATGGTACCTTCCCACGTGGTACGTCCCAATTCTCTAGTAAGTAGAATGAGCTTCGAGAGACCAGGGCAAGGAACAAGTACCTATCAATCTAGTTGAATCAGTAAATGTTGCTTTGGCCCTTATAAGGTCCATTTATTTTATCAGGATGAAATCTAACCTATTTCTCAAGTTGGAGCAATAGACAATTATAAAATTCGGAAATTAGTATGACTGAACATCGTTAAAATTTCTGTTACATTTAAAAAAAATAAAGACAATATAAATTTTGTGTGTAATTTGAACTAATTTTAATACGTTTTTTTTTTTTTTTCAAATTAACATATAAACATATGTATACATACTCTATATATAAAATTGTATTTAGGTAAATAGGTAATTATGTTACGATACAACTGAAAAAAAAAACATTTATTTTAGGGGTTCTGTGGATCGACAAATTCTTGTATTGCATCCACAAAGCTACGCAATTTATCAGTTGGAGAGAAAGGAGGGGCACACAGATGCTGGTAAATAAAATATTTCAGTAGTAAGCAGATAGATAGATATTTATATTTACCTTATAATCATAAACACCTTAGTAGGTTAATAAATAGATAAAGCATGATATGAACCTATTCACTTCTAGCTTTCGAGTTGAATGGTTTATAAGAGAGGGAAATTAACGTAATCATTTAGATAAACTACACCAGAGGAAAAATTAAGGGATCAAAAAAATTCAAAATTTTTGTGATTTTTCAAGTAGCTTTATTTCCCTTAACAATGGAATTTACTGTCACACTCATTGTTCCACATCATAAAAATTTATTGTCACTATTCCAAGGATTTCCGCACACAATATTGACTGTGTTTTTATTCACGACTCGTTAAGGAAAGGTTAGTGTTATGTACAGAAAGCAACTACAATAATTTTTAGAAATTTTGTCTGTCTGTATGTGTTCCGGCATCACGCAAAAATTACTGCATTAAATTGAATCGAGTTTTCACAGTTGTATTTCTGAAAAATTAACTTAAAAACTAGTGTATATTTCATCTTAAACGTCATCTAGGAGTGGTTTATTTAATTGATGTTCCTACTTTTGAAATTCACGTGTACGTATAAACGACTAGCTCTTTGTCCGTTACTTCGGACAAAGAGCTAGTCGTTTATATAACTAGACAAAGAGAATTTTTTTTTATTTTTATTCTTTTGTCTCTTGCTTTGTATTATGTGTATGTTTTTTTTTATTCTAATTTGTGTGCTGTAAGTAATGTAAATAAATTATCTATCTATCTAATTTAAGTAAGTAAGTTCATTGAATTCCGATATGTCCAGTTAATTAAAATTATGAAAAATATTTTAGGCGAACAAAATGTACTGAAATTGATGATAAAACATTCGTTTACGAGGAGGGCCGATAGTTTAGTCCATGGATCTTTTGGTAATGTAAAGTCAAGGGATTTTATATGCATACAAGGAATAGACGGAAGCTTAAGCTTCTTCGATCAAGACACTTTTCTATTTATGTGCATTCTAAATGATGTTATAATTCCCGGACCGGTTTGTTACATAGCGAGTTGCGACTCATTTGTAATTTGCAAGTCAACGTGGATACTAGAAATATACAGGTAAATTTCAAGATAAATACTTAGGTAAGTATTTAAGTATAGTAAGTGATTAAGGTTTATTTCTATTTCAAATGCTTCTTCGCGTCATCTGTATAATAATATAAATCATCATTGTCTTGCTTTTTATTTGGGGTAAGCGCAGTTTGTTTTCTTCTTCCACAAATCCATGTCAACTATTAATTTCTAGGTTCACTTCTCTTGTATGCATATCATCTTTCATACAGACTATCCACCATTTTTTCGGTTGCTTCCTATACATCTATCCATTTTCATTCTTAACATTTTCTTTAAAACGTAGCACATTTTTGTGCATGATATGACCACACCAAGACATTCTATTACTTCGCAACTTCTCGGTTATTAATGCAACTTTTAGACTTCCCTATTTACTATAAATATAAATATTATAGACAAATATGAGAGTTTATAGCGTTGTAGGGATATTTGTTACGCATTCACACTTAAACTACAGAACTGATTGGGATTATTATTAATTTTAAAACCAATAAGTTACAATAATAGAGTAAAATGGGTTTTTGATATGTTAACGCTGCTTTAATAATCTTGGTCCCATGTCTATGTTATACCTACTTATAACATAACCAGAATTAAAGCGAAACAAAAACACTTTATTTTATCCATAATTAGATAAAAAAAATATATAAATAATATCGTTTAGTACTATGTTACAGTTATCAACAGTTACGGGAATTTAGTGAATTGAATGTAAGACAAAATAAGAAGAACATACCGCAATGGATATATAACGCTGGAGAGGAAGTAACATCGGTTCAAGTAATTCAGGTTCGCATTTTAGTAATAGCGTATATGTATATAGTTTATTTATATAATAAATGTTAATATCGATATAAATATACTACCTATATTAACAATTTTGTCTAATTATTTTAAACTATGATGATAATACTATCTGTATAATATTAAATATTTTATGAATCTGTTTCGATGAAAATAAAAATGTATCAAAATAATAATTGGCCCGACCACAAAACAAGACTAGTATAGTAGTAGTCTATTGGATATCAGCAGAACACATAAAAAATACATTAATTAATAAAATGTTTCTGTGCGTGTAATTTGTTATTAATTTTAAGTGTTGGATTAAAACTTGTTCACCTTTTTATTAAGTTTTATTGAAACAACATCGTCCGTCGTAATATGACAATAAAGCGTCTTGCTGCAATTATTTACTTCATTAATTATTACACAATTGCAAGACAATAAATTTAAATTAGTGTGGGACTTGTATTTTTCAGACAAGCAACAACTTTTCCAGCATAATTGCTTTAGGCGAAAGACATTTGTACTGTTTCCAAGATAACGGACTTATGAAATTTATGATAAAGTTTGATTACATGCCGACATGCTTTCATGCATACCTCATCGGTTGGTACTATGGTAAGAAAAATAAAATTTGCTATTGCAAAGCACCAATTAATTCTTATATTTTATAGATACGAATTTAAATTTGTTTTAATGGGTGATAATGGAATGGTATCCCCGCCTGCGCTATCGGGATACGCAGGCGGGCCACCAGTGAAGGATGACAGGTGAGGATTAAAAGGCAGGTCAGTTAGCTCATCGTGACAAATTCCACTAGAATTAACTACGATAGTTTTCAAGGGGAACCGTGTGTATAGATCTGATAGTGTGTATTGCTAGCAATGGGCCAATTAGACCCCATTACTAACTATCCCTACCCAATTATTTTAGGTCTTATACTGTAAGATTTCTCAAGATTATGACATTTAAGAACTTTTCTCAAAATATACCCCTATAATATATATAAGATATTGCAAAACTATGAATTACTTATTAACCTTTCAGAACCTGGAGCGCGTTTGCTTGTTATGTTAGCATCTGATGATGCCAAGTTATATGTGTACGAGAATACATCATTGCTATGGTCATGTGATTTGTTTAATACTGCAATATCGATATCTCGCTGCTTTCTGAAGTCACTACCTGGGGGTATTGTAACGCTCTCTAATACTGGCGTAGTTACTGTATGTTACTTGGGCACTGAACCTGATTTGAATTCCAACGCTGCGCCGATGATTAATGAAGAAGTTGATCCTGAACAGATTCAGGCAGAACTAGAAAAAGTTGAACAGGCGCTGCAGGCTATAACAGAAAATAAAGAGCAGGGTAGGTAGCACCTATGATACCTATATAATTTCTATAAAAATAATTATTATGCACTTTGAAAGCATGTCACATAAAAATCTATCCAAAGTTAATCAGTATGTCCGGTGTATACATAAACAATTACCTAGATTTTACCTATTTTGAAATGATTTTCTATTCTATAGTTTTCTAGTTTTTGTACAAATGTTGTTAAATGATTAGTTAAATAATTTAGATAATTGACAAATAAGAAATGTATTACAAATCATATTGATATTTTTACTCAGTTTTTAATTTCCAGAAATTACCAATGAGGCAACAATTGACGAAATTATAAAAATAAAAGCTGACGTCGGTAAACCGGTACAAAACCTTACACATGATTTCACCAATGATAGCAGTGAAGGATTACATTTACTTATGTGTCCAATAATAATAATACTGACTTGCAAAGATCCAAAACTTATTCAAAACGTGCAAATTACTTATGCATGCTGCCCACCATTTGCTTTTTCTGAGAGCACTATATGCTTAGACAATATCAATGGCACAGAAATAATAGAAACACAAGTGTTCATAGAAAGTAAAGGGGATGTATCAGAAACTGCAGTGGACATCTTATTCACAATAACGGATTCTGTAGGAAAAATTATAGTGCTTTCCCGGAAAATTACGCTGCCAATAACTCTCTATTGTCTGCCTGTTGACGTGGTATTGGAGAATGAAATAAAGCTATTCATTAATTCAAACCAATCTTGTGTAGACTTCAGTGAAATATTTGCAGGTAAATACATTAGGTATTTGTATAGATAGGTAATCTTTCCTTAACAGCCTATTAACGTCCCACTGTTGGGCATTGGTTTCTCCTAAAAGAGGATAGAGTATAGTATACTACCATGTATGCTGGTTGGTTTGGTCTATACCAATTGTAACACCCTATAGTTTTATTTCGAGCATTCTTTCTTTTGCACTAGTGTATTGTTTTGTTCTCTATCACCTTGCACATTTCCACATCTTGGGAATGACAAAGAATGGTAACAAATGTTCTTATTCCTTCAATAGGCAGATATAATTGGAAGATTTTAAAAATATCTTTCTGTTTTAGATTTTTCTGAACAAGAATTATTACAGTACGGGGGATCACCCGAAATTGTTACATTTTCATATAGAGCAAATAAAAAAACAGTTACATTAAAAAGTTCCGGAGAACAATATTCTATAGAAGCGGATGATTTTCCTGAAATTGCATCCATCTTAGATTATTTCATATTCAAGTTAATGGATCATTTTGCGCGTATGGGTATCAGTGATTTTCGTTTTTATATAAAATGTGACAAGGAGTTTATAAAGCAAATTACTCACAAGTTTTTGAAGAGCATCGAGGCTCACGCAAAAGAGAGAATAAAACTTAAAACTTTTGAGGTTAGCCTAATTTAAAAGTAATAGACTATCAAGTTTTTTTTTTTTCTCTTGCATTCGGGGTTCTGATTGGCTAATGTAAGTTGTACAAAAATTTCTGTTATGAAAATTAAATATGAGAATCTAAATTTCTGATATTATCCGCTAGAGGCACAGTTAAAATTTCAACAATTTACCGACATAAGTTTTTGTACAGCTCACACTATGCACTTCATTTTTCTAGTTGCCTTTATTATTATTATATCAATCGTTTACTGTCCACTGATGAACATAGGTCTTCCTCATAAGGAAGGTTTTGCCAGTATTTATCATGCTTGGTAGGCGGGTTGGCAACCGCCGTTAGGCATTGGTGATATTTTAAGAGGGACGCTGCTGTCCATACCTCGACCATTAAGTTCTCTTAGTCGCCTCTTACGACATCCACGGAAAAGGGATGGCCTATTCTATGCCGGGACCGAGCGGCTAGTATTCTTACTCTGTCAGTATACAAAATCTTAATAAGAATAAAATTGATTGAATATATCATATTCTGGATTTTTACACGTGCTTGATGGACCTCAATAGAATAAAATTAATTGAGAAAATGTAGGGCACTCACAATTAATACGAATGTACGTGAAAAATATGAATGAGGTCATAAAATAAATATGATTGCCATAAACTGTCAAATAGTCATTATACATTAATAGTTTTTTTTTATGATTTAGTCATAAATATTGAGTTCATTAGATAGTACAAGAATATGTTTATAATATGCTTCAAAAATAATAGTAATTCCCATTATTTTTATCCATTACAGGATGATTTAAATGTACTCCAGAAGCAATTTACACTGATACAAAAACGTTTGCTGGTACAATACGGCTCGCTGCCTCCTGGTGACTGCGATCAGCTCGAGTTTCTCATGAAGGATACGCATAAACGTCTAGTGGATTCAGTTCATGAAATTATAATTTGCAGAGAAAATGTTTGTCGGTAGGTACCAATAATTTTAATATAACTATTAACGATATTGTTATAATTAACGTAGATATGTATTATATAGCAATTTTTTTTTAGATCGAGTACAACTCTCATGGCAATTGGCCATCTCATAATACATATTTTAAAGCAAACTACACCCGACGATTTCAAATTGAAACTAATCGAGGAAATGTTATCTTTGAACACTATTTACGAACTCTATCAAGTAAGTGAAAACATTCGCTTTAGAAATTTATTTTCTTGATAGAACCAGACAATCAGTATTATTTCTGACTCAAAATATTAGTCCCCTCGAGTGAAAAGGCACGACGAATGTCATACGATAGACGATAGAAAAAAATATTGTGTTATTTTTCTCCGACTTCAAAAAGAAGGAGGTTCTCAATACGGATGTATTTTTTTATGTTTGTTACCTCATAACTCCGTCCGTACAAAACCGATTTGGAAAAGTCTTTTTTATCTGGAAGGATATACTTACAGATTAGTTCCATAGAAATTCTATTGAAATGAGTTCAGTAGTTTAATTTTTAACCCAAAATCATTGGTTTTGTCACAATTGAACTCGGTGTTTTTATTGTGGACATAATCTTTAATTATTTTTAGATGGGTCTACACCATGAGTTTGTCTGCCATTTTCAAAATCCAATTAAAAGGTTGAAGTAGTTTTCTTGCCTACAATCGACATGTTTAAACCACGTTATTTGATTGTCAATAAGTGGCGTGTGGTCACTTTAATCAACTACTATAAAAGAATCTGAGATTCAAAATTAATATATAAATATATATAAAATTTTATCGCTAAGTTATTATTGAGTCGTTACTCAATTTACAAAAATGTTATAATTAATACAAAAAACTTAATATTGTTTACTTTATAGGAATGGGAAGAAGCTGTAACACAAGCACTGTCATACATAGTGAATAACGTGTTACAAAAGTCTGAGAAGGACAAAGAGAAATTGGCACCAGTAACGGAACAAGGAATATTATCGCATATCAATTTGAAAAGATTTCTCAAGCAAATCCGTATGGTGCTGGACAAAATGTTTTCAGATGCTTGGACTGATGATACAGAAGCGACCACTCATAAACCAAAGGAAAAAATTACACGCATTGAAGAATTTGTAGAAGTTATATAATATCTGCTATAATATTCTGTTTACTATTTTCTTAAGCTCACACAATCATTTATCAAGCGCATGGTCCTCAAATTAGGATACGCTATGTTTCGAGGAACCAGGCAACAAACGACTTCAGAAAAGTTAAATCCTAAATTGACCTGACCGCAAAGCAATACGTAAAGCAATGTGAGCATATTGTATGTATGTGTCTCACAAATTTTGATCAACCAATTTGAAAAAGGAGATTCTAAATTCAAATGTCTTTTTTAATGGTTATTCCCTAATAACTCTGCCAGTTCTAAACTTATTTGGAATATTATTTTTTTTTTCTGAAAGGATATACTCACGAATTGGTTTCATAAAACTTTTATCAAAATCGGTTCAATAGTTTAGTTTCTGAATCGAAATAACTGGTTTTGGTACAATTCAAATCGGTTTCTTTTGTGAATTACAATCTTGAATAATTATCACAGTCTTAACAAAAGTTGGACATTTAGAGCAATTTATTTATTGTCATTTATAATAAATTAATAAACCTTATTTTTAACTGGATTCATGAATTTATGGTTGTAATTATGATTCGACCTAACTACAATTTTAAGGAATTCATTTTTCCATTCCATTGAATATTTATTATTGTAATACTCCTAACATCTAAATATACTTACGCCTAATAAAAACTTCGAAGTGGCCACTGTAGCAATGTTAGCAATATAGTCAACCCTTATTCGATATTATTAATGCAGGATATGTTTTTATTTAATTTAATTTTTAATCTATAATTAAAATAATGTTACCATTAGACAACTAAAATAAACTGGTATCTTTACATATTTTATTCCAGCGATTTCTTTAAAGATTTCACAAATAAACTTCCTTGTACAAACATTAACAAGCTTTATTCCATTGGAGTTGAAATATAAATAGTTAATTTATTAAAAAACAGTTCTTAGCTTAAGCGACGTGTAGTAATGTATAGAGTACGAGGTTCAAGTACAACATGTGTACTAACAGCAGCAGCACCTTATCACGTCATTTCTTCTTGGCGTCCTTCAGTCCCGCGCCAGCGTTGAATTTGAAGAATATTATGTCTCCATCTTCAACCACATAGTTTCGGCCTGCAAATAGGAATATTAAATTTTCATTTAGGTTGTTTACCAATATACAAAATTATCTAAATTACACTAGTTCGTTTGATATGAGTCTGAATGAATAGATATTTTGCAATTTATCTAATAGGATATGACTGTGAGAGCAAGATCACTGCATTTAGGGGGTCTATTATGAAATGACAATTTTGAAAATTCTGCGGTAAATTTAGATATTTTCTACTATAAATTTTGATTCAGTTAGTAAGCATGGATAAGCTCACGTTATGAAATATTAAACGCCGAACATACTGTTCTTTCTTACGTAAACTTTTGTTTAAAATATTAATAATCTTATTCCCTAGCACATTTCAGTCATTAAGGATTAGTATGAGTCAGTCGAATGTGACGTTCATCACAATGGCATACAGAAACAAAATCTATCACAACATACACAAATAAGAATATGGTATTTATAAGATTTTTGTATTATGATTTAAAAAAAATAAACAAAACGTACCTTGTTGCCGATATTTGCCGGCTGCTTTGCACGCCGCTTCGCTGCCCTCCTCCTTGAAATCTTTGTAATGCATTACTTCAGCCATAATGAAGCCTTTTTCGAAGTCTGTATGAATCCTGCCTGCAGCTTGTGGCGCTTTTGTACCTTTCTGTTAAACATTTCAAATATTTTAATATGCAGGTAAGTATTTTTGTATATTACGAATGTGATTAAAAAGCCCACGTAACCTGAATAACTAAGAATGTTTGCAACAAATGTGCTACACACATTTGGACAGCACAAAATCCAAAAACATAAAGGGACTACAGAGATTTTTTTACGGTGATATTCATTTGAGTAACTTTATTATTTTTATTGACCAAATAAAAATATGGTACAAAAGGTGGGTTTAATGCTTGTAATATTCTCTAACAGTCAACCTTTGAGATGAACAGTGAAACACGAACGCCATTCTACACATGAAAAATTGTAATAACAATGATTATAACATATATACATAAGTATATTGTTTGATCATATTGTCTGATCAGTTAATATGTGGGCTTCTTTACCAGAGAACGAGAGAAGAAAATAATTTATAATGAATAGGTATTATTTTCTGGTTATCCGGAGGGATAACTACAAAATAATGCCTATATATACTACACTATAAAGTGTGTGTATTAGAGGATTTATACATAAAGGATGTCATCACTTAACAATAGGTGAGACTGGTCAAATTAAAGTCAAATTAAAAAACATTGAAATAAAAAAAGAAGAAAAATAAAGGTACAATTTTTGGTAGGTATAATTCCTCTCAGGTACATTGACTGGAAAAAATCTAGTATGGATGTAAACCTATATAATATAAAAATATTCCCTTACCTGAATTGTCCAAGCTTTAACTTCATCGGGACCAGCCGTAAAGAAGTATTCTAATTGCAATGCCTTGTAACCTTGCACTATAATTTTATCCAGTGCACTGAAAATTTTATTATCATTATATTATTGAACATATGTAAATGAACAGAAGGTAATTTCATTATCGATAACATGTATAGTTAGAAATTAAACAAGTGTGATCATTTATTGACTCCATCCATTATTTGATTGGCATTAATATTTGATAGTGTAATAAGCCCAAATAAAGTCATTTATACATTCGTATACCAGATAATTAATATTGTGTTTCAGAAAAAAAAAAAAGATTTCAATTGTGGCAAAATCAGTTGTTTTGAAACAGGTTCAGTAGAACCGATGTTGATAAAATTTCTATGAGACTAATTTGTACTCGTAAGTAACTAAACTAAATTAAACTAAATTGTACTCCTTTCAAATAAAAAAAGAATTTGATAGAGTTAGGAGGTAAGAATAAAAAAAATATAATCGAATTGAGAAACTCCTATTTTTTTTAAATCAGTCGAAAATGAAAGGTAATGAATGTGACTTAAATGTACAAAATACCCTGATAGATTTTATTTCTATGACCGAGAGCGATTCAAACTACTATGATGTAAACTACTATAATGTAATACAAAAAAGGCTGCATAATATGTTGTTATAAAGAAAATACTACACCTTGTAATGTTGTGTTCTTTTAAAAATGCTTGTCTTTCAACAGGCTCCATATCTAATAGTTTTGTTTCTAAAACTCCAGAGAACGGTATTAATGGCGCTCCAGGATCATTCTTGTCGATCCATTCTTTGAGTTTTGGTAACCTAAAATGGATAGATGTGGTAAAACATTACTGTGAATTAATATAATACTTAATCCATTTATAGCCCCCATTCATATTACAGCTAGCAGCCATAAATTGTAATTGACTTCAACTTCTTTATAGCTGATGGTAAATAATCATTAATCGAGAGACAATGTAACAACATACAAAACGCCACTGCCAAATCCATTATTAAGGAAAGAAGGGATTTTTAGTAGTGGAGGCTAACGGCTTCATTACTAGCAATATAGGGTATATAATGCTTCTCTCTAAAAACATCGTTTTTATTTCTTATGAATTCGTTACGATGGGCCAACAGGATTGATTTCATTCCTCATTGATGCCCCGCCAACGTAAACCAAGCGTAGGCGGCGCTACCAATAAGGCATTAAAAACAAGGAATTAGCAAATATTGTCGGGATTATATATATTTTTTACATACCATTTGTTCTTTTTCCGAATGTAGTCCTTTTCAGATAAGTTCACGAGGTATAACGCCGGTTTTGAAGTTAGGAATAAGTATTTATTGAGTACCTCTACCTGAAAATTGTTATAACAATTCAATATTAAGGTTTGACATTATCCCATTAAATACATATAATGTGGATACAAAAATAAATAACTTACATCTGCAGCACTCCAATCGCCGAATCTGATGTGTTTCTTTTCATCTACTAAAATGGCTTTAATCCTCAGCAATGAATCCTGAAAATATTATGTAAAACGTTAAATGTAAAAAACCGAAACATGGTTTGTATAAATTTATATTTAAATAAATAAATTTATTTATTTACCAAAGGGAGGCTTTGTACAAAAGTAGTCTCCTCGAGTACCTCTATTGTTTAACCCACGTTTTAAAGGGTAGGATATGACATGCTATCTTAATCCTCAGGAATGGCAATGCATGAAGAGAATCATGGGCAATACAATATACTCTGTTATGTTCATTATTCATACTGTTCATATCTATAGATAATGGTTACCATTTTCCATTAGATGGACAGTCAGTTTGTCATTTTAAATTGCACAAAAAAAATATATATAACTTGCTTATTATATACTGCTCTTAGACATCGAAGCCAGTTTTCATCGGATGGACAGACAGTTTATTCTCCTAACAAAAATCTCAAGAGTAGGTTTTTGTATCAATTAGTCAACTATACATTATTGTACAATATTATTTTTCGTCAAGTTATTTCTAAGTTGTGATATGATTTTGTTACAATCGTCAACACAGTGGTATATAAAAAATATTAAATACTAATAACAAAAAATTATATGGCAAAACTGTTAAATAATTATACATACATATTCCGGCTTGAGTTTCTTATCATTGCCGCGGTTAACGACACGATCCAACTTTTCCAAGTTCTGCAATAGCTGCTCTTCATCCTTGAGTCTGAGCTCCTCACCAATGGTTTCCAGATCTCTTATAGGATTTACATCACCGTCCACATGAATTACGTCTTCGTCGTCGAATGCTCCTGTAATTGAAACAACATTTATATTATCATTGAATATAATGTTACCATTACTTCTGAACCTTGCAACATGCAAGGTAAACTAAGATTACAAAAAAAAATACACCAGTGCAAAATTTTGCTAGCAACAAAATATATTTTACAAAAATATAACGAAATAAAATAAGTTAACAATTGACGCTATCTAATGTCTTGATATAGAAAAGTATTGTTGTGATGATGTCCGTACTCCAAACAAGACATCGCTCCGTGTACTTAATATTTATTTTACTTTTCAATGGTGTAATTTGACTAGGACGCTATTAGATCTGTTTATTATACTTAATTAGAATTATTATCAGTATGTATATATTTACGGCACAAGTTGAAGATGGCATCACAAGCTTTAATATGTGATAAGAAGGCATTGCCCAATCCTTGGCCTTCTGCGGCTCCGCGCACCAACCCCGCAATGTCGACCACGTTCAGAAACGCTGGCACCTTACTAAAAAATTCAAATAAAAGGGAATTAGAACTAAAATCTATAATTACGTATCTAGAAAATACCTTTTTGGACTTGGAAATCAAAGAAAATTGTTATATGGTATCTTTTGTAATTCTTGCAAATTTCTGCTTGTAATTTATAGGGTGGTCCTCTACTATTCGCAACTTCGTCTGCGCGACCGGGATAAAAAGTAGCCTATGACATTGTCCATTTATATCCAAACATGTAAATCAAATGTAATTAGTTAAGCAGTTACGGTGTTAAGAGGTAACAAAGTCACTTCATATTTATAATATTAGTGATAAGGTTATTACCGTGTTACTTCATATATCGTCATAGTCGTAGAATACTGACGGATCTATATAGGTATGTAATCTTTGTCAGATCCGTCAGTATTCTACGATTACGACGATATAATATACAAAAATCAAAATGAGAATTCTCCATTTATTCAAAGTCGATTAAAAAATGTACTATTTGAAGAGTATTTAAGTAATATACAATTCACATAACAACAATATACATATATTTACCTAGCGGGTTTGTGATACTCGCAAAGATAGTCATATCTCTCATCTGGTACTGGTACCCTACTTGCTGAAACAAATCATATGATTAAATTTCTTGTAAAAGAAGTTGTTCCAGAAATATCCGGCAAACTATATCTACAATTTTCTCTAAAATATATACAAAAAATATATAAAAACTGTATTCAATAAGCGAGCTTTCTTTAACAAACAATATTACTAATATTATAAATGTGAAAGTCTATAAAAATATTTGGATGTTTGTTACTCAATCTTACACTTACGGTTGAATAGATTTGAATGAAATTTAGTACAGGGATAGTTTATACGCATACTTTATATATTGATGCGTGCAGGAAACATAGCGAGAAATAGCCATTTAATAAATAATATTTTTATGTAGCCAATTACCGACATACAAATGACAAGAATTCTAGAGGAAATTAAAATACTGATAGTCATGTTGTTGTATTTATTTATTGATTTATTCTTTTAACATAGGTATATGAGAATGAAAATTATATCTCCATATTAAGTATATTAAAATGTTCAGTCTATAAACTCTGAGATACTTGTAGAGTTTTGTTCAAGTGTAGATGGTTTGCGTACAGTTCCGGAATCATAATTCTTTAAACCACAACATTTAGGATATTGTATAAAGGGGTTATCCATAACTCTTAAACGTAATCCGATATCTATCATCAATTTACATCGAGTCTGATATTTTTTGAAAATTTTCTCATATATATCTATAACAGATTTATTGAAAAAAGGGTTATGAACTTTCAAATACAAAGCTATATACAATAATGCAGATGTCTTAACATCGAGTCCTGGATATTTTGGCCTAAATACATTAACTGAGCAACACGCATCTGTTATAATATTTCCAACAGTTTGTTCTAAATAGCCTAAATTTGGTAATTTTTTTAATTCAACTTTTGGGAACAATTCGGTTTCTTTAAATACGAAAATATCAGAGTATAATTGAGGTCTAGCCATGAATTTATTCAGACATTCAGAGCTGCAAAATAAATATATTTTTCCACGAAAATTTGCTGCATATTTTTTATAACCCCTTTTAATTTTTTGAGCAGGTAGATTTTCAGCATATGTTACTATGCAAATCCCGTTCTCGTAAACAAATGAAAAATTAATTGTTTTTATCGCAGCAGGGATTTCGGGTATATCGACTCTCCGGTTGGTTAAATACAAATGCGGATTTTTCAAAACTACATCCATATGCTCTTTACAAATCCAGTAAAACATATTTCTATACTGTACTACACCTTTTTTATCTATTGGAAAATCACTATGTTTTAAAATATTTTTTTGCAAACAGAGTGGACAAATATTTTTAAAATTGGACATTTGTTTCTGAAAAAGTTCATTAGAAATACACATGACATCTGCCGGCACAATTTTTAAATTTACGTTATTGACATAAAAGTGTACTTTGTTCATTATTTTATCGATAACAATATTAGCGTTTCGTAAACATTGCCACTTCGATTGGTTTCCATCTATAACATAAATATTTTGATAATCGTTCTCAATCCAATCTCTAATTTGGTAACAAGTTTCTGCCCATTTAGTAAATCGGTGCTCAATAAATGAAAATGAATAAGGTGGTTTTATTTTTAGTATATTAAAATGGACTTCATTTTGAGAATACTCCAAAATTCTCTGTTTTTTCAGAGAAATATCAAGCATAATAAGTGGATAGAGACCTATTTTAGATAGTTCCATTGCTTCCGAAGATGATTCAGGAAAACCATCCATTATAAACCCGTTGGTTACAACGCGATGATCTATGGCGATAGTTTGTACAGCTTTTATTATAAGGTCAGTATTAACACGTTGTCCTTCGCGCAGCTTCACTATAATTCTAGATGCTAATTCAGTCCAGTGCATATTTTTTAATATGTATCTAAGAGCAATTCCTTTCGAAAGACACAATAGTCCATATTTATTTGATAACTTTTCTGCTAATGTACTTTTTCCAGACTTTGGTGGCCCAATAATTCCAATTCTAAGAGGGTATTCAATATAATATTTGATAACATTTTTATGTATATATTTCAAAGGATTCTGCCGGAATTTAAGAACGTATTCTTCACTAATAATAAAATAAATATAAGATCGATGTATTACTGGAAATATTTTCCTTTTGTTTTTGTTTACTTTGTAAGGATTCAGTAAAGAATTTGGATTTTCATAAATGTATACAGGACAAATGCGGTTAAATTTACTTAAAAAATAAAATCCCTCTAACAACAACATTTCTGCAATATCGCAATCAATTATAAAAGTTTGTTCAAAAAATGATTCGCTGCGATTTCTTAGACTTGATAATTTGGATAGGGTAACCCTCAACACTTCGTGTAATGGTTTTGTACTATCGACCGACACAAATTTAATTTTTTGTTCTGGCAACATATCTTTTAATGATTGAATATTTTCATCATCTGTTTCAAAAATGCCTTCAAGTCTAGAATCTAATCTTTCACGAGCTTTGTCTGGTTTCTCCCATTCACTTTGATTAATAGGTTCTGGATATTCTTGAATCATGTCATTGAAAGTGTTAAATAGATTTGCGTCAACATTCGAGGACCCTGATGGATTAGCATCCATTATAACACTTTCTTTAGAAAAATGTTGAGCAAACATTTTTTCAGGAAAGAATATATTTTCTATAATTTCATCACAAATAAGTTTGATAACGATATTTTTTGTGATAAAATCTATCCAATGTTTTTTGTCGATATCCAATTTTTTATTATTTATGTGTTTCGCATCATTTAGTTGAGTATTCCATCTACTAAACATTTTAGAAGACATTCTTTGCAACATTGTTTCTGAATTACTTTCCAATTCAATGATTAAATTTGGTATGCAAAAACATGCAATCATATCTTCTATATCCGCCGGTAATCTAGGATAACCATCTAATACAAAACCTGTCGTTTTAAATGGATCATCAAACCATATTTTTTTTAATATTTTATGCATTAAGGCAGATATTATAGGTGTACCTCTTTCAAAATAATTATGTACCATACGGTGCAATTCAGTCTCGTTTGATAATATACTTGACATAAAATTTTCACTTTCTTCATCAATTTGGAATTCCATGACACCTTCTTCATCAATTGGCACATCAGTGAAAATATTTTCAAATTGTCGTCCCACTTTTTTGAAATGTTTGGGTATTAAATATTCGTGTATGATCTCTGAGAAATCTAAATGAATCAAACCCAATTCTTTGGCTATTAATTTTGAAATAGTAGTTCTACCACTACCAATGCAACCAATAATGCAAATTCTTATTGGAGGTAGACTTTTAAAAGGATTATTATAATATTGATATTTGGTTATGTCTTTCTGAAATAATTCTGAACATTCGTTATTACAAAAATAATAAATTTTATTGTTATATTTAATACTAAATTCTGATTTACCTTCCCACAAAATACCATATTCATAGTAAGCAATTGGACAATATATATTAGTTTCACATAAATTTTGCGAATCATTATACGTAAGAATATCTTTTGGTGGTTCATGATCATCGTCTTCTGGTTTATGTACCTCATCTTCATCATTGGTCTTAGTAAAATAGTAACTCTTACGTAATTTTAGTAAAACTTCTTCAAGTATTTCGATATCTGTTTTCATATCAAGTTCAACTTCAATAAATGACATAGTTTGCTCTTCTAATTTCAATTTTACAGTATCCCAATTTTCACGGAATCTATTAAAAGATTCTGAAAAATTAATGTATAAATCGTATTCTGGATTAACTTCAGTATTTTCTACATTTGATGGTGTAATAGAAGTTGCATTAAAAACAGTGTTTACTAAATCGTGAATAATTATTTGTACATCTATTACTTTTGTATCTATCATTTTATTTGTCAATAATTTAGTTTTAATTAGTGGATCATTTGCTAAGATAAACCTTTCTTGATAATTCTTGAAGTGCTTTTCAATTTCTAAATAACGTTGTAGAAGTTCTGGTTCGACATCTTTGTTTTCAATTAGTGCAATAGTATTATCAGGTAACATATTTAATTCACTGAAATAATCCCAATATTCTGGATCAGAGGGAAATCCATCTATTATATATTTAGCATAACATTCTTCAGAATTTGTATTTTTTTGGTGTTCTTTATCCATATTTGATAGTATATTAACTATTTCGTTTACTAATTCTTCGATGGTAGGTTCAATTTCCTGTTGCAATTCATTAAGTGCAATATAAGCTGAAATAGCCTCCGTTACATCATTGTCTCCCAAAACAGGTAACATAGGTATTTTTGTAGCAGTGATTAATTCAAGAGGGGCAAACTGCATTAAGTTCATATCTTCAATAGCTGCATTACATAATTCAATATTATCTAAAAATGGAAGGAAAGATAACTGTTCCTTTAAAGATTTTAATTTGTTTAAATAATTTATATCGTGCATTTTATTTTGTTCATCTTTTTTTTGGTGCGTGGAATTTAAATAATCGGATAACAATGATGTATATTTTTTTAAAAGCGACCTATTTAAATTATACCATAAATCTAATTTTGAAAGTCTCTCAGTTTCCATAAGTTGCCATGTTTCATGTCTGGTATCTTCTATTGTAGCTATTATTTCCGATAAAATAGTTTTTGCAAAATTGTTATACTTTTTTCGTTTTACCTGATGTAAAAAATTATCGTAATTTATGATAGGAGCGTCAAAAATCCAAGAGAGACATTTTGAAACCATAGTTTTTCCTGATGATTTAGTTCCTATCACGATGATTCTACACGTGGGTTCTAGATAATTAAGTTTTAAATACGGACGAGGGTTTCTACAAAAATTTATCATGGAATCTAAGGAAGATAAAAGATAAATATGTTTAAAAAAACTAACAGCAAATTTAGGGTTTCCTATAACAGATTTCCTTTTCTTTAATTCTACAGGACATCTGTTAAACCAAGGAGATGCATAACGATTAAATTTAATACTTCCATTGTGTATGACATTTAAATCATTAACTAATTTCCAAAACTCTTGCATATCTTCTGGAGGTTCTTCAAGATAGAGTGGTTCTGGTATAATAATGGGTTTTATAGGCAATGTAAAAAATATCTCATTGATAATATGCATCATTTGATCAATTGATGTACGCGCATCTAACTTTATAACACGTTTAGGATTGTAGTCTTGAAATTTTTTTTCTATAAATGGTAAAATAAACTGTTTATAATTACATAATTGTTCTATAGAATTTTCGATAAAATTGATTGGTTGCCTGCAACTATATTTAGGATTAAAGCTACAAGAATCGTAAGGCGTAAAATAGTCACTAATAGAATATTTTTCTGGCCATTTGGTGTTAAATTCCTGTTTTACAAAAAATGGATCAACAGTATGTAACCCATTTGCATAATTTAAATATTTATGACATTTCTTAGTTACCAAATCTATATCAGTGCAAGTTAAGTAAACTATAAGATCTGGTGTCATTGATAAATTGAATAATTCATTTAACTGCAGAAGCAATACGGTTTGCTTAGTGACACAAGAAGTCTTTTTCGGTAAAATAACGTTAAAACAAGATTGAAGCAAAAATTTAGGCAAAACAGATGATTGTTCCTCAACTTCTTCTTGAATTTCTTCTATTTCTTGTTCCTCTTCAGGTTCCTCCTCTTCATCTATTATTACTTCACTACTTAAAGAAGTATGTGGCGATACTTTTAAATTTTTTAGACTTTTTTTCTTTAGATTGCAAATTAAATCAAACAATAAACTCTTCACTACTTCTACTGCTTCTTCTGAGTGTAAAGTATTTACAAGATACAGTAAATTTCTATTTGATGTCACTAAAGGAAGTCCCGATAAAACGTAGCCACGATGCTTCACTGCAGGCGATTCTAGTTTCTTTTTTATTATTGTTAATATATAATCAAATTTCAGTACATTATTAAGTTTAAAATTATAGTCTAAACATTTTCCTGTAGAACTTGCTTGTTCTATTTCATCATTAATAACGTTTTTTGGACACAAATGTATGCAATTATATTTCTTTGAAATTGCTTCACCAATAGAGTATGCTGCAGCTCCAGGTTTATTAAGAATTAAGTAGCATGTTGGTTTTGAATTTAGATATAATTCTTGTGTATCAATATCTGTCCAGCAATCATAGAATTCTGAATTGTCTGGAAGTGGTGCAGCTGTATTATTTACACCTAGTACAGCTGAAGCTAATGGCCGATGTTTATTATCCTTAATAACAGGGGCCTTTTTTTCAATAACATGAATAGGACCATTATATATCATAGTTTTGTCAGTAGCAACATTTAGCACACTAAATTTGTCATCAATATCTACATTACTTTTATAGTTCTCCAATTTGAACATTTTTTTCGATATAAAAATATTTTTCTTCACTTTTAGTTATCACAATTATAATACAACTATAACAATTATAACATTCATGTATCTTTTAAAAACTGTCATTGTCAAAATTCCAGAAAGGTTTGAATTTATTTTAATCTAAAATTACATTATAATTATATTGGCCAACTATTGGTTCAGTTTTGTGTAACCTATATCCTATCTATTCTTCTATGTCTATATTGCATACTATAAAGGACATGACCTATCTGAGCATAAAATTTTAATACAATCTATTCAGAGATTTGCAGGAGATTGAAATGGCTCTCAAACAGCTTAAAAACGGCAAGACACCGGGAGAGGACAGAATTACAGCAGAGCTTCTAAAAGCTAGTGGAAACCTGATACTTGTAGATCTTCAGAGATTAAATAACGGTGTTACGCCCGAGGCGTGTAGCAGAAGTGCGGTGTTCCTGTTCGTCATGAAGGGTGATAATACCGTATTGAAGAACCATAGACCGATATCCCTTCTGAATCACGTCCACTCGATGACTTCCACATCTTTACCTTTACTTTAACATCCTAGACCACATACATCCGTCACGGTAGATTATACAGAAGACGGAAAAATAAATACTACCACTATGCCTGGCGTTTGTGGACTATGAGAAAGCCTTTAATTCGGTCCAAACATGGGCAGTACTACAGATTCTCCAGCTATGCCTGATTGATTATAGGTATATAGAAGTGTTGAAGTGTACAGTAAGGCTATGATATCTATCCGAGTACAGAACTAGGTACAAAACCCGCCCCATTGTAGAAAGGTGTAAGACAGGGTGACGTCATATCCCCGAAATTCTTTACTGCAATGGAAGATGTTTTCAAACTTTTGGACTGGAAAAGGTATGGTGTAAACATCAATGGCGAATACATCACTCACCTTTGATTTGTTAATGACATAACAATCATGGCAGAATTCCGAGGATTGGAATACTATGCTCAATAGTGCTTTTCCCACAGATATGTCTTAAGATGAATATGACAAGAGTATGTGTATACCTGGGACAACTTAACCAACTACGTAAGCCCAACTACGATCGAATTCAAGTTGGCTGGACAGCGTTCGAGAAAACATCCCACATTTTCTTATCCAGAACACCTCAAAGTTAAAAGACGAAGGTCTTTAACCAGTTCATGTTGCCAGTGATGATTTATGGAACCGAAACATGACCATACATAATTGCTTAAACGTAAAAGTTTCAAATTACTCAGTGAGGTATGGAGAGGGTTTTTTTTTAATGGGTGATAATGGAACGGTAACCCCACCTGCGCTATCGGTATACGCTGGTGGGGCACCAGTGAGTGATGATAGATGAGGATGAAAGCAGGTCAGTTAGCCCATCGTGATGAATTCCACTAGAATTAACCACGATGGTTTCCAGGGGGAACCGCGTGGAGGTCGACCTGATAAGGTATATTATTAGCAATGGGTTCATTAGACTCCATTATTAACAATCCCTTCCCCCTGGTATGGAGAGGGTTATGTGCGGAGTTTCTTTACATGACAGAATCCGAAATGAAGATATCCCCACAAGAACCAAAATCATTGACATAGGCAGAAGGTTAAGCAAGCTGAAGTGCCAATGAGCTGGTCACATAGCTCCCGACAACCAATGGGGAAGAAAGGTTCTTACGTGGCGACCCCGTATCTACAAACTCAGTGTAGGGCGACTTCCCACTAGGTGGAGTGAGGTATATCTCAAATACATAGAGGTGGCTCAGAACTGTTCTTTATGGCAGTCTATGGGGGAGGACTATGTTCAGCAGTGGATAAATAATGGCCGAAATGAATGAAATTAGGCATTTTAGCATGATTAGTTGAGAAAATTTTTAGCTTTCACATTTATAATAATAATAATATAAATTCATAATTTTAATCATCATTAATATTATTTTAATAAAAGAGAAATATTTAATTTATTGAATATTGTATATAGAATTCTTATAATGTTATTTAAAACAATTTTAAACAATTAAATAGGAAATAAAATACTTATTTTCATTAGGATCAATGGTGCAGAAGGGAAAATTTTCAGCTGCTGCCTGGCTTTTAGTTAACACATTGAAAAATGTAGACTTTCCTACATTAGGCACACCAACAATGCCAACTTTTAGATTAGTTCCCACTCTTCCAATAAGGGGTTTCTTTTCAGGCTCTTCTACCTTTTTAGGAGGCATCCTGGAAATTAAAAAGTATGTTTACAGCAAGCCCTTTAACTACTCTTTTACACTTATTATTAGTATATATATATATATATATATATATATATATATATAATGTTATTTACAGACCAATCTGGATATTTAGAAGATTGCTAAAAAAAATGAGTCTGTACTTCAAATTATTACTTCAAAGATCACTACACATCCACGAATAAAGTATATTTTTTTAAGAATATTTTATTTGTCTGTCATTGTAACAAAATTTGGAGTTTTTATAACCAATGAATCCACTACACATTTAAATTTCAAACTTCAAACTCAAAGAACACAGAAGATCTCATTAAATTTCCTCTCCTCAAAAACAAGCTCATGAATATCAATCCACGTCTTGAGTGCTTGTAAAAACATTAAAATAATATTATAATATATATATTCACTCTACACTTGCCTATGATATGGACATACTGGGTGCATTTATAATATTAGAATAGATAATCTCTTTTACAATCAAATAAGCATACCGATAAAGCTTCTCTTTCTTTCTTTCATATCATGCTTATAATAATATCCAGACTGCTAGTGTTATGTTATATGGAGGCAGTTTTTGTAATGTGATAAAAATATAATAGTTAATCCACTTGCGGTATTAGTATATGCTAGTTGGGATGATAAATGAAGATGAAATCAGGTCTGTTGACCTAACTTAACAAATTAATAATAATCAAGAGGGTTTTCATGAGAAACTGAATGAAAATTAACTTCACAGTTTACTAGTAATGAGGATTAACAACCACATAAATACATATTAATAACATATTTACAATCCTTTTCTACTTGAGGTGTGATTTTGTTAGGCACCCTATAATATGGTTGAACAGAATAACGGTATCTATCATACTTGTAAACTGGTGCTACTCGTACAGGTTGATATATTAAAGAATGCTGCGATTGATTGTAAGTCATTATTAATAAATTATTTGTGATAGCTATTGCAATTAAAATGTATAATTTTTTTTAAAGAAAAAGCAACACCTATGTTTCCTGCAGAAATTACATGGTAATTTGAACAGTAGAATTATAAAAATTAATAACAATGTTTATAAGAATAAAAATTATTGATATTCTATTAATGAAAGTTGTATTAGAAAAAAAAATAAAAAATCTTGTACATAATTATTAGTATTAGAACGTTTCATTTTTATAGTGTAATGGTATAAATTTAAAAATTCTTTTTAAAACGATTTATAAAGTATTAAAGTGAATATTTACATTTAATAGCTTTATTAATGTAAATAAACAAAAAACGTAAAAATCTTATTGCACTACTTGGTTAATAACCTCTGGAAGTTAAAACAAAAACTTACTCGGTTAATATATACTATCAGGTACCACTTTGAAATTTATAATGATTATAATTTCACTGAGAAATGTATAATTTATTATGTAAATAATTATCAAATTTATAAAATGCGGTAATTTTATAAAGACACAACTACCCACGACACGACACGAGTATAAAAAAAATCAATGAGGTCGATTCTGAGGTGCCATTTTTCTAAACTTGTTCGTTCTTTTCGTGAATTTACTATTTATGGACTAAAACAAACTAAATTTATAATAATATTTTTTAATTGGCTCTAGTTTATTTTAATTTTTGTTCTACGTTATACTCTATATAATTGTTTTGCTGTGATATGAAATTGAAAATTTAATTTTATATATTGTATTGCAAAAATGGTGCCTCAGAATCTACCCCAATGTTACCAATTGCTCAATTAGGTAGGCATGTAGGTAAATTATCTTTTATAACCAGCGTTGCTAGATTGGGTATTTTTTTCGCAATATTGGGTAAATTTTTTTATGATCGCTATTTTTTTATTTTGAAGGAATTAAATTCTTGTCGAAATTTTTGGATAAAAGTAAAATGGGTTTGAAGAAATTAGAAAAGAAAAACAATAAAGAAATAAATTACTGTTAAGGAAATTATAGTTACTATTTACGAACTTTGTGTGTATGTGTGTTTGTATGTGCTTGTGTTATATAATGTAGGTTTATAGCATAATTTGTTACTGTAGTAACAATTCTGGTTCCTCGTAGCTGAGTGTCTAAAGCCACTCAGACGTTTAAATAACTGCATGGGATAAATATTTAGTTTTGTTAATTTTATCATATAAACGAGCTGAGCAAGGTACTGTTTTTTTCTGCAAATATTTACTTAATGAGTATCTGACAGACAATATTCGTACTTCTTCTACGTATTAATAAAGAGGGATTAATTGTAAGAATTTTGCAAACCAGTATGTATAGTTTTCTCTCAGTATTTCTCCAATAGAATAAAACTTATGTGTTGGGAACTTATGGTTTAAATAAATAACTTTTAACAAACATCTCTGATTTCTTTCCACTTCCAAAAGCTTAGTTTTTGGTGTAATGTAGTTCTACATCCCTGCTTAGGGAGGCTAAGCAGGGATGTACGAGTAGAACTACATTACCTATTGCACAATCACTACATATAAACGATGTAGAAGTGTTTTTTCAGTAACCTATTTTAAAGTTTTAAATATCCATATAAGTTTTTTAATCTGATTGATATTATAATCAATATGTGTGTGTCATGATAAGCATTTATTTTATAATTTCTAGATATCTAGTGAAGGAGGCTTTTTCTAATTCTTTACAACTGCAAGATGTGTTGTTAGTTAGTGAGGTTACAACTTTGTATAGTTTAAGCTTGAGATGTCGATGATGTTATGTAGTAGTATGCATATTTTGTGAAGAAAATAAATTTAGTTTTTGTAATGTTAAGTTTGAGCACGTTTGATTTGAATCATGAAGAGATTACATGTAGACCTTTTTCAGTTTGATTAAAAGTATTTGTCCATGTTTTCCCGCAAAAAACTATAGCCATGTCATCTGGATAAGAGAATATATGTCTATCTTTAAGCCCTTCGCCAGTACTTTTCGTCATGAGAAAAAACAAAGAGATTATTCTCGGTAGATCTACTCTGTCTAAAGTTATATTGTGAGTAAAAAACAAGATTATTTTTTTCTAATTGCGTCATCAAAAGAGAATTCATAAGTTTTTATATGATTTTAAATACGACAGAAAGCACCGAGATGGGCTTAGTTATTCGGGTGATCTCTCTTTCTATCCTTAAATTCCAGCGTAATTAACGACTTTTTTAAGGGAGCAGGGAAAACAGCCTGTTTAATACATATATATGCCAGGTGACGTAAGATCAGAACGAGGGCTTGCCTTGTTTAAGAATCTGATGGAGATACCATCCCAATCGGGTAAGCTGTCAGATTTTAAACAGTGCCATATAGTACAAATGAAGAGAGAAATGATCTTCGTTGGTGTGAAGTATTTTTAAATGAGATAATACTGTCTGACATTACAATATTATTCGCAAGTGTCATATATCTACCAAGAAGTTATTGATATAGTTGGCTGATTCTGCAGGTGTAGCTTTATAGTTTAAGAATTATATATTTTGAGATTTGGATGATTTTGATGCAAAAAATTCGATATGTAGTAAAAAAAAATTTTTTTGGGTATAAATTAAGGAAATTGTATCGATTTGGAGAAAACATAATTTTTGTCAATACAGTAAAATTCAAAAGTAACATCTGGCAACTTTGTCTATAACATCAAACATCGAGCAGTCGATTGCTAAATGTCAAAAATAGTTTTTTTTTAATAGATCATCTATTGGAATGGTAGAGGCAGCTTAGAATGTAGAATATATATATATATAATTTTTTAACTATTATAAACCATTCAATTTGAAAAATTCTTGGTTTAAGTATTGGACAAAAACTTAGAATTGTCATATTATTTTAGTAAAATACTTATTTGTGATGTCCTCAGGAAAATTATATTGCATCATTGATAAAATTGCAGTTTTTTTCCAACTTTAACATTGGCAAAATCATTAGAAACTTGATGGAGCAATAATTAAAAAAAAAAACTTTCCTCATAAAAGCATGTAGAATTTTATTTCTATGGTATGCTATTACAGAGAAAGTAATCTAGTATGACGATTATTTCTCAATCCTTAGATTTCTTAAATGCATATTTCATCGAAAAACAACCATTTAGTAAGTACGTGTCAAAAGATGGTTTTTGTTGCAGAACCACTAGAGCTCTGAACGAGTCTAAACGATAATCGTTTATACTTAGAGGGTAATATAAAATTTGTCAAAAAATAATATCTATTGACAGGAAATGCTTATGCAATTTACAGCCGCAACACACATATTATCAGAGGGAGACTTTGTACAAAAGTCGTTTGCTTGGGTACCTGTCCCATTCATGTTTCAACCGTAAAGCAGTTGTTTTGGTTTGAAGGGTGGGATATGGCATGAATTTACAGGGTACAGAGGAATAATACCCGAGTCCTCAGGAATGGCAACGCACTGGGGTATCATGGGCAAAACAGTATATTCTGTAATGTCCATGGTATTGCTCATGTCTATAGGCTTCCACTTCCCATCAGGTGGGCCGTCAGCTTGTTTGCCGTTCTAAGTTGTATAAAAAAAACAGTTCACAATGTATGTAGGTATATTCCAGAGTATATTAAATGTACGGAAATCATATAAATCTTTATAAACTGTTCACCGCTAAATATAAACTTCCCCTTGGGTAGCATTATCAGTAGTTGCCACGGTTGGCAAGCGCAGCTAGGGTTGGGAAATGTTTTAAGAGGGATGCTGCTGTGCATATCCGTTATGCATTTCTAATCTTTCAATTGTATAACCTTTATATTGTAGAACAAAAATAATAAAAGTATTAAATGAAAGAAATTTGTTGTATAACAATAGTTAATAATTTAGAAAAAACCGATTCAATATGGATATTGTTATTCTATGTTGTGAGAGCAGCCCATGGCGGAGACATTGGTGCAGGATTTTGAAGGTATGACATGACTACAGCTGATATTGACAGCATGAAGGAGCTCACAATCTGGAAAGAAGAATATAATAATATGATATAAGGTAGAACAGAGCAATATTGCTAAGTTATACTAGTAAGCAAATACTAATAACCACTGCAAACAAGGAAACTTAATGTTCCTATATAGTATTTATGGAATTTAAGAAATATTTGTATTAATATATGTATGTATGCATGTGTACCATTAAACATAATAGTTTAGATAAACTTACCTGTTTTGTATCATCTGATACTCTTGAATTAGCAAAACTGATACTAGAGCAAAATACAGCTGTCCAAGCGCACCATTTAAGACGCATCATAAGTCCACACATAGAAAACACCATACCTGAAAGAAAAAGTCAAAATGCTGTTTAATTAAAATGTAATAATAATAAAAAAAAAAAATATTATAAATAAATTTCATTAACCAAGTGTAATACTTTAGAATAGTTGTACTTAGGCTAATTTTATTTTGTAATGTTTCTAATTGTTAGGACAAAGTTCGAATGAAAGAGAATGTTTGATATATCATATGGAAATTAAAAAATTTGTTTAAAAAACCTGCATATAAGAAGTGAGTGAAAGAGCAAAACAGAAGAGATCTTTATAAAAGACCTATGTTAAGCTGGGATAGACACCTAGTATTTAATACAAACAAAAATTTTACTCATACATTTTTTATTATGTAATTATAATTAAATAAATCTAGATTTTATTATATCGTAAAAAAAATATTTTTAATATAGTAAAGAAATTGTCACTTGAAATTGTTCCTATAAGGAAATTAGAAGATTACAATTTTATTTTAAATAGGTATAATTGTAAGCGAAAGCTTACAACTGTAATATCACAAATTCTGATTAAGTAGTATTTGATAAATTTCTAAGTAGTCACATCATACAAGTTGGTAGTGTGTGCATTTAAATACCTCATGTTTCGAAATAAATGAATAAAATTATCTTCAATTTATTGCCAACAATATATTTTATTAATGGTCGATGTTCTTAGGCTTCCATTGATCAGTTCGTATATTTCTTTATGTAAATTTTATCTTATGTGTATTTTTGATGGATCAATTTGTAATAAACAATTTGTCTATAGAAATCTGAATATATTACTATAAATAATTAATTATTGTTCGATTTTAGAATATAATTACTATGTATATGTGGACTTTGATGAGAAAGATTTAAATTAAATAAATAAATTGTACCAAGAATGTTCATATAGTCAGTTGTAAGATCTTCAGCTGGAGCTGATGTAGGTGGTGGTGGCTTGTAACGACGTTCTCTATCAGCACGTCGTGGATCTGAGTTGAGCTGCATCTAGCATTAAGTAAATATATATCATTAATATAATTTAAGTTATTAAGTATACGATTATAAATTAACACAATCGACCACTACTTTGGAAGGCAGGAGAAATTCCTCCCTTCCAAAGTTGGTCGATTGATTTAATAAAGAGTTCATTAGATACCTTCGTGTGCGTATATCAAGTAAAACTAATTTGCTAGTATTGCAAACAGTAATAGGTTAGGGATATTGTGATAAAATGAAAATAAGTATGAACTTACTTTGTTCGTTTTTAGTATTGGCCCACAAATAATTGAAACTTTCTATTTCTATGTAGACACAAAAATTTTACACAGTCCAGCTGTGTATAAATTCACTTATTTTGTCACGAAGTAGATAAAACAAATTAGTAATGTAGTAATTAGTTATGATTAAAATAAACTAAATGATCTAAAAACTTGAGCAATTTTCTTTATCATTGACAGACTATGTATTTGCTAGTTGACGTTGACAGTTTGATATATTTCAAAAATGTTACGTCACAGTTTTTATAGGTAGGAACCAAAAAAAAAAAAATTAAATTCCGTAAACGGTCATGTTCTGCGATTAAATGACGTGACACATACAACAGTTTTTTTAATCAATGGTTATGACATAGACTTAGTATATCAGAATGAAAACAGATCGATCAGCCCATGGAATAAATATTTTTCTCAGTCACGTTTCAATCAGTCTCGAACTGTTTCTACCTACTGACCATATCGAAAGAGAAGCGAATGCATATTGAGAGTGCCACTGGAGCATCCGGCCTATATTATATACGTCTCTAAAACCTGGACATGGAACTAGAGTCTGACCATTGATTAGGGTCCCCTTAAAACCGCGGCAAATTTAAAAAAAATATGTGATGGTAATACTGAAAATACTGCGAAATACTTTTTTGATACTTGTATCATTATTTTCAAAGGAATATATTTATTTCTTATAGTTATATCTTTATTCTGTTAACTAAAAACTTTATGAAATAAAAAAGGAAATAAAAACATGTAATTATTTAAAAATAATATATTTATGCATATTCACAATTAAAATCAGAATCAATTTTCAATTTTTTTCTATTCAAAAAATTCAATGCATAAATCGTCATAAGCTCTACCATCACTTTGAGTTACACACACATACACACACACACCTTTGTTGACAGTGTTGAAGTATAGTTTATTGTGAACTTTATATAGCAACCCTAACTTTGTTTATGGTATTATAAAATAAAAAAAAAAAAAAACTTCTTGTGTGTCAATGACAGAACTGAAAAAGGTTGTTTTTTATTTCTCTTCTCCATCGTTAATAATCCATTTAGTTGACTTGTAATAACATATTTATTTGACGTGTAATAACAATAATAATCATAACAGGTTATGGCCCAGCCTGATTTTCCATTTATATGGTATTGTAATTATTCGTACAAAACTAGAACAATTTCCACAAGTCACAGCCGCCATTTTTTTTTCCGGTTGAAAGTTTTTTGTTCAGAACTTCTTGAGGTACTTGTCAATAATGTCTGTGCGATTAGATAAAATCACAGTGGACAAGTTGGAGGGTGAAGGTAATTGGATTTCATGGAAATTCGATATCAACTTACAAATAACCCTACATGGAGTTGAGGACCATGTGACCGGTGTAGCGCAACAACCAAAAGATGGAGAAGAACCAAAGTCTTTCAAATTATACCATGAAAAGGAATCAATTGCAAGGTATTTAATAGGTTCAACAGTAGGCAGAGAGCCGAAACAGCACATTTTAACCTGCAAAAGTGCGAAAGAAATGTGGGATACTCTTCATGCTGTGTATGAACAGAAAAATGAAAGAAGACTGGATCTTTTGTACTGCGAGCTATTTACGTATAAAAAGTTACCAGAGGACAGTATAGCTACGCATGTCTCTAAGTTACAAAGACTGTATACTCAATTAAACTTAGAATTGAAAAATGAAGGCAGTACTTTGCCTCAGTCCTTACTTTTAAACAGAATACTGAATACATTGCCTGTTAACTATCTTGAGTTCAAAAATGCATGGGAATCTGTCCCTGCATCGGATAGAAATGTAACCACATTAATGGAACGTCTTCGCTTACATGAGCAAAGATTGAATGAAAGCAAACCTGAAAGTGAAGTCGCTCTAGTTGCAAAGACTGAAAAGCGTATATATAATAAAGGTCAGTTTGTAATTATTGTAAAAGAAAAGGACATATCAAAAAACATTGTTTTAAATTTAAAAATAAACAAAAATCTGATTCTACAAATGGACATGCTTTTGTTGCACATAGTACCGTGATAACTAAAGAGGACTGGATAATAGATTCTGGTGCGTCACACCATATTACTTCACATAGAGAGTATTTTGCTTCATATGAACAATTTGATAACCCAATTCCAGTTTATCTCGGAGATGGTAGTCAAATGATGGCTGTAGGATTTGGCATCATAGACATAAAAATGTTGGTTAATGGAAAATGGGAGAAAGGTCATTTAAAAGATGCTTGGTTTGTTCCTACCTGTAAACAGAATTTATTCTCTTCAGGGTCAGCTTTAAAAAATAATTTAATTGAAATAGGTGATAAAAATAAAAGAATATTTAAAAATGGCAATAACATAAAAGCAGTTGCAATAAGAAATAAGGGAAATATGTACAGATTGGAGATGAGGGTGATATTACCTGAAAATTATTGTATGCTTAGTAGTCATACGGCAGACTTAAATATCTGGCATGAACGCCTATGTCACCAGAATATTAGACATGTTGAAAAATTCTTAAAACTGAATAATATTCCATTCCAGCCAGCAGAAAAAATTGTTTGCGATGGGTGCATGTTTGGTAAAATGTCTCGCTTGCCTTTTCATACAAGAAATATCAGAGCACAGGTACCAGGACAAATTATTCATGCTGATGTCTGTGGCCCCATTGCTGAAGTATCTGTTGGAGGTAGTAGATATTGTATTGCATTCAAAGACGATTACTCCAAATACAGAAAAGTATATTTTATAAAAGAAAAGACAGCAGTTTCAGAAGTAACAAAGAACTTTATTTTGGAAGCTAAGACAATAGGTCATACAATAAAAGAATTAATAACTGATGGAGGTAAAGAATTTATAAACAAGGAAATGCAAGCCATATTGTCATCATTTGGAATTAATCATCGCATGACCATTCCATATAGCCCACAGCAGAATGGAGCTGCGGAGCGTGAAAACAGAATATTAATGGAAGCAGCTCGGAGTATGCTACATGCAAATAATTTTGATAAGCAGCTATGGGCAGAAGCTGTTAACACTGCTGCATATGTTCTGAATAGGACTGGTCCAACAGGTGTTGATGACTCATCTACACCATACAGTTTATGGTTTGGCAAAAAAGCTGATATAAGTCATCTGAAGATATTTGGCACAAAATGTTTTATTCATGTACCTGACCAAAAGCGCAGAAAGCTAGATAAAAAGGCAATAAAGGGAAACTTAGTTGGATATTGTGGAGACAAAGATGGGTATAGAATATGGACAGAGGACAGAAAGATAGTTTTATCTAGAGATGTTAAATTCCTACCAGAACAAGTATGTGTTGATATTTTTAAACAGGATTTAACAGAGCAGCAGTCTAAACATCAGAAGGAATCTTCGAAAAATCATGATTTTGTGATATCCTTAATTCCTGATGCTGATGAAGTCAACAGCAGCAAAGTTCAGAAAGTGACAAGAGGACATGCATCATCGTCTATGGCCCCAAGGGCTGTCACCGCTGATCCAGCTCAAGCATGTGACCAGGTTCCAAGTTCAGGTAAAGATTTTATACATAATTCATGTGATAGTGATCCTGTGTTCTTAGACTGTGATAATTTATCAGAAAGTGAAAGTGAGTCAGTGATAAATGTGGATCCATTGTGTAGTGGTAACAGTAATGGAAATGTCGAAAGTGAAAATTCTCAACGATATCCATTGCGTAATAGAAAGATAAAGGAGTTTCCAGACTATCATGTGTATATGTGCATGGAATCTGATGATGAATGTTTACATTTTGATGATTTTGATAATTTACCAGCTTGTTGGAAAGATGCTATTAATGCTGAACTTTCATCATTGGATATTAATAATACTTGGTCTATTGTAGATTTACCAAAGGGTGTAACCCCTATAGATAGCAAATGGGTATTTAAAATAAAGAAAGACAGTGACAACAATATTGTCAAATATAAGGCTAGGTTAGTTGCACGTGGGTATAATCAAAGATTTGGTATTGATTATCATGATACATATTCACCAGTTGTTCGTTCTAGTGCACTTAGAATTCTTTTTTTCTTTGGCAATTCAGTTTGATTGGTTTATAGACCATTGGGATGTTGTTACTGCTTTTCTTCATGGAACATTAAATGAAGATGTTTTTATGTATATGCCAAAGGGCTTGTTAATTGATAAAGGTAAAAATGATAATGTGCCTAAGGTATGCAAACTAAACAAAGCTATGTATGGACTGAAGCAGGCAGCCTCAAGTTGGAATAAAGAGTTGCATAATGCTTTGATTAATATTGGTTTTAAGCAGTCTGTTCATGAACCATGTATTTATATTCTCAAACAAGATAACCTTTATTTAATTTTAGCAATTTATGTGGATGACATTTTTGCATTTGGTAATAATCAAAAGAAAAAGCATGATATATTTTCTCTACTAGATAGTAAATTTAAATTAAAGAATTTAGGTCCCATAGAACATGCCCTAAGTTTGAGAATAAGAAGAGTAGGTTCAGAATTAATTGTTGATCAGAAAAGGTATATAGAAAATATATTAAGTGTGTATGGAATGCAAGATTGCAAACCTGTAAATTCACCAATTCTACCAGGTTTGAGGATGAGTAAAAGTGACACCGTTGATCCAAAAATTCCATATCAAAATTTAATTGGAAGCTTGATGTATATTGCTCTAAATACCAGACCAGACATATTACATGCAGTTTGTGTATTATCTCAATATAATAATTGTTATACAAAAGAACATTTTGTACAGGTAAAAAGGATTGTAAGGTATCTGAAAGGTACAATTAATTATTGTTTAGTATATAAGAAGTCAAAGAACTTCAGTTTATATGGATATGTTGATGCCGATTGGGCAAATTCAGAAGACAGGAGATCATATTCCGGATTAGTGTTTAAACTTGGTGATAATCTTATTGCCTTTGAAAGTAAAAAGCAAACTTGTGTTTCATTATCATCAACTGAAGCGGAATATGTTGCCCTGGCTCAGGGTGCCAAGGAGGCTATTTTCTTAAAGAATATTATTAAAGAACTATATGTAGAGATGATAGATAAACCTATTATTTTGTATAATGACAACCAGTCATGTCATAAGATAGCTGCTAACAAGGTAAATAGTAATAGGACTAAGCACATAGACATTAAATTTCATTTTATTAGAGAAGCAGTTGAGAGTAACAAAATAGAGATTAAGTATTTGTCTACTCA